AGAACCGAAATTTGCTTTGCGATCTCGAAAACACCGAATTTTAAGGCAAAATCTGAATGTAGGTATCAGGAGAGCAGAAGTGTATAGGAGGTATTTGTTTTCATTAATCAGAACCGAAATTTGCTTTTCGATCACGAAAACACCGAATTTTAAGGCAAAATCCGAATGTAGGTATCAGGAGAGCAGAAGTGTATAGGAGGTATTTGTTTTCATCAATCAGAACAGAAATTTGCTTTTCGATCACGAAAACACCGAATTTTAAGGCAAAATCCGAATGTAGGTATCAGGAGAGCAGAAGTGTGTAGGAGGTATTTGATTTCATTAATCAGAACCGAAATTTGTTTTGCGATCTCGAAAACACCGAATTTTAAGGAAAAATCCGAATGTAGGTATCAGGAGAGCAGAAGTGTGCAGGAGATATTTGATTTCATCAATCAGAACAGAAATTTGCTTTTCGATCACGAAAACACCGAATTTTAAGGCAAAATCCGAATGTAGGTATCAGGAGAGCAGGAGTGTGTAGGAGGTATTTGATTTCATTAATCAGAACCGAAATTTGTTTTGCGATCTCGAAAACACCGAATTTTAAGGAAAAATCCGAATGTAGGTATCAGGAGAGCAGAAGTGTGTAGGAGGTATTTGATTTCATTAATCAGAACCGAAATTTGTTTTGCAATCTCGAAAACACCGAATTTTAAGGAAAAATCCGAATGTAGGTATCAGGAGAGCAGAAGTGTGCAGGAGGTATTTGTTTTCATCAATCAGAACAGAAATTTGCTTTTCGATCACGAAAACACCGAATTTTAAGGCGAAATCCGAATGTAGGTATCAGGAGAGCAGGAGTGTGTAGGAGGTATTTGATTTCATTAATCAGAACCGAAATTTGTTTTGCGATCTCGAAAACACCGAATTTTAAGGAAAAATCCGAATGTAGGTATCAGGAGAGCAGAAGTGTGCAGGAGGTATTTGTTTTCATCAATCAGAACAGAAATTTGCTTTTCGATCACGAAAACACCGAATTTTAAGGCAAAATCCGAATGTAGGTATATCAGGAGAACAGAAAAGTGTGTAGGAGGTATTTGATTTCATCAACTAGAATTCTATAACGAAAATTGCGATTCCTGAAGCAAAATCTGAATGTAGATATCAGGAGAGCAGAAGAGTATAGGAGGTATTTGATTTCATTAATCAGAACCGAAATTTGTTTTGCGATCACGAAAACACCGAATTTTAAGGCAAAATCTGAATGTAGGTATCAGGAGAGCAGAAGTGTATAGGAGGTATTTGTTTTCATTAATCAGAACCGAAATTTGCTTTGCGATCTCGAAAACACCGAATTTTAAGGCAAAATCTGAATGTAGGTATCAGGAGAGCAGGAGTGTGTAGGAGGTATTTGATTTCATTAATCAGAACCGAAATTTGCTTTGCGATCTCGAAAACACCGAATTTTAAGGCAAAATCCGAATGTAGGTATCAGGAGAGCAGGAGTGTGTAGGAGGTATTTATTTTCATCAATTAGAACCAACATTCACTTTCCGATCACGAAAACACCAAATTTTAAGGCAAAATCCGAATGTAGGTATCAGGAGAGCAGGAGTGTGTAGGAGGTATTTGATTTCATTAATCAGAACCGAAATTTGCTTTGCGATCTCGAAAACACCGAATTTTAAGGCAAAATCCGAATGTAGGTATCAGGAGAGCAGGAGTGTGTAGGAGGTATTTGATTTCATTAATCAGAACCGAAATTTGCTTTGCGATCTCGAAAACACCGAATTTTAAGGCAAAATCCGAATGTAGGTATCAGGAGAGCAGGAGTGTGTAGGAGGTATTTATTTTCATCAATTAGAACCAACATTCACTTTCCGATCACGAAAACACCAAATTTTAAGGCAAAATCCGAATGTAGGTATCAGGAGAGCAGGAGTGTGTAGGAGGTATTTGATTTCATTAATCAGAACCGAAATTTGCTTTCCGATCTCGAAAACACCGAATTTTAAGGCAAAATCCGAATGTAGGTATCAGGAGAGCAGAAGTGTGTAGGAGGTATTTGTTTTCATTAATCAGAACCGAAATTTGCTTTCCGATCACGAAAACACCGAATTTTAAGGCAAAATCCGAATGTAGGTATCAGGAGAGCAGGAGTGTGTAGGAGGTATTTGTTTTCATCAATCAGAACAGAAATTTGATTTCCGATCACGAAAACACCGAATTTTAAGGAAAAATCTGAATGTAGGTATCAGGAGAGCAGAAGTGTATAGGAGGTATTTGTTTTCATCAATCAGAACAGAAATTTGCTTTTCGATCACGAAAACACCGAATTTTAAGGCGAAATCCGAATGTAGGTATCAGGAGAGCAGGAGTGTGTAGGAGGTATTTGATTTCATTAATCAGAACCGAAATTTGTTTTGCGATCTCGAAAACACCGAATTTTAAGGAAAAATCCGAATGTAGGTATCAGGAGAGCAGAAGTGTATAGGAGGTATTTGTTTTCATCAATCAGAACAGAAATTTGCTTTTCGATCACGAAAACACCGAATTTTAAGGCAAAATCCGAATGTAGGTATCAGGAGAGCAGGAGTGTGTAGGAGGTATTTGTTTTCATCAATCAGAACAGAAATTTGCTTTTCGATCTCGAAAACACCGAATTTTAAGGCAAAATCCGAATGTAGGTATCAGGAGAGCAGAAGTGTGCAGAAGGTATTTGTTTTCATCAATCAGAACAGAAATTTGCTTTTCGATCACGAAAACACCGAATTTTAAGGAAAAATCTGAATGTAGGTATCAGGAGAGCAGAAGTGTGTAGGAGGTACTCGATTTCATCAATTTTAGAACCAAAACTCGCTATGGATTACGAAAATTCCGATTTTGAAGGTAAAAATCTGAATGTAGGTATCAGGAGAGCAGAAGTGTGTAGGAGGTACTCGATTTCATCAATTAGAACCGAAATTTACTTTGGATCACGAAAATTCCGATTTTGAAGGTAAAAATCTGAATGTAGGTATCAGGAGAGCAGAAGTGTGTAGGAGGTATTTGATTTCATCAATTAGAACCGAAATTTGTTTTCCGATCACGAAAACACTTAATTTTAATGAAAAATCTGAATGTAGGTATCAGGAGAGCAGAAGTATGTAGGAGGTACTCGATTTCATCAATTAGAACCGAAATTTGCGATGGATCACGAAAATTCCGATTTTGAAGGTAAAAATCTAAATGTAGGTATCAGGAGAGCAGAAGTATATAGGAGGTACTCGATTTCATCAATTAGAACCAAAATTTGCGATGGATCACGAAAATTCCGATTTTGAAGGTAAAAATCTAAATGTAAGTATCAGGAGAGCAGAAGTATGAAGGAGGTATCTGATTTCATCAATTAGAACCGAAATTTTACTTTGGATCACGAAAATTCCGATTTTGAAGTTAAAAATCTGAATGTAGGTATCAGGAGCGCAGGAATGTGTGGGAGGTATATATTTGATTTCATCAACTAGAATTCGATAACGAAAATTGCGATTCCTGAAGCAAAATCTGAATGTAGGTATCAGGAGAGCAGAAGTGTGTAGGAGGTATTTGTTTTCATTTATCAGAACCGAAATTTGCTTTCCGATCACGAAAACACCGAGTTTCAAGGCAAGATCTGAATGTAAGTATCAGGAGAGCAGGAGTGTGTAGAACATATTATTCAATTAATCAGGAGCGAATTTTGCATTCAATCACGAAAGTTCCGGTTTTTACGGCGAAATCCGAATGAAGGTATACCAGGAAAGCAAAAATGTTGAAGAGTTATTTTATACAGGGCGAGTCGGGAGGATCGCACCAAACTCCAGGTGTGTACTGTACACGTATGAATAATTTGGAAAAAACCTTAGGTTCTGATACGATTCTCATTTGTTTTCATTTTAAATTTGAATAGATTCGTGGCATTTTATAAGACTTTAATTGAACAAACTCGATTGTTTGATCTGTTTTGTTGTTCTTACATGTGTGTTCGTGTCAGTGTGTTTGACGCGTTTATTTTCGCCTTTTTCGAGTTTGTACGATTAAAGTCTCATAAAATGCCACACATCTATTTAAATTCAGAATTAAAACAAATGAGAATCATATAAGAACACCTGGAGTTTGGTGCGTTCCACCCAGTATACTCATTTTTAAGAACCGAGATTCCATCATAGAGAATGAACTTGAAATCAAATTCGGAAATTTGAACTAGGAGATCAGAATATGCGATTGAGGTTAGGGAGATTTCTTCCTGAGGCTCCAAATCCTTCACTAGATCTTTTTTTAGTAGTGAGTACTAGGGAGGTGGAGAAAACGAACGTTTCCTAGTTCAAAACAAAATATTTAATAAACAAATTTTATTGTTTTTATATACACATTCTCAATTTATAGTACATTTTTCATTTTGTTTTTTAAAATAAATCATATTTTTATTCTCATAAACTCTTCATACTTCTCATAAATGAAACATGGTGACAAGAAATAACTTTAGTACAATATACTGAGGTTCATAATTGAATGTACTAAAAACCAATGTTTATATTGTATGCACAGGGAAGCCTTCAAAATAAATACAATAATTGGGTCAAGATTTGTTTTTTGTCTTGTATCTTCTATAATACTTAGTTAAGTTTGTTGATAGGAGGGTAAACGTGAAATTACTGAGGAAAAATATGCAGTGAATGTTGAGAAAATAAATATCCTACTGTAACATTTATTTTATGATCACAAAGCGAATTATTAACATCAAGTGAATAAAATAATGGAAACTAAAGATTGTGTTAGCACAAAACGAATATAAATTCTATTTATTTTATGAATTCCTAATAATTCCAGGTTGACCCCCATATTCACAATAATAATGTCCATCAGCCTAACAAAGATCTTTTGAATAAAAAAATTATGTACATTTGTCATTCTGTAATAATGTCCAGTCTGGACCACCTCAAAAAAATCAATATTCGATACTGGTTGACCTCGTTAATCTTCACATGAAGAAAGACCATTCACCATCTTAAATGCGGCTTATGCGACATAATATGCCTGAAAAAGAAGAGAATATCAAAAATTCGCTTACCATCACGTTTGAAAATAAAATAACTATTCAAGGGACTCTTCAAAGAACTAGATCTCATAACTAAGAGTTCCAAGACACATTACTGTTTTGGCACATAAGCCTCATCAGTCGCTCTCGGTCTCCTAACAATTGGGACATCTGAACGCTTTGGGTAAGTGGAAAATATCACAAGTTAGCGAAGTCGGGTAAAATGCTGGGAAAAGGTACATCTTTTACTACTATTCGGCATGAAAATGGTTGTAGTCACGTAACCTGGTGTCAAGTGGGCACCATCAACTTTTTTCCCGAAAAGCGGGATACACTGTATATTGACATGTCTGGACAAGTTGAGCGACGAATTAAGTATAATCCCAAGGTTCTTTGAACTTTCAGACAGAGGAAGTATACAATCCTAGATTTTAATAATGAAAGAATCATGTGTTCAGAAAATTGTGATCAGATATTCACCTGTCCAATTTCTCCCAGAATATCATCAAAGCAGCTCTGTCCAAATGTCTTTTTGTTCTCGACAGTTGGATAACTGTAACGGCCCACTTTTCGACGTTCGGATCCATTTTCATCTCATCGTATTTGATATGGAAAGCAGCAACTATAAGAAAAAAATCGAAAGCTATTCATGTAAATTTGTGGCTAGAAATCCGCTATAGAATGGTCAAATTTATGATTTATTCATATTGGAATTCTCTTCACCCCACCCCGTATACCTACTTTCGATATCGGAATTAGTCATACTCGTTCGGAAATTAATGGGTTGAAAGGATGACCTAACTGATTAGTCATTAGGATGATCAATCAAACCGATCAGCAGTCTCGTTCTAGATTTCATCGGGTACGGTCGATTCAAGTGATATAAAAACAAGACCTGGAATCATTTAAAATTGAAATTCATCTTTGGTTTACTGATTGTATTTTCATTTGTGTGTGAGTTTTGTTTTTTGAAGATGGTAAGTGTTTTTGTACATGAATATGAAGGTATTTATTGCATAGTTGGTATTTTGCTTCGGAATATTTCCATCTAACGATGGAAATATTTGAAATTCGCTTTCTTTACCTATACAGGGTGTTTCATAATTTTTTGTCAGAATGGGCCCAAGAATCGCCTCCTCGAATATTGACATTCAATTATGAAACTCCCTGTATATACAGATGATCTGGATGGATATTAATGCAATAAGTGGCAAAATTCGCCATTTCTTCAAGAGTTAACATAAATATATTAAAACTTCGTATTCATTTGGGATGAAATAATTTGTTTTGTTTACTTTTACAGCCGTACTAAAAATAGGTATACCAGGTGACACAGTCATGACATTTGATTTCATCTTCCGATTTTCAAATGGAACACCCCAGATTATTATAACGAATTCAACGATACCGGGTTTAGTTGGATTATTTCGGAGGATTACGAAGATAATCGCGTTCAAATTTTCAATAAGCTCAATGAGTGTGACAGAGAAATAAGTTCAGATATTGAGGCGCCACACCCATTGAGTATATGAAAACTTCGAAGGTAAATATCTTCTCAATCGTTTGAAATAACCCTATCAAAACCCGGTATCGTTAAACTCATTAAGAAAATCCCAAAATGATCATAGAATAAAAAACAGGTTGTTCCATCGAAAGTTTCCAGGACAACGGAAAGGTGAAAAAAATTACTGAAATGTGAGAAAGTGAGCATATAAAGGCAGCATACAAAACTATTTGAAATTTGGTATAGAATGCTTCAAACACATCAAATTGAATGGAATGGTACCTATGAATCGAAGTTTGAACGATATCTATATGACAACACATCATATCAAAATTCAGAACGTTAACAAGAATGTAAACTTAGGTAATAGCCATTTATTCAGTGCTTTCGTGAAGTAAATGATGGGTTAGGTATATACAGTGTCTTTCATCAAGGAGAAAATTGTTGACTATCTGTTCTGGTCAATTTTAAAAGAAGAATATGTCGCATTTCAGCAACGGAATTTGAAAACAGTTCTCGAATATATTTCAGTTTCATATTCCATGTAACTTTCACGATTTCATTTTCCAATTCATTTAAAATTTGAGGTTTAATGCCAACTATGTTTTAGATTGAAGAAGCAACATGTAAATCGACCAATCATGCCCAAGGGATGTTGGAACCAGACCAGGAACCAGTAACCGGTGATGAGTTCCCCATTTCTTTTTAAAATCAATTCAGAAACTTCTTCAACATTCTATATTTGTTATGGAAGGCGATATATTAGAGAAAATTTTTCAACAGTCATCATTATGTCTCCATGGAGACACGACAGGTACCCTTACGAGGGGAGAGTATCAACACTTGGCGTCGGTAAACCCTCTTTGCAACCGAGGTAGGCGCCTGATGGGTTAGGTATATACAGTGTCTTTCATCAAGGAGAAAATTGTTGGCTGTCTGTTCCGTTCATTTTTTGAGTGATATGTCGCATTCCAAGAATGGAATTTGAAATGATTTTTTTGTATATATTTCAGTTTCTCATTCTATGTAACTCATATAATTTCAAGTTTCAATTCATTTAACATTCGAGATTTAATACCAACTATGCCGTAGATCAATACCATTCAAGAAATAATTGCACACAAGAGGAAACCAGACCAGCAACCAGCAATAGTTTTTTGTCTCAAACAACGATATTGTTTACCTCCATTTGATTATCAAGTCAAACACAGTGTAGTGTCGAGAGGAATAAATCATCGCTATTATTAATATTATTATTGTTGATATGCAACCCAACATTTTCCAAGTCTTGTTCCTACAGTGTAGAATGGAGAGAAATAACTAATTGCTATTATCATTGTAGATATGCCAATCTAACATTGTTATTTTTGCTTCCGCTCGGCTTCGCTAAACGCTCCGCCTCGCAAATGCAAAATTCGCTTGTCAAACAAAGTGTCACTTTTGATCCAAATAAAACAATCTTCTATTTGATTCGTCGCAAAATACAACTTACTTTTGTCGAAAATCTCAACGGGCGTCTCCCAGGGGTAGCCCTTGAATTGCCAGGCCGGCCCCATGACCCAAACGGCCACCACCCTGTCCCAATCGCTCGGACTCAATTTCGCCGGATTGTCGACCACCCTGTAGGGCACCGTTTGCCCGTTCCTCTGCCGCTGGATCAGCACTTCGTTGTCCCTTTTGCCGCCCTCGGCTTTTTTCTGTTCTTGCGTCACGAACCTATGGAACACGGGAGTCGTTTCTCATGAGAATTGAGCTCTTTTCTACCTTGAACGAGAGAGAGGAAAGTTCTCTCCTCTTCCATCTTTCTCTTCAATAAATTCAGCTATTGTAAAGGGTTTCTCAATAAGAACGCTCGATCTTTAAAGTGTAATAAAAAATAAAGTATAAATAAAACTGACATAATTCAATATTTATTTTGAAGCATATGTAACTACATTATGTTTTGAAAATTATGTCACTTAAATGTCCGCTCCAAATACGGCAGTTTTGCTTGTTGACGAAGCCACTTAACCAAAAATGTGCCTCGTCACTAAAGATTATTTTATTCGCAAAATCACGGTCACCCTCCAACTGTTCTAGCACCCAGACAGCGAATTCACGCCGATGCCTATGATCGTTGGGCTTAAATTCCTGCGTGATTTGCACCTTATATGGGTGAAGCGATAAGTCGTCGTGATGCAGAATTCTCCAGGTTGACATCCGCGAAAGTCCAAGTTCTTGAGCACGACGCGGAATAGAGTGTCGTGAATTCTCATGCACACTTGCTCGGACGGTCGCAATATTTTCAACGGATCTTACTCTTCGCTGACGTACAGGAGTTCTTTGATCTGCCACTGAACCAGTTCCATCAAATTTGTTCATTAAACGGCGAATTGAGGACTCTGCAGGACGATCTTTAGCACCATAAATTGCGCGAAGTGCGCGGAATGTTTGCCGAACGGAACGTTGGTTTTGGTAATAAATTTTGACGATTTCGACACGTTGTTGAATTGTGTAACGCTCCATAATAAATGTTGAAGCTAACTGAATATTCCTGCCAAAGATAACGCCTGTGTGAATTTCGACCTTGTAATGCACTGTTGCCAAAGATCGAGCGTTCTTATTGGGAAACCCTTTATATGGGCTAATTTCTAAAAGTAACTTAAATAACATTTTCTTGAAGCATTGAACTGAGTTGATATTTTTCAAGGCATCGGGAAGAACGTTATATAATCTCAGTATCATAATTTTATATGACTTCTATTCTTATGAACATAAAACAAGAGTTCCAGAATGAAAAGTCCAACCAGAGGTAAAATTTTCAAGTTTTTTGAAAAGGTTACGACATGAGAATGTAGATGATACTCCTGCAATCGATCTAATGATCCTTTTTTGAGAAATGGATACGTCCTGTACTCCTGTTGAGTTCCCCCATAACATTATTCCATATGATAATCTAGACTGAATCTGACCAAAGTAATATTGTTTCAGATCTCGATTATCCAAAATATTTTCTGAGAACCCTGATTTGGTATCATTTTGAATTCATTGATTTGCTCAGCCTACTGCAGTGAACACTAAAAGATATATTGTTGTTCATGGTTATACATAAAAATGTAGTACTTTTTGAAGTCTCTAGTTTGGTATCATTGATATTAACAAAATATGTCAAAATAAGTACTATATTTGTAATTTCATTTAAAGCATTTTTGATAGGTTCTCAGTCAACGACATTTATGACATGGACATATCACATCATTATAATCTGAACCAACTGAAATATCTCACCATAACTGAAACTGAATGGATATTATGTGTTATTTCCAAAGAATTTGATTAATTAGAATGCATGTTAACTGATTCAGTTCAGTCCAAGTGAAATATGTCAGTTCAGAAAGAGATAATCTCATTATAACATCGAAAATTGTTCAATGGCGCAGACTAGAGGTTAGACAAGGGCAGATTTATCGGACCTCTCTATATTTCAATGCGGCTACGTTGGTATCATTGAAGAGAAAGATGGAAGAGGAGAGAACTTTCCTCACTCACGTTCAAGATAGAAAAGACTCCAATTATGCTTGCATGACACCCCGTGAGAGGCGAACGGGAAGTTTCCTGCAGATGAATTTTCATGAAATAAGTTCGGAACTCTCCAGTTTCATGTCTACGCTGTACAGAATGGCGACGGATAAAGTCCAAGTCGTTTTGATTTTCAAATTACAGCAACTTCTAATTTTTGGCGCGGCGAACTGTGGCGTACATTCAGAATCTAGTCTGAAAATAGCTGATGGTGAAGAATATAGCTAGCGAATTGCTAACGAATAAATAGCTAAGGAATGAAAAACGAATGAAAAAATAGAAGAAGTAAAACTAGTAAACAAAAATATACATAGCCACAAATACACTCGGAGCAGGAATGCAGGAGGTAGTTGGCTTCATTCTGACAGGTTATAGTTTTGTTATTTATGCATTGAAATATCTCGAATAGAGCTCCATCCTAAACGAAAATATCATTGAATCACTATCGGCTACATTCAATGATACTATCCTTCCTAATTTACTGCCATCGGTCAGAACAGAAGTAAATCATGGAAATCATCCATATTTCTCAAAGTGGTCCAATTGATTTTTATAATAAAAAACAATGAAAGTCTCAAAGTCTGTCTGTTTCGTGGTCGACAGACTTTGAGACTTTCATTGTTTTTTCTTATAAAGAACAGAAGTAAGCCGACACCCATGGCTCTTTCCTCTTGTTGGGCATGTCAGTATTTTGAATGATGTAGACGGACTCTAAGTATTAGGCGCTGTTGCAAGATAGAAACTGCAACTTTCCTAGAAAATAGATCCGTTTTATTAAGGAACGAATCCATTAACAAAAAAATGAATGACAAGTTATGAATAACATATTGTAATATAACGATAGTGAAAAATTATAGATGCTATCGCAAAATATCATTATTTATCTTTATTAGTAATCAACTCCATTCAGCCAATGAGAGATTTATGGGAATTATTCATAATACTTGACAAAGTAGGATTGGAGAACCTATTATATCCCATGGCTGTTATGATCTAGAATCTAGACAAATTGATGTTGTTGGCAACGTTGTACTGACACAGGGAATCGTATTTTATCTCTGTGTGAATGTGGATTTTCAGAATGTACGTCATAGGAATGGTGGAGGAGCCAAGTTCCCATTTTATTTTATTTTTTTCTAGAGTGAAATTTGATCTTACGAAAAAAAAATACGTATACAGGGTGTCCACTAAAAGGAGGTCAATCCAATAACCATATATTCCTTGAACAAAAACAATTATTTTAATACATTCGCTTTGAGCACCCGGTATTTCCATATTTACCTTTTCGTACGTAAAAAGTATAGGAGTATGTGAACATTATGAGATTACCGTAAGCCGCATAGGCATCAAACAATAACCAGTACTTTTGACAGTTATTTTTTGTTTTGTTTTCCTCACACGACGTAACTCTTTGTGCTGAAGTAATGTATCAATTTTGAGATCAATATCTCATTAAATACGCGAGTAATTAAAAAAAAACAGTTTTCAATTTCCAACTTTGACACTCTGTGTATCGAATATAAAGTGCTAAAATGAAAAATGGTATTTAGAAACTCATATTGTATTTGTTCAAGGAATATATGGTTAATGGATTGACCTCCTTTTAGCGCACACCCTACCCAGTATATTATTTTTTCACAAACCTCACAGTGAGATGAAAACCTCAATATAGGAAACTTCCCCATTTGTCACACTCGCACGGAAAATCCCCATATTTCCGGACTAGTATTGAAATACACTATTACCAACAAACCTCAAATCTTGTAGAATGTCCTTGACGTTGTACATGGAGATCAAGCTGTTCGTGCCGGCCGGTATAATGATGATGGGCGTTTTGGACACGCGCTTCTGGAGCCCGCCCGGCGGCGGTCGGGCCGCGCTGACCGGCAGCGGCGTCTGCGGCTGGGCGGGCGTCGGCCTGTTGGCCTTCGCTGACCCTTCCGTCACCGATTTCAGCGACATGCCGTGATAGGTGCCCATGGTGTTGATTTGGAAGCCCTCGGTTACTGCGATAAGTTTGGTGTGTTCAGTCAAAATAGATTGTGAAGATATGTACTAGCTGCATACACGTAACTGATCAATAGAATGAAGAGATTTTGTATTTCGTGTACAATTTATTATCAAATCTCAAAGCGCTCTCGGCTAAAAAGCCATCATCAGTGCTATACTTTTTAGTAAGTATTACAAAAAGGTACACAAATTCGAGATCAAAGACATCATTATGGTACAAACGGAATCAGGGACAGATATACATTTGACAAAAAAGTTCCCTAATGGGTTATTGTGAAATTGTCCAAAAATACATTTTTAAAATTTGTTTAGTTCAGGTCCTGGAAGAGCACGAGGGGCCTTAACCTTTAAACATAAAGGTTAAGATTCAGCGACAATATCGGAACTTTTGAAAGCATGACAACCAGTCATAAACAAATGTTTGATGAATTAAATTGTCTTACCAAATTACACTTAGCTTTTTTTTAGTCGAAGTAAACTTGGCATTTATGATTCGAATTTTTTTGTCATTATGTAATTGTTTGGTATTTGCCTATCTCTAATCAATAATATCAAAACAAACTGTATATATTTATTTTCAACAAAAAGTCACTGGGCGACACTGCGCCGATGCGAAACTATCGGTGTGCTCGGCGGAACAAATTTTGAATTGCCGCCCAGATTCTGAATGCCTTTTTCATCGTCTTTCGAACGGTTCCTTACAGCAGACTAAATTGATCAGGACCCGTGATACAGGGTGAAACAAAGTTTCGTGCATTTTGAAAAAAAATTCTCCGCCCCCCATTTTGTCGGAAGACGACGATGCTCATATTTTATTCGGGCATTTCATAAATAGCAACCATACCTCGGGACGTTTCCGAGTTTTTGCCAAAAACTACTGTGGTTTCCGAAAGAAAAAAAAATTTTTGCATTTTTTTTTCAAATGGACTAATTTTAGAGGAGTTCCATAAATGGATGCTTTTATGCATTTCAGGAAAGCGTTGGAGCAGATATGTATACCAGGTTACTCAAAAACAATCAATAATTTATTACTTCGCAGTCTATGATACAAGTTTTCTACCTTAGTGAGCAGTAAATCAACACATCTCATCAACAAAAACAAACAACGATACCTTGTTTCTATAACAACGTATTGTTGAAACAATGTAGGTATCCATAGGGGTTATATCAATTGCCAATTTTCATGAAAACGTCAGTGTAATTCGAGTCCTAAAAAATTTAAAGATGCCTCGTTCAAATCGGGTCGAAATGGAAAATATCATTAGGTAAGATCACTATAGTGATATAAACTATAATTCAGTACAGATAATTATTATTTCAGGTTACGACGATTAGGATAAACCCAAACTCATTTAAGTACCATTTTCAATAAGTCAGTCATGACAATAAATAGACTGATTCATCGTTTTGAGGATACAGGTAATCAGTCCATTTAAAAAAAAAATGCAAAAAATTTTTTTTTCGGAAACCACAGTAGTTTTTGGCAAAAACTCGAAAACGTCCCAAGGTATGGTTGCTATTTATGTAATGCCTGAATAAAATATGAGCATCGTGGTCTTCCGACAAAATGGGGGGGGCGGAGAAATTTTTTTCAAAATGCACGAAACTTTGTTTCACTCTGTATCACGGGTCCTGATCAATTTAGAAGAAGCTGTAAGTAACGGTTCGAAAGACGATGAAAAAGGCATTCAGAATCTGGGCGGCAATTCAAAATTCGTTCAATATTTTAGAAATTACGAGAAGTCAAACTTGATGCCAAATTTCACTATTAACGTTTCAATTGACGCCCAGTTTAGGTCAAATTCGCTGATTGACCGATTGTTTCGTGAATCCAAATTCACCGCTATCATTCCACGGGAATGTGCACCTATTCATGTAATTGTGACGGTTCCCTACTTTCGAAAGCCCATTCGCTGGCATCCAAGGGCCCTGAGAACAGCCAGTCCCGGATTATTGTGCCGCTCTTCACACTTACTTTTACTCCGGGTAAGTCGTTTAGTGACTGCAAAATTGAACATTTCCTTCATTTTATACAGTTCATTTTTCAAACCTATTATGAGCTAAATACTAGTCAGTAGTCAGTAATTCAACTGAAAAACTGCTGAACAGCAAAATTCTTATTGATACATGTCAAGTTTACTTCGACAAAAAAAGATCTCGTGTAATTATAATTGATAGCGCACTGACATGCCATAAGAAAGAAGCTATGCCACTCAGGCGATCGAACTGGAGAACATGAATCTTGAGCATTCAGGTCCTGTCATATATCTTACTCACTCTTACCTGTTTCCGAGCACCAAGAAACATGACTCACTGTCATGACCGATTGACCGACAGTTCGAGGGTTCCTGTGCATCTCGGTACGCATTGAGCGGAAGCGTTTTCAGACGAGTAATTTACCCCGAGATTTTCGTGTTGCTGGGATATGACATATAGCAGTCGGGACAGAAGTCATAAATTCTCAATTATGTCAAAAGGAAGAAGGAAAGCTCAAAGTCACCTCCACTACTTTATTACTGATGTAAATCAATCAAAGGGATATATTTCGGACTTATAAAAGTCCATCTTCCGCCGTTTTTAGAAGTTACTACAGCAAAGACATGTGAAAATCTACATATAGTTATAAAAAAACAAAAATTGACTTCCATAGAAGCGAATTTTTGTTTTTTTATAACATATAAGAATTTTAATTTTTTTTTTATAAAAAGTATTCTGTTCTTTTTTATACATCTAAGAATATATAAACAAAATGTCATGATATTCGGCTGAGTAGTTTTGGTGTGAAAGCATGACAAACAAAATTACATTCAAATTTATAATATTGGTAGGGATTTCATTTGGTTTTTTTTTAGCCACCCTGTATTTTGCTGATGAAGAGAAAAAGTCTTGTCCCTTCTCTGCATTCAGCACAATGTTGCCAAGTCTCCAACATTTACATGAAATTTTTTTATGGAGTATAAGAAATATTTGGAGATGCACACACTCATTATTTACATTAAAAAAGTGTGAGAAGTGTTGGATAAATTAATCTAGATCCCTATTAAAGACACAGTGGAGAAATTGAATGCCAATATTATAAGTCCACTTGCCCATTATGAGGATACAGTTGGGTGACACATTCAAGGTGAAACATATTTAAGGTAAAAAAAAGCAATTCCTTCAAATGCTATGCATAGAATTTTGTATGATTCTTCACCAAAAAAAATAACTAGGTACTAATTTCTGTTTCTTGTTTTTTTTTTTCACACTCTAAATAAAAATGCAGTTAGGATGTTTGCCAAGAGAAAAAAAAAGTAAGTTCCTAGCTATAATTGGTTAAAAAGTAGATTGTGGATTGGTAGGTACCTATTTAATGATATACCTATCATTTTTTTGTTATCTAATATGATGAAACTGATTCCTCAGAGTTTGTCAAGGAATGAAATTCCATTCAATTTTGTGTGATACTGATTTTCATAATAATAATGTTAACCAAAAGTGTTTATATGTATTAAGCAATGTAGTAGTCATGTTTTTCAAATCAATCACTCCTAACTCAATTATGATATTTATAATAATAGCTTTATTTATTTCTTTATCAAACATATCTTCCAGTCAAAACAAGTTCTGGTATGAGGAAGAACATAATTATAAAATAATAAGTAATAAATAATAAATCAGGATATCACAATAAATCACAATAAAACAATACAATCAATGAACAAAGAAAAGCATTCTAGTCAAGGACATAACTTACTGATATATTTTAAACATTTCTCTCAGAAATGATAAGTTTTTTCATTTTCTTTTTCAATGTACCTATATTTCTGCAGTTTTTAATTTCATCTGGTAGTTTATGGAACTCAGATAAGGCTGCATAAGTGAATCTTTTTTGACCTAGTGTGGAAATTTATCATTATCAGCATAACTTACCTTCTTTCTGCCTGTTGAATCTTTCCTGATCATATCTGTTATAGACAGAAGGCTGAGCAGTAGCTCTAATAGGTGTTTGTCTGGGAGTGACAGTTGGTGGCTGCTGAGGTGGCCTTTGTCTGCCCTCTTCTCTGGCTTTTATACTGGCTAGCATAGCCAGAATATTTTTTGAAAAGATCTGAAATAAAAGTATCAGTGATGAATTTCAATTACCATATTTTTCTTGCATTTTTCATACCTTTCCTGTAGATTGGAGTATTGTAGTCCTTGTCCTCCACTGCCTTTCACGGCTAATAATATCTTTGGTTATATCCACATCCAAATCCAAGATGGCACTGATATCATATTCCTGTCCAGTGTCATCATTACCTTTGATAGTAGTCCTTTTCTTAGCTAACCTTTTAGCTTTTATGGCAGCAATTTTCTCCACAGACATAGCATCAGAGAGTGATCTAAATAACAGGTATAAATAAAAAAAACACACAATGTTAAATGAGACAAATTTAGAAAAAGCATACTTGATATTATCAACAGTAACAGATGACTCTTTTGGTCCATCCAGTTTTGCAGCCAATTTTTCTCTGACTTTTTGTACATGGGTATCCTCAAATCGAGGCTTCTTTGCCAAGCTTTCTGGCCCATCATAATCTGCTGATCTTTTTACCTGAAACACATCCTTCTGAACCAGTTCTATCAGAATATCTCACATCACACCTGTGTGGGAATTTCTAATGGGGCACTTTTGTCTATAGCTGGACAACTTGCTGTTTCCCCATTTAGATAAGCAAGTAGTTCTTTTCTATCAGGTCTTCTTACAACTGGTATATTCTCTGCAGCAGCTTGTCTCACATATACAGGATGGGTAAGTGATACATTTTTCAAAATGAAAAGAAGACATTCCAGTGTATAATAATCTTTGGATGTACCATCTTTTCCAGATCTGAAAGGATATGTCCAAGATTCAGGGATTTAATGAATTAAGAATCTCACAGAATATGATGTACTTACCCATACATAAGGTAATTGGTTTTAACATTTTTGGGCCAGGAAAATTCACCAAAAATAATCTGTCCTTCACGTTCAATGATTTCTTTCTTATTAACATTGTATTGACGTAATAAACTCAGAGGATCCGCCATTTTTGTTTACTGACCTGACTGATTCTACAGGGCAATCACTAGGTATTCCGGGTATTCATTTCTAAAAAACGAAAAATTATGAGAACGAAAGTATACACTTTAAAAGAAAATACATTGATGTTACAAATGTAAACTAACAAAATTTACAGCATTTATAACTTCCACAATCACAACTACTGTAACCCTAACCACCATGCACCAGAAAATTGGAAAACAAATCAAAAATCAAAATACAATAATAAAAAATTAACACAAAACAATAATGTGACATGTGACAGACAATGTGACAATGACAATTCGATTTTGACATTTTCGACAGTTTTTGATCCACAGAACAGAAAGATTTTTCCATTGGACGGTCGCTTAGATTGTATGATCTAAGGACGGTCGGAACTGAAGGAACATCAGTTATCAAATTGGTTATCAAGAGAGTGGGTGACTGATCTCTGTCAAGAGTAGATCGTGACAGTGTTTTCCAGTTACATGCACTTTGTGACAACATTGACAATTCATTGACATTTGACAATGACGTCAATGGTCAATGCAATGACGGTAATGACCATATATGTACTATTTCTACTTATAAACATCTCAATTTCTATATATATCTATAAATATCTCAACAAAAATGGGACCAAAATGAGAGGTACTTTTTGAATCTATAAGGACGGAAAGTGAAGGATGGAAGCAGCCATATTGGTTTGACAAGTTTCGTATTATTTTTTCCCTACGTCGGCATCAACGCCTATTGGTCGATTTCATTACCTATAGAGACAGAAGTTGGTCCCGCTTTGAGGACAGCTATGCTTCATATATGAGTAGTAGATATATGGTAATGACACATTGACTATTGACTTCATTGACACATCTGAATCTGACACAATGCCACAATGGCCGATTCAGAAGGATTTCAGAAAGTGTCCTATAAAGGCCATAAACGGAAAACAATCAAATCCAAACTTGCTGGAAATAAAAATATTTGTATGTCTTTGAAAAATACGTCTCTAGTTTCTCATTCTCAGCGAGAATCTTTCATTAGGTAATTTTTGTTCACCTTCATTATTGAAAATGTGATTGATAAGTAGGTACCTCTGTTCCAGGAGAATATTGGATGCAAAAGTAGAATTGTCAAAAACAGATCTTCACGATTCTATAGTCGCATCTCTTAGAGAAGGTCTGTGTGCATTGAAGACTGAAAGAATTTGTGAGATTGTATCCTTTGGTCTTGGTCAAATCAGTGAATGTGTTACATCACGTTACCAATTTGCACTGTTACTGTGCTTGCAAGACTTTTTAAATGTAAAAATCATTGCATATGATCCTATATTCACAGAACTCGATATAGAACTGTTGAATCATTTTGAAGTAACAGTCTTGAAGGAAAATACAGAAGGCAAATATAAGGTTTCTTCCAAAGAACCAGTTTTGTTTTTTCTTCCTCACTGCCCAAAACAGTTGACAAATAACTTACTATGGGATAACTGGGGTTTATATTTGCAATCTTGTATAATAATAGCCAACAGTTTCACTACTATTGTAGAGAGCAACTCCTCAAGAATCCTCAAAGAAAGTGCTGAATATATTTTGAAGATATTACCTCATGTTCTTGAACTACCACTGATCAATAGTTTCAAGTTCAGTGAAATATTCAATGACTTAGCTATTCATTTTTTTCCGAATTTGGAATTTGTATGTCAAGACCTATGGGATACAGCTCCTGAACCAAAATATGTAAAAAGTGATATAGAATTTATCACAAAAAACTCAGATAATTCATTAATTTGATGTATTTCTACAGAATTCTGATATGGCAGCTAAAATAAGCCTTCTCAGACAATTAATTACTGAATTGCGTTATGCATTGCCTAAAGGAGGCTTGAAAAATAACCTGGCCCTCCAGTACATAGTGGGTCAATTCAAGAAATACAAGACCACAGATGAACAACTTTGCAAAGCTAGAGAAGAAATGGAGTCCATGGCAAGAGCATATCTTTGTTACCTGCAGAGCTCCAGACTGGAACATAAAATTCATAATGAATATCATGGGAAAGGGGAACGTACTGTAGCTGAAACTTCTAAAATGGTTGGATTCAAACTCCCACATGATCCTAAATGATTTCTTTTATAGAAGTATGATTACATAATAATGTGTAAATTTTGTCAATGTAGATACTATTCATGGTTAGTAATATAAATTCAGGTTATAATATGAATTATTTTGAAGTTATCAACATGATTATGAACCTCTTCCATTATATTCCAAACAACTAAATGAATACACAGATTACCTGTTATCTACAGGGTATCTGCGAAATTATGGATGGATAAATAACATGGAAAAAATCTTCAAGAAATATTTAGGTTTGCAGAAACGATCTGTTTTTTGGTAGATTCAAGAATCTGTCATCTTGACCTATATAGAGGGTTTTTTGGTGGTTCCTCCTGGATAACATTCTGCACTCCAGGGGCGGTCCTACGAAGGGGAAGGGGGTTGACGGGGTATTTATTTACCCCCTCCAGAGAGATCATTTTTTTTAGCCACCTTACGAGAGGTCCTTCAGCTCATGCGTGTTCTGTGTAGGCTTTGTTACTCACTCCATACGCCACCTTAGAAGCAGCACTGTTAATTGGAACACAACAGAGAATCGTGCGGAACCATCTCCGACCAAATAAAGGCTACGAAAATTAAAATTCATTTATAAATTGAAATTCACACCTAATAATTTCAAAAAATGCTTATTGGCAGCAACTATCCCAAACAAAAACTCATTTGGAGTTCATCAAGTATTATATTAGCTAGTTTGACCAAAGGGTTATAAAAGTGGCAGACTCAACATCTAATTATTATTATTCCTTTTTATTTATATATTCACAAAAGTATAATAGTTATCTCTTAATTACCTATATATAAGTGAGACGTAAGTGTTATCTAGATTCTGACGTCACATATTGACTAGAGTCACTATTAGAATGATAATACCATCCAGTGACACTAACATTGACTACTCTCTGATGTAACAATAATATAACTAGTGTAACATAGAAGTAATGTAACATATGATGAAACGTGATGCGGACATTATGCACATTCAACTCATGAATTTTGAACCTACTCATTACTTCTTTTGTTACGTAACTGATTTACGAAATTATAGGTAATGTTTATGCGTTACCCAGCGAGCACAAACATCCCTGGGATGTTTTGAAAATGTTGGCATGAAGATGTTATTTTGAGACGTAATATATGCACTGACCAAAGAGGTCTTTGAAGGATATTGAAGTATTGTTTTTGTTCTTCTGTGGCATTTCTTTGTTTGCCTACTGAGAGGTATCCCTGGGATGTTTTGGGATGTTTTAGAAATGTAGGCATCAGGATGTTTTTTTGAGGCGTAATATGCACTTCCCAAAGAGGTCTTAGAAGGATATTGAAAGTATTGTTTTTGTTCTTTTGTGCCCTTTCTTTGTTTGCCCCACCACAACGTCTCATGCTTAAGTCACAATACAATAAATTCTGATTTGTTTTCGATTTTGTTCTTCTTGTTCGCAATTGGCATTCGCGTTTGCAGCGTGTCACGTTTACATCACGCTGCTAACGAACAGAAAGGAATTTGGTGAAGTTTATTGTGTTAGAAGACTTATTTAGTTTGTAATAATGACCATCAGATGCAAGATGTGTTGTACGAATTCATCAATACACATCAGCTTCTCCGCAGTTGCAAAATTATGCATTGTGGAGAACATTTCAAAAATTTGGAAACCTATTTCCAATTATATGTTTGTGTGTAGTACGCACTACTCAGAAACCGATTAGGAAGGTAATTGTATATCAAGAAAATATTTTTATGTTCAATCTATTTTTAATGCATTTTTTTATTCAAGGGAAATGGAATCCTAATGCAAAAGTTCATTTTGACAAAAGGCTTCAGAAAAGTACCTCGAAAATGGTTTTTTTACAGCGATTTAATGTGAGCAAGACGCGTTGAAAATGTTCTGTTGTGTCCATGAAAAGGCTTTAAAAGAAACCAAGGGAGAAGGTAGTTTTGTGACATATCAAGGACATCTCGATAATTGCCGCCTGCGGCGGACATTGGCTGTTCTATAATAGTTCTATTCATGTGTGAACAGAACATCGCAGTGGAGGTTCAATGTCTCGAAATCTCGTACTTTTACAATCTCTGAGATGTTTTTGTGCTCGCTGGGTATAGTTACGTAAATTCGTTTTCTGGGATTAACAGGTAGGTACCTAGTTTGAATAACATCGAAAAATTGACTATTCCCCTACAGATTCAACTTAGGACCGCCCTTGCTGAGCTTAGACGACTTGCGGACTTTTTAATGCAGAAGATACATTATGGCGCCCAACGTGGGGTCCCTTAGTGCTTCTGCATAGCTGCAATATATTCTATTTTATATTCGTGGTTGACTTGAGGAGTGATATGACGTCTTTGCTGAAAGAATTCCCAGCTTGCAAAATAAAAAACGACGGGTCTGAATGATTTTCAATTTCACTTTCGGTTTCGAAGATACGAAATATAAAAGTTTTAGCTTTAGCTTGAAACCACTACATGACCTATACCAATAAACTGAATGACTCGAATGGAACATCTTGTATGGTATATATTTTTGTGTAGATTTCACCGATGTCAAATAGGTAATAGCATCGGAATAACATGTCATATTTGTTGAAGACTTCAATCAAATGGCTAATGAACATCAATCGGGTATTGATTATGTCTTGATCTATTTTAAATATATAGGTGAAGATGAAAGAGCTGTGTTATCTGTGTATATTAAGAACTTGATTCAGCAGGGTTTGAAAACATTAGAAGAGGAAATAGGAGAGGTAAATACACAATTTCCATGAATCAATCAAGTCAGGAAAATAATTCTCCAGTAGGTTTTAGATAACTATGTTTGTATAAAAATACATGCGCCTGACTCGGTTCTAGAGAGCCTAGCAGAAGTATTTAAAATTGCACTCACCAAAAACAACCCACATTACAAAATTCAAAAAATTCGATGGAAGTGGTTTGCCAATATTTTAACTAGACCAAATGAAGACGATCCAATTGTTCGCAAAGGAAGAGCCAAGTAAGTAAAGTTGTTTCTTCCATATGTAAATCAAAATTAAATCTATTTTCCTTGGCAATGATTTCAAGTGATACTCTATCTGGAAAACAGCCCACCAGTTTCACAGCGTCTGAACGAATTTACATTGTTCATAGACTCTTGACATCAACTACATTTGGAAATTTACCGGGTGATAAGGGTTTCGAAGCTTTGATTAAAAAACGTATTCTGTTGGATGCTTATCCTTTACACGATTCTACATATCAGTGGACTGAAGAAGGTCCCCTGTCAGATCGACAGGTGAGTTGATGCTTTTGGATGCCGCATTTATACAGGGTGTTTTAGACTTAAATGTACATACGATACTTGCAGATAGAGGACACTTCAATGGTTTCAAATCACCCCCCATTGATGATGGGTCTACCGTCTTTTATACCTTAGATACAGGACGTTGATCTTGATTTTGGCAATATCTTCATGTGGTAATATTTGTTTAACCACTTTGTATAATGTATACATACTTGGTAGAAATATTCCACTTATATTACACATCAGAACAAAATAAAAATCGAGATCAGAATCCAGGTCCGTCTTAAGGAAAAACAGAAAACTTTTTTTATTTCAAAAACAACACTCTGTATGGCAACATTTTATGGATCTGTTTCGATATTTGGAAAGAGCGGGAAGAAATGAATAGAGTGACCTACTTTTTACGAACGCGCATCCATCTCCATCTCGAGGCATTTTTATTGAATTCGTATTTCAAAATTCAATTTTAATAAAAAAATAACAGGTTTTCAAAATTCAACATCATTAGAGTCGAATTAGGTGAACTATCGATAGAAAAAATGAAATAAAATAAATTTTCAATGATTTTAGAAATTTTCGAGGACTCATTTTATTCATCACAATTTATTCATAAGCTGCGGTAAAGTAGGCTGTGCAGAAAAATTTCAAATTTTGACAGTTCATAAGCACTAGTATTGTGTTATGGCATAATAATGACCACTTTGAAATGATTCAATGGGGGTTTAAAGTTTGGAGGGCATCATTCGAAAGGGAACAATATCTGATTCAAGATTTTATTCTGACATTTTCAATCATAATTAGCTTTCCAGATATTCAGTGTTAGAAGCCTGAAATCCATAATCAATTACCCTGTACAATGAACGTCCACCTTGGATGTTTAGGACGTCCGGTGGACGTATACGATTGGACGTGAAACGTATAGGTATAATGAATGAAGGTTAAATATCCAATGATCACCCATGATTTTAAGATTTGTACGTATACAATAGGTGTCTATTCGATGTCCATGGACTTTTGGACTCAAAATGAACCTGAAATGGATGTCATGTGCTGTGTGGAAAAGACCATCGCAATAAATGAGATATCGTTTCAGTAATTCGAGCAATCATCAATCCTTATAGATATCATTATTTTGAGCAAATGAACTAAACTGAATACTATTCTTTCAAGCTTTTAGCAAGATACTGGGCTAGTCTGAGATGTTTCTACAACTACCAACCTTTGAATTTGATAGAGAAGCATTATGGTCCAGAAATAGGATTTTATTTCGCCTGGATGGGGTTTTACATACAATTGCTGATTCCTGCTGCTATCCTGGGATTATTGTGTTTCTTTGCAGGAATAGTATTATACACCCTCGACACCGAATTTATCCAGTAAGTTTTTACCGGCACAACAAAAAGTATTGAGAGACTTTCTTCATATTTCATGAGCGAAAAAAATTGTCCACACTAATATTTCTGAGTTTTATTATTTTTAAAATCAACATAATTTGCGTATCTCTACTTCAAATTTGGTAACCAACAGTCGAGATTGTGCGATGATAGAAGAACGCGATCTACAGCTTATATACAGGGTGTTTCATAAATGAATGTCATTATTTGGGGAGGCGATTCTTGGGCCCATTCTAAGAAGGAAGTTTCCTAACTTTTGAGATACAGAGTGGTAAATGTTCTCAAAAATTGATAGTTTTTTATCAATATCTGTAATACCACTTCAGATATTCTAATGAAATCTGGCGTACATGTATTATGTATCAAGAGGCATCAGTTAGTGTACCACATTTTTTTTGCTTGCCACCAGTGGCGTTCGTATGAAATTTCACATACCTATTTTGGCAGACATTGATGGTACGCCACTGATTAATCTCAAAATTGAAATCATTCCTGTAATTTCCAATCATTTCTAAGCAAATTTGATCAATACAATGTTTTCAATCTGATGCACGGCTTTCGCTCAAAAAAATAAAAAGCGTTTCACTACATGATTATAGTAATATACAGTGTGTCCCACTTACCATGCTCACCATGGGTATCTTTTTAACGGTGAGAGATACGAGGTCGGTTGAATGACACCAAATGTGGAGTTAGTCAAGGCCAACTATAATGTGGAAAAATATTCTGATAATATCTATTCGTTTTTGTTTTATACGCAAAAAACAGATTTTGATCATTTTCATGTCTCCTCCGTAACTTCTTTATTTATGAAAATATTCAAATAGGAATTTCACATTCTCATGGCAGTTTTTCAAAGTGATTTCGAAAAAAATATGAAATTTATACCAACGCTTCTAGAATTTGAGATATCAGCACCTACTTTAGTTTTTCAAATGTAGGTCATAGCTCACTATGACTTAGTTACAAATAACTTTTTTTTCTCTTACAGATGATATGTCGCAGTAATAGTTTTGTGTTGATAACATCGGAGTTATCGTCATTTATACAAAAACAAAAAATTATTTGGCAGCCGCCATCTTGAATTCATAAATTTTAACAAAAAAATCAAGATCTCCGACCTCAAAAACCCCCACTTACAAATTTTGAATGGAATCAGACCAAATCTTGTCCGCCATCTTGGAGCAGCCATTTTTTTTTAATTTCAACAAAAATTCCATAACTCCGATTGACTTGAAATATTTGGCAGGTGTTCATATTTTCGGTGACAATACATTAATTTAGTTAGTTTAATTTTTGACAACTTTACGTTCACATGAATATTGACATTCACTTATGAAACACCCTGTATAGTGGAACCCGAAACACTCAGAGATATTTTTTTTGAAATCACCTTGCAATATTAACCTAGAGTTGGATCATAAGAAATAGTTTTTCGCAAATATAACTATTTATTTTCGTTTTACATGGTTTCCCAAAACTAATCAAATCAGATAGCTATACCAGGATTGTTTTTATTTTTCCAGAAAGGAAGTATGTGATTCCAAACAACTAATTTGTCCTGTTTGTCCTTCAGTAACTACCTGCGATTTTGTTCCCTTGAAGAATTCATGTGAAAAATTCAAAATAGCTTATGTCTTAGAAAATAATATCACGGTTGATTACTCTATGCTTATGATATTTTGGGGTAAGAACTAATACATATATCTATATTTTATTTACCTACACATTCTTTTCCTCATTTTCGCAATATACGTTATTTGAATTCTAATTCTAATGAAAGAAGAAAGTTGGTATTTTTTATACACATATTTTCTTGAAGAAAATATGTATATGGAAGATACCAGCATCAAAATATAAATATAAGCACTTTATTTTCAGTGTCTATTACACAGATCGATACCGAACTGTACACAGGGCACTATATGTATAGAATCCTGAAATATGACGATTGGTCGAATACCTATGACCATAGTAAAATATCGAAAGTTCACGATTTACTGAGTAATTCATTTATTTTGTAACGAAGTTATCAACAAATTGATGAAATAATACACAGACCTCGCCACAAACACTCATATTTTTCTGCGATGTGTCAACTGTCAACCAATTTTCAATCGTATAAATAAATGATCCTTTGCACTTTGCACTTGCATAATGGTCCATCAATATTTCCCGATATCGGTTGAAATTATCAAGTTGAAACAGGTACCAATATACCTTCTTTATTGGCCAATCGTCATTTTGTGATATCAGGATTTCCTACTTATTGCCACTTATGGGAGGGGGGGCAGTAAGTGAATTTTTTCAACTCATTTTGAAGTTTTCCAATTTTTGTTTTGTACAAAAAATCAATGATACGAATAATTTATCACCCTACGTGTATTATTAAAAACCGATTTCCTAACTTTTTTAACTCGACAATGAAAAAAATATAGAACATTTTTTTATTTACAATATGATTTTTTTCCATCAGTATACGGAATTAAATTTCGAATTTGACCTCCGAGTCGGAAATTGAGAGTACACAGTCAGTTGGAAATCCTGATGGATTTGTACAAAATATCTCATTTCTCAGATCAAAAACCTGTAACTGAGAATTCCATTTTCCAAATGGGAACTTGATATTTTTGCCTTCAAGCTTTAAATTCTCTACTCATGAGTCTCATTTCTAGTTTGAAGTCGAAAAAAACAAATATTTACCATGAAACGTATTTTTTGTGAAACTTTCCCAAACTTCCCCATGGGCCAGTCCCTGTGTACAATTCATTATGAATCACCCTATATAGAGGTACCTTTGGAAGTTAGAGAAGGTGGAGTATCCAGGTGGAATACTTCTCAATGCATTTGTTTATTTGTAGTTTATAATTTTTAGTTAATAATTTCTGATAGGTTTTCCCACGAGCAAATCGTATACTTTTCTAGGGGTTATTTTCTTGATATCATGGAGAAGAAAAGAAGCAATGTTGAAAATGAGATGGAATATTCATCAAGTGCCACTGGATCGGGTGACAAGGTGAAAATAGTTTCTATGATAGGATCTACATATACCTAGTTGATGTACTATACACTAATATAGGTCAGTCAGTCGGTTGACTAGAATTTGTTTTAATCATCAGATTTTAATAAAGCTGACTTTTGAAAAAACTATACCTACTTTTGATCTAAGTGATACTTTATTTTAATTTTTGAATTTTGAAAACAGTTATTGATGCTTGTTACTACTTGATGTGATACGGTGCATATATCAGAGTCACAAGTAGACCAGAGTCAATCAAAATACTGATCTATTCTGAACCTATTAGGTTGAATTAGGGCGAAGTGACATTCATTATGAAATATCTCTCCAAATAAACTGCATAGTTTCCTTTTTTCCCCGGATATCTTCGGAAATAATTGTTTTTTTTTTCATTTCAAATCAGCTTTTTGTTGAGCATGAAATGGTGCAATTTTCGAGACAATTTCGCCCTGATTTAACCTAATCTGTATCTACTAAGGTTACCGGGATCCCCTTGCTTAGCCACGATTTTGTAACACCTTGTATTAGCCGTATTATACACAGGGTAGTTATAGACTCTATATGACTATTATTATAATTTGACTACTTCCTATTTTTTCAGACCACAATTCATTCAACAAGCTAGCTTGAACAGAATTTCTTCTATTACAGGAGAAAAGGAGTATTATTTTTCTATATGGCATAGAATATTATCCTATACTCTATCTTATAGCGTATTTTCAATTATCGTAAGTATAACAATCAACATTTTATTGATAAGTAGAGTTATGAATTTAAGTAATAAGCTTGTGTCACATTTAAAATGCCACCTTTGGAGACCTGCAGAACATCTCTTTCCAAAGACTCGTTCATCCGATGAACAGCGAGGCTCTGGAACATATTGCCAAGAGAGGTATCCCCCGAGGCATATAACCTCCAGAAATTTAAGAAGAACACCAATTCCTACCTTATTACCCTTGGTTCTCTTAAAAACACCTTCAAAGCAGTGTATAAATTGGGAAATACGTCCATAATTCCCATCAGGGTACCGGCGATTTCATATAGGGACATCATTGCTATTTTCTAAACGGCAAGAGATAGAAAGTTTTTCAAATTAGACAAAAATTGCGTATTTTAATCCTCTTCAGTCTTCAGCATGCTGTTTTGCAAACTGAAGAAATTTCAGCCATTCCTGAAATATTTTGATGAAACTGAAATACATTGATTTTGATCTTGGTCAGTATTCGAGAAAGAAATTTGAAATTTCGCGAAGTATTTGATCATGATACAATCTTCATTATTTTCAGACTCACCATGGCTATGAAGGAATATTAATACTGTATAGTCTTGACGATAGATATTTTGATTTCTTATTATTATGGCATAAGAACCACATTTTTTGATAATTTAATAGGACAGTTCAATTTTAAACAGTGATAACCAGCAGAAAATTGTTTTCACAATAGTTGCGAGGAAAATCTGTGAAAACAGTGGTATCTTTGGATATAAAAAGCACTGTAAGAATAAGTTGTTCGAACAGTTCGAAGCAATCAAAAAGTGCATTTGAAATATTGGTGACGGATCACTTCAAATTTTGGTGACGGATCATTTGATATTATGGTGGCGGAACATAAGACACCATTTTATTCGAGAAGAAAAGCTCATCCTGAAGATTCTGATCAGAATAACGGAATAATACTATCAAGTTATGTTATTGTCATCATTCCTTGATAAGTGTATGGAGGTTTAATTCAATTACACCTTTAGAAGATACTAACGAACAAACAAACATACCAAGCTGATACAAGCGTGGTGAAAGCAGCATTTTCCGTATTTGTTACCTATACGTAATAGTTATTTTCCTACGACCACCTATGAAAACATCACAAAACACATTGATTTGTTATTGAGAAAGTGACTCGTTTCACTATGACAACATATAACAGTTAGAAAGTTCGAAAGCAGAACTCACATGGGTGGAAATATTTGAAAATCGCACAGTAACAGGGCCTATAGATTATGATGTACCAATGAATGATTATTATGCTGAATTATGGTAAGTTCAGTTATGGTCAAGTTAATGGAAAGTTGGTGTCGATTTAACATGAGTAATTTTCGATAAGGTAGACGTAATGTTAAGTTGATGAAAAGTTGAAATCAAGTTAATTTCAATTGAAAGTTGAATTGATGTCAATGTATTGACAATTCAGTGATTAATGTGAAGTTAATGTCGATTTGATATTGAGTTGATGTTAATTTGATTTTAAGGTAATGTCAAGTTAATTTTGAGTTAATGTGGATTTTATGTTGAGTTAATGTTGAATAATTATTGAGTTAATGTTGATGTTGAGTCAATGTTAGATTAATTTTAAGTTAATGTTCAGTTGATATTGAGTTGATTTTAAGTTAATTTCAAGTTAATGTTGAGAAACTATTGAATTTATGTTAAGTTGATGTTAAGTGGATGTAAAGTTGATGTTAAGTGGATGTTAAGTTGATGTTAAGTTAATGTTGAGTTAATGTTAAGTTCATGTTAAGTTAATGTTAAGTTAACGTTAAACTAATGATGTCATTTAAATATTGAAGTAACATTAAATAATAATATGATATACTATTCCCCACTTCACTTTCCATGTTCTAAGTCCATTTGCATTTGATGGAAAGCTGACCAATTCAAATTTGCCATCGAACTGATTGATACAGCTTAACGCAGTTCATTTTACCATCCTTCCAAAACATAATTGAATAATGTCGTATTAAGATCAAGCATGAAATTAAAATTTTGTATAAGATCTCTTTCAACGCCTATTAATGTGACGTGACAGCAATGTGGGCCGCCAATACACGAAATCAAAGTCACTAGATGATTAAAAGAGAAAGGAGGTATGATCTGTCCGTACCCTGTTGAATGACAAATACGTCATTTTGCATCAAGGGAGCTACCCCAACCTAACCAGTACCCTGAAAAATTGAAATACAGTGTGTCCCACTTACCATGCTCACCATGGGTATCTTTTTATCGGTGAGAGATACGAGGTCGGTTAAATGACACCAAATGTGGAGTTCGTCAGGGCCAACTATAATGTGAAAAAATATTTTGATAAAATCTACTCGTTTTTGTTTTATACGCAAAAAACAGATTTTGATCATTTTCATGTCTCCTCCGTATCTTCTTTATTTATGAAAATATTCAAATATAGGAATTTCACATTCTCATGGCAGTTTTGCAAAGTGATTTCGAAAACAATATGAAATTTATACCAACTCTTCTAGAATTTGAGATATCAGCACCAACTTTAGTTTTTCAAATGTAGGTCATAGCTCACTATGACTTAGTAACAAATAACTTTTTTTTCTCTTACAGATGATATGTCGCAGTAATAGTTTTGTGTTGATAACAACGGAGTTATCGTCCTTTATACAGAACCGTTGATTGATATATTACGCTTTAAGCGTAATATATCAATCAACGACAGAACCAAAAAATTATTTGGAACCCGCCATCTTGAATTCAAAAATCATGATCTCCGACCTCAAAAACCCCCACTTACCAATTTTGAATGGAATCGGACCAAATCTTGTCCGCCATCTTGGAGCTGCCATTTTTTTTATTTAATAATTCAATGAGACATATCATCTATTAGAGAAAAAAAAGTTATTTGTAACTAGGTCATAGTGAGCTATGACCTACATTTGAAAAACTAAAGTTGGTGCTGATATCTCAAATTCTAGAAGAGTTGGTATAAATTTCATATTTTTTTCAAAATCACTTTGAAAAACTGCCATGAGAATGTGAAATTCCCATTACAATATTTCCATAAATAGAGAAGTTACGGAGGAGACATGAAAATGATCAAAATCTGTTTTTTGCGTATAAAACAAATACGAATAGATTTTATCAGAATATTTATTCACATTATAGTTGGCCTTGATAAACTCCACATTTGGTGTCATTTAACCGACCTCGTATCTCTCACCGTTAAAAAGATACCCATGGTGGGCATGGTAAGTGGGACACACTGTATTAGAGACTTGGTGAGTCCTTGAGATGTACACACTGTATATAATTTGTAGTTTGTAGCATACGTCATTGGTCTAGTGGTTGTTAAACTCTTTCGCCTGAACTTCCACCATTATGGAATGAGAAGCTCTATATTGAAAGGACATTTGGAAACATATGAAATGTTCGCATCATCTTTACTATCGGTGGTGATAATTTACATCTTCAAATTGGTACATGAACCTCGAGAAAATGTTCAATATGAGAATGTCTGATTCTGAATTTTTCAGTTCAAGAACCGTCTGTGCCAAAAACTCACCCAATGGGAGAATCCAAGAACTGATGCGGAATTCAAAATGCGATATCAAATCAAAGCTATAATTGTGTCATTTGGTAACACATTATTTCCCGTGATATATCTGGCATATTTCAAGGTAACTTCGAATGCCACAAGAAAAACATTTCAGCAAAATTATCATATTTCCAGACGTAATATAATTTTGCTGGACATTTTTGCATGAAAATATATGAAATAAGTAGGTAGTAGCGAAGTAAACAAGAATAATAATTAACAACTATTGCCTAATGCAAAGAAAGAAGTGTGTGTGAATACCCTATTATTATATTGTCCATCTACGGCTATGATCGATTTGACAAAAAATCTATCTTCTAAAATCGTATCTGATAAGTGAAAATCAGGCACTACTAATAGTCCAATAAATAAAGGGAAGAAGTTAACATTAATTACGCACTAGCTTTTGCTACCTCATCAAACATGAGACAAAGTTTGACTGGAAAACGCGTGCGATGGCGGAGAAAATGGCCCCAAAAGACCAGGAAAATAGGTTTTCAGCCAATATCTCCTAAAATATGGCAGTTGGAGATTTTCGGTTCAGATAAAAATTGAATTTCAGTTAATTTTCTCAAAAATGGTGCTCATCATTTTTCTCGAAAATTTGCCCGTTTTCGAGAAAAACTGCACGAAGCGCACCTCGAATAATGAGCTTCTGCGTTGTATGCCGGAGAGCACAGTCCGTGTATTTACACATCGGCGGGAGGACAAATTATTCAATAACTTTGTTAAAAATGCATATTTTCTCATGATTCAAAGTTCATGTGAAAGAGGAATTCTTCTGCTATCATACCCTGTGAATTGACTCACGCTTGACTCTTTTGGCCATATCGGAACGTGGGTCAAACTTTCTGCTCCCGGTCAATTTTGACCTCGCCAGGAATTTGTTCCTATTTTTTTTGTATTGCACTAATTTACTCAAAATTTTCTTGATTATGGATCCTCATAAGGTCCTTTGTCATCCCTGAAATTTGTATACCCAATCCCAATTTTTTGCTGTTTTTGGAGCGCGGGGAAATCTTGTGAACAACCATCAATTAAAAATTTATACATGATCCGATTGGTTTCTATGATACATAATTTGAAAGCTAAGAAGGTCGTCCATTTTTCAATAAAATTAGAAAAAGCGGGGTCAAGGAAAAAAACGCACTTTTTTTTTCGGTGGTTTTTTTCTCCGTGCTCTTTATTTCTAATATTTTAACACCTCAACTAGTGTAACGGGGGAATTCCCACCTTTCCATCGATGTATATCCCGGGAAAAAACCAGTATATCTAAATGTACAAGCTATAATTTATTACTTTCGTTCCTCCGTCGTTCGCCGCGTGTGTGCTCTACGTGGCGCTCGGGTCGTCTGCTACAAACCATGCGGCCACGCAGGGTATGATAGCAGCAGACTTCCTCTTTCACATGAACTTTGAATCATGAGAAAATATGCATTTTCAACAAAGTTTTTGAATAATTTGTCCCCCCGCCGGTGTGTAAATACACGGACTTTGCTCTCCGGCATACAACAGAAGCTCATTATTCGAGGTGCGCTTCGTGCCGTTTTTCTCGAAAACGGGCAAATTTTCGAGAAAAATGATGAGGATCATTTTTGTAGAAAATTAACTGAACTTCAATTTTTATCTGAACCGAAAATCTCTAATTGCCATATTTTAGGAGATATTGGCTGAAAACCTATTTTCCTGGTCTTTTGGGACCATTTTCTCCGCCATCGCACGCATTTTCCAGTCAAACTTTGTCTCATGTTTAATGAGGTACCAAAAGCTACTTCAAACCGGAAGATGAAAATAGTGCGTAATTAACGTTAACTTTGCCTATTTTCCTCCTTCATTTATTGGACTAGAACTCTTATCTAACTAATAGTACACTCATCTTCAACGAACATGTCGCGGTTGGACGGTATGAGCGGTCTTATTGCAGCGGTGATCAAGGGAGCTGACACCGTCCATGTGCGACATGATCTCTGAAGACACTGTACCATACACCCACTTATTGACTAATCTAGACCGCCAATTCTATAAGGAAAAAGATGAGACACTCAGGAAATTGAACTGGTGAAACAGAGTCATGCGCATTATTTAGGATCTGTCATTATCATGTTACACTCTTGAACTCGACGAACATAGGCGCAACGGAAGGACAAGGTTTGGTGAAAGGGTTAGAAAACACAAAATTATCTCCACAACGTTTAATAATGATCGAAATATTATTTAGGGAAACATGTTTTGGACAGTCTTGTGTTCATCATCAGCCTTAATCCTTACAAATCAAAGGTCCTATAATATAATACGAGTTAATCATGAAAAATATATGAAATAGAGAATTTTACTCACGTGGGAATGAGAAAAATATTATGAATAAAATTATTGTGCAAAGCACACAGCAATTTTTTGGGATCTCCTTATGAGAAAAGTTGGAATTACTTCCAGAAATGAGACAACAGAAAACATAACCTCAATTCAAAAACAATTTTTGATGACACCTTTCCAGACACACAAACACACTTAATAACTCGATCACTAGAATATTCCTTACACTTTTCACTGGCTTTCAATAATATTTCACATTGATATAGCACATCAATTTACTCTTGAAAACTAAAAACAATCACTCTGTTACATCCAGAACCCATATATCGTATTTGTGCAAATGGCTGGAGGTAGACACGGGTAGACCTTTTGAACAGTGTTGCCAGACTGGGCTCACCGCGGCTTTTCTCTTCAAAGATGGCTATGGCGATATGTAAAGGGCCGTTTTAACGTTCATGCAATCTGCGCAAATTGACTTGTGCATGCTGATTTGCGCAAATGAACTGAGTCATTGTATTCTATTCACACGTTCAGTCTCAGTAAATTCTGATAATCTGAATAATAGCAATAATAACTCCAAAAGTCAAGTCGATGGGTCAGGAAGAAGAATTATATGCACTAGCTGGTGTTTGTTTGATAATATTAAAAAAGTGTCAACAAAGATAAAGCCCAGAAAGCCGCAGAGAACTTGATCCTGTAGGAAGCTCATTAATTCATAGTACCACAAATGTGGGACATATAAATATCGTCTGCACCGGCACCGGATCCCTCAGAATCAAGAACTTTCTTCATTTCTTTTCTGTATGTCGTTCTTAAGGAATTTATTTTCTTCACCACGGTTTCTCTATACGCAGTTTCGTCCAGAGTCCGCATTTTTTCGACGAGAATTTTATATGCTTGAGATTTAACGTTTCTATCGCTGTATTCTTTGGATTTGATTTTCCAAAGGCACGGACAGGATTTATACAGCTCAATGAATTCTGTAAAGAATACTTGTTCTTTTTTCGACATTATTGCCAAACAAACACAAATACAAACAAAATGTCTCAGGAGATTGTTTTAGGGAGTTTAAAGTTACAACACACCGAAATCACTAATGAGATGCCGAGCAGGTCAGAACAAGAATGGGGAAGTCCACTGAGGGAAGAAATCCATGCAAACCTCTTTCAATCGACCGTGACGTATTAGTCCTGAACTGTAGCTATCTCTCTCTGATACCTCGTCATTCTGCAGTGTTGCAGCGTGATTGGTCAGTTCAAGGACAATAGGCGTGTTGGGACTAGGACGTCGCACCAGTCACACCAATGAATTGACAAAATTTCAAATGGCGCAGGAATTGTGTGTTTTGAAATGGACATATTCTAATTTATTTTTTTCATCGGTTTAGCATGAATGACAAAATTCAAAATTAATTCGCTGGTAGTTTTTCAGTATAGAGTTCACGATAATGTTTTAAAAAATCAGTGGTCTCCCCCATTCTCTGCTACTGAGTTTCTGCGCATGCAAGCGGCATCCGTAGAGTTCGAGTGTTGTTTACACGTTCAAGCATTTGCTCCAACCACATGCAAATTATCTGACCAGCCGACCAGCCAGATTTCACTCAAGTCAAGCTTTCTGGCTTGTACAAGTGCACGATTTCAGTTTTCATGGAACAATTTGCTTGCGCAAATTAGCATGCACAAGTCAATTTGCACAAATTAGCATGCACAAGTCAATTTGCGCAAATTGCATGAACGTAAAAACGGCCCTTAAGACTACCATATAGCAGTCTAGATACAGTGATAAGTCGGTGGTAACATACAACTCTAGGCTCCATTGCCTTCATCTAACTAACACTAGAGTTCCTAAATGTACTTGACTTTTTTGTTAATATACAAAAAACGTCAAAACAGCAATGTCAAGTACATTTAGGAACTCTAACACCAGTGTTCTCATTCAGGGTAAATTTTTCACACACCCTGGCGATGCAACTCAATGGAGCATTTTGGGCATTGGCAGATCTGATGTGTGCCCTCCTAGCGGATGTCTGGTGGATCTGAGCGTTCAGTTGATGATGATAATGGGGGTGGACAATATGGTCAAAATATTCAAAGGAACTTTCTTACAGTGAGTCTGTAACACTTACAGGGTGACAACTTGCAAACGAGCAGCACTAATTTTTTCCTCAACTGATGACATTATGAGAATTTGGTAATTTGGCGTAACAGAATCCAATCAGCGTAAGACAAATTTCTCTTCAAAATGACTTACATATTGTTGTCTGTTCTTTATTGATCAATCTGTCTGCTGATAATACAATTGAGTCGATCATGGTCAAATCATGTATTAAGATTCTTGCGCTGGAAAAAATAGGAATATTGATTTTGGGTGTATGATAAATTGACATTCATCATACAAGGCGTGGAAAGAAATTCTAAATTGAGACTCTATCACGAATCTGCGATTAGAGGTCTATAAAAATCACAAGTTTCCATCGTTCAAGTTTGGAGCCCCCTGATTGGGTATGATAGTGTTGAAAAGGAATATTCTCAGATAAATTATGAACATACAAAAATGGATATATATTTATATAAAGCAATACATTGAGAATTCGCATTCTCTATGTGATGAGAATATTTACTCTTTTTCAGTTGATTCAATAGAAAACAACTACTTTCCTGGCTATATGCCACGACGAACATTGAATTATATCTATTGAACACACACGATAAGAGTTTGAAAATAAAATATAAAAACTTCTGAAATTGAGAATTTGCATTCTCCTTCAGACAAATATATGTATATGCACACATCATTCTGAATATTCAACAGAAAACCTGGACCTTCAGCTTGTGGAACTTGAAGATTTACTTTCACATGACACTTTATTTTGGACCATATTGCTTCAATTGTGTTCATCATTGGAGAATTTGGAGCTGAACGAAGAAGCCTTGCCTCAGTTCCGCCCAGAACGTTTTCAACACAACAACAACATCCGATAATTGATTTCCTTAAGCTTGCCATTGCTGCAAAAACCTTAGCACCCAAGCATTGGCTGAATCAGATGTGAAAGAGCCTCTCCTCCTCTCGAAGTGCACTACACCTGCTGCCAACACAGCGAGCACAAAAACATCTCAGAGATGTTAAAAGTACGAGATTTCGAGACATTGAACCTCCACTACGATGTTCTGTTCACACATGAATAAAACTATTATAGATCAGCCGATGTCCGCCGCAGGCGGCAATTATCGAGATGTCCTTGATATGTCACAAAAACTACCTTCTCCCTAGTTCTTTTTAAAGCCTTTTCATGGACACAACAAAACATTTTCAACGCGTCTTGCGCACATTGAATCGCTGTAAAAAAACCATTTTCGAGGTACTTTTCTGAAGCCTTTTGTCAAAATGAACTTTTGCATTAGGATTCCATTTACCTTGAATGAAAAAATGCATTAAAAATAGATTGAACATAAAAATATTTTCTTGATAAGAAATTACCTTCTTAATCGGTTTCTGAGTAGTGCTTACTGCACACAGATATATACCTGATTGGAAATAGGTTTCCCAATTTTTGAAATGTTCTCCACAATGCATAATTTTGCAACTAAGGAGAAGCTGTGTATTGAAGAATTCGTATTTTTATATATTGATTACACTGAGGCACCGAACAACACATCTTGCATCTGATGGTCATTATTACAAAACTAAATAAGTCTTCTAACACAATAAACTTCACCAAATTCCTTTCTGTTCGTTAGCAGCGTGATGTAAGCGTGACACGCTGCAAACGCGAATGCCAATTGCGAACAAGAAGAACAAAATCGAAAACAAATCAGAATTCATCGTATTGTGACGTGAGCATGAGACGTTGTGGTGGGGCAAACAAAGAAAGGACACAAAAGAACAAAAACAATACTTTCAATATCCTTCTAAGACCTCTTTGGGAAATGCATATTACGCCTCAAAAAAACATCCTCATGCCTACATTTCTTAAACATCCCAAAACATCCCAGGGATACCTCTCAGTAGGCAAACAAAGAAATGCCACAGAAGAACAAAAACAATACTTCAATATCCTTCAAAGACCTCTTTGGTCAGTGCATATTACGTCTCAAAATAACATCTTCATGCCAACATTTTCAAAACATCCCAGGGATGTTTGTGCTCGCTGGGAATATTGCAACTATCAAATGAAGTTATGCTTCTTGAAGTACGATTGACAGTTTCTGAATTACATTTCACTAATCTAAATTAGATATTATGCTTTCTGAATAACAATTAACTAATCTGAATTTTAAGCTATACTTTCTGAATCACAATGAATAACTATTCTGAATTACAACTTATACTTTCTGACTCACATCTTATACTTTCTGAATTACAATTGAAAAAGGTGTAGATCATAGAAGTATGTTGGTCGTGATTTCAATACTGATTTTATTTCAAGGTATCTCTCAGTACGATATAATCGAAGCATTCGCAAATATAAGGGTCCCAAAGAGTTCACAAGGCAATGGGAAGAAGACTTCAATCTCTTACCAGTTGGGACGAACTTCCTCGATGATGCTTACATCGATATGGGTTGGTTGGACCATAGATTAAAGATGGATTTATGCACACCGCTTTTTCACTAATTTGTTGCTTTCCTTATCTGCCATTGACTTCATTTTTATTTAAGGAGTACTGATACTTCTGTGCACCAACTTCTTTTAATTTTAAACTCTTCTTCTTGATCAAAAGTTAAGGTGGATTCATGCAACATCAACTAAATTATGATGGATTTGAGATTTAAACGAATTTTAAGTTGAAAAGGACGAATCAATATTAGGAGATATTACATTATATATTGAAATCATAAAATAATCGACGTGAAATTTTCCCGTGGGAAAATAGTGAGTACTTTTTTCCCGGATATATATCACATATACAGGGTGTTTCAAAAAAACCTGACCCCCTTGCTAGGGTAGGTAGAACACTGCAAAATAAGTTGGGTTTGCTCAGTGAAAAAAATGTCCTAACGGCATCTGTTTTCATGATACAAGGTGTTGAAAAAAATATTTTTCTACACATTTTTCACGATTATGTCGAAACTATTGGCAACATTGCAATGACATTTTGTATGGATGTTTCTTGAAATCTGACACATCGCATGAATTTGTTTTTATATCTGACTCTCATAGAGGGCGCTAGTTACACGGTTCGTACCGAGTAGTTTTGAACATAACTTTTTTTAGGTTAGATTTTTCAATCCAAATATGATACGAACTTGAACATCATTCAATTTTACACCAAAAATATACTCCTGGTGAAACTCGATACTATGTTTCGTTTTCGGAATATTTCGATTTGAAAATAATGGGGTAGTAATGATGATGGTATAAAATGAATTTTATCGAGTTCAATTACCTTTTTCTTCAGATTCAAAAACAATAAAATTATTCTTGTGCTGAAGTTATTGATGAAATAAAGAATCATGAGTGGAAAATCAAGAGATATTTGACAAGAAACATGAAATATTGAATCAGTTAGAGTAAGTGTTCAAAATGTCCTACGTTTCGACGAATACACGATCCTATATTCTTTTCTTAGGAGTGTATTATTCTTCTAAACAGTTGAGGACCAGCTGTTAGGTCATTCAAGTTATGTTCAAAAATGTCTTACAACCCTTGACGTGAATTCACCTATGTAGCATAGACTTTCTGCTCAAGATACAACAAAACTGTGTAATCCATGTTCTTAGTCAAATCTGTTTCGATGTTATTATTGTGATTCATCGTTAAATCAATGACTTTTGCATCAGATATGTATCGTTGTTTTCGGTTTTTAATAAATAGGTGATAATTTTTCATGCGATACTCACTCTAATACATAGCTTTATACCAGCAACAGTTATCACTTCATCATTTTCAAATCGAAATATTCCGAGTATGGAACACAGTATCGAGTTTTACCAAGAGTACCTTTCTGGTGTGAAATTGAATGATGTTCAAGTTCACATCAAATTTGGATTAAAAAATCTAACCTCAAAGAAGTTATGGCCAAAACTACTCGCGGTACGAACCGTGTAACTAGCGCTCTCTATGAGAGTCAGATATAAAAACAAATGCATGCGATGTTTCAGATTCCAAGAAACATCCATACAAAATTTGATCATAATGTTGCCAGTAGTTTCGACATAATCTTGAAAAATGTGTATAAAAATCATTTTTTCGACACCTTGTATCTTGATAACGGATGCCGTTACGAAATTTTTTTACTGAGTAAACCCAACTTATTTTGCAGTGTTCTACCCCCTAGTAAGAGGGTCAGGTATTTTTGAAACACCCTGTATATACACTGTCGATAGCTTTTGTTGTGCTATAGTTCCGAAAAATGAGTCAATAATACCGTCTCCGAGAAAAAACTGCAAGTCTTTTAAAAACTTAAAATTTCACGTCGATAATTTTCAGATTTCAAAGTAATAAAATATCTTCTCAATATTGATTCGTCCTTTCTTCTGCCACAAAAAAAAAGTGTATTACACACGGGAAAAATATTAGATTTTAGCTCACGGTTTTTTGACAACACAACCTGGAGCTAAAATCTCTTTTCTCTTGTCTAATAGATAACTATTTTGGTGGTGCGCTTATTGAGCTGATATACAAATATATGAAAAAAAAAAAATACAATTTCACAGCTATACAACATGGTTACATGTCATTATTTCTGGTTGCATTTCCATTGGCCCCAGTTTTCTCTTTGGTCAATAGCGTTTTGAAAATGAGGTTCGATGCGATCAGGCTATTAAAACGATCGAGAAGAGTTATCCCTAGATATATGACAGGAATTGACCAATGGAATACCGTATTTCAAGTTATCACCCTGTTGGGCGCTATAGCAAATGTGAGTAGATTTTTTCTCATTATTGTATGAATTGATTATTTGTTTTCAGTGTAAGTATTTGCAATTTGCATTGCATACATATTATGGCACGGCATTGGTGATGGTTACTTCACATATTTATTTGAGTTGATTGTTTCGGTTGCAGAAAAAATAGCATGTTTCATTCGGATCGAAAGTGACTTTGTTTGACTCGCAAATTTAGCTTCCGCTCGGCTTCGCTAAACGCTCCGCCTCGCAAATACAAAATTCGCCTTTCAAACGAAGTGCCATTTTTGATCCTGATAAGACAATCAACTATTTTTCTCCATTCAGTTTCCTCAAAATGCTCATATTTTTCTAGCCCCTGTTGATTACCTTCGGGAGTAATTTCGTACCCAGAATATTGTACAGATCACAAAATGGAAATTCTCTTACTGGCTTCATCAACAGTACGCTGTCTGGTAAGGCATTCATTCAACCGCCGGGTGACCCAGGGTATCAGGCTATCCCTGAATCTTCTGCATTCGTAAACGAAGTTTTCTGAAATTCGAAACATTAATATTAGCAACCATTTCGGATTTGATCACATTACAAATCACAATCCAAAATGACGAAGTCCGGTATTTCTGGAAATGACAGCAACCTTGTTTTTCAAATCGATTACCCTGTATATTTTTACATATTCAACATCAACAGGTCAAAACAAGTGCCATCTTTGTCAAATGTCATTTTTTTTTGAAAAAAATGGAATTAACCGAACTACAAGGAGATTCATGAACTAGTTGTTGATTTTTGAATGTATACAATTTGTTACAACACCGAAATAGAGAAATAGATTGATATATTTGTTGGTCCACTTTCAAAGAACTTATACAAGTTATGGGACAATTCATGAAACAATTCATACACAGGAATTGCAGATAAAAATATATAAAATAGTATGAAACAAAACAAATATGGTAGACAAACATTGACATTGAACAAGCCTCATCTGAAATAATCAATGAATACAAAAATGATCTCATTTTTTCCCTTGATGTATTTTCTAGAAAGACATGTAGGTCCATGGCGGTTCCATTTGGAAAGAATGAATTTTTATTCAAAATAAGATGTCACTGAAATGAATCATCGATATCCATCTATTATAAAAGTATTCGATAGACTCATTCATTACTTGAAATAATACCAAATATATTTCAATAATTATTTACAATATGTAAAGAGATCTGATGAAAAAACTGTGCGACAGTGAACAAAAACTGTAAATTCTTTGAGGTTAGGTCAGTTGGATTTTTTCATCAGTTCATTCCTATCTACAACATACCAGAAATTCAGTAATTTTCAGAGATTTTCTTCTTGAAAAAATTGCCTTTGGAGGTCAATATCGAAAAAACTGTCAATTTTTTGAGGTTAGTTTAATGGAAGATCTGTTCAGTATATCAAAGTCTGCAACATACTAAAAATTTAGCGATTTTCATCGAGAGCCATTTTCCCTATAGAGAAAGTGACAAATGTGTTTTATTGTAATTATTTTTTTAATAGAAATGGAACCAACAACAATTGGATAACCACATATACGGTTAGTTTCATTGGAAATGACCCTCCCCTACTACCCCACTTCTTTTGATTCATGACTTATGAGACACCCTGTATATCTTTACCAAATTTCAGAAAAATCCAAGCCAGCCAAGCCGCACTGAAAGCCCTAAAATCATTCGTTTTCACATCAAAGATTACATGGGACTGCTTTGAAACACTCATGCAACTGGGAAAGGGCAACAAAGTCACATTTATGTGGGTTCCAGGGCATGAAGGAATCAAAGGAAATGAGGCAGCTGATCGCCTCGCGAAAAAAGGTGCAGCATCTGCACTTTTTGGTCCTGAGCCTTTTTGTGGGATAAGCAAATGTCACCTAAAGGGAGAACTCGGGAAATGGGAAGAAATTGAAAAGTCCTCCTACTGGAGAGCAACTCCAGGTCAACGACAAGCGAAAAGGTTCATCAACCATTCGCAGAACCGAGCCAAAGAGCTACTCAGCCTCAGCAAACCAGAGCTGAAGCTTATCACAGGCTTTCTCACAGGACACGGCCCTCTGAGGTACCACCTCAAAAAGATGGGTCTGTCGGAGACTGACACTTGCCGCTTTTGTAACAATGCGACCGAAACCGCGGAACACATACTTTGCTCATGTGAAGTATTAGTCCGCCAAAGGCTGAACCACCTAGAACAGGTCTATCTCACCCCTGCTGAAGTGGAAAAGTCAACCGTCAGAAAAATCGTAGGCTTCATCAGAAGTCTAGGGTTAGAGGACCAAAACTAGATAGGGGTAATCACAATAGATCTTCTAGGTCGCAGTGATCGAGAGGTCTCTCAGCCTATACGACCCATCTTCAATCTACAATCTACAATGCAGAAGTTGAAGGGGTGGCTCGATACCCTGTGTCACCTGGTAAATATTCGCAAAACAATTTCAAATTTTAGAATTTGCCGTCGATGATTTCCCCGAAACTAGAAGCTTGGAAAATGTCACTACTTGTCTCTATTTTGGTAGAAGATATCCTCCATCGCACTCAAGAAGTTACGAATTAACGTCAGACTTTTGGATACTGATTGCAGTCAAATCGATAATCTTCATCTGTCTAGAGGTTCGAATTCGATTTATTACTACAACTTTTTCAAGTTTTATTTCAGAAAGCATCAATTAAATTTCAGAAAACATCAATTGTATGTACTTCAAAACAGTCAATTGAATTTAGAAAAGCTTCAATAGGCTACTGAACTTGTATGGCATTTTTTACTGATGTGTTGTTACAGAGCTCAACAATGAGCCTTTCCAGTTATTTCTAGAAAACATTTCTTGAAATACATATTTGGCTCTCGAATTCCTTAAAATAATTTTTTAAGATTTTTTTTCTTCAATTCATCGTACAAAAAATTATTGTAAACGCCAAAATTTGTTTATTGTTTATTGAGAAAATAGCTTCCAGTCAGAAATAAAATTCTGGTATGAGGAAGTTGATTAACAAACAACGATGATAAAATAACATAGGGTGACAACAACAAAAAAAAATCTGAAAATGTTGAAACGATCAAGTCATAAAAATAGCAACAGCGACTAATCAGTAGTAGTAGTAGTAGTAGTAGTAGGTAATCAGTTTTTAATTCAATTTTAAATTTTGAAATATGTCTTCAATTTTTTATATTATGTTGTAATTTATTGAATTCAGCTGAAGCAGCATGGGTAAATTTTTTTTGGCCCATTATAGAAGTAGTAGAATCAATATGATTGATTGGATCTTTCTTTTCTTTGATTCAGACCAGGTAAGAGTCCCTCTTATCCTGATATCTATCATGAAAAGAAAAAAAAACAAAATCAAAAAAGGTATTGAAGTTTGATGCGAACAGACGACCTTTTGCCCCAAATAAGTTTCAAAAATACATTCTGAGAATTGAAAAACATCGAACGGAACAATAAATAAATATCAAAAACTTGAGAAGAGTGAATTCGGTCATAATGTTGATATTTTCTCTAGTTTATGGAAAATCTCGGTCTTTTGAACTTTGATTGATCACCTGGGTCATAATTAACTGCATTTCGAAGAAGCTGATTGTCATGAACCACAGCTTTTTCGAAATTCTTGATGTTTCGTTCTCTAACGACGGACACGATTGAAGGGAGTTTCAGATCCCTGGCGATCTGGTTATTCCGAACATACCAAGAAGATCCTGTCACCATTCTCGCGATTTTGTTTTGTGATGTTTGTAATCTGGTGATATGAGATTTAGCTGTGTGGCCCCAGACTACCAAGGCATACAGTAAAATTGGCCTGATAGCCAGGATATAAATATTCAATTTTTGTCTCAAACCCAATTTACTTCGTCTGTTTAGAAATGGATACAGGGCTGCTATGGCTCGTTTACCTTTTGAAACTTGCTGTTCAATGTGCTGGGCCCAGGTGAGCTTTTTGCCAATGCACAGACCTAAGTATTCAACTTGTGAAGACCACTCTAACTCATGACCATCCAGGACTATTCTGGTTCTGGGAGGCCTCCGCTCCCTTCCGAGTGCGATTAATTGTATTTTTTCAGGATTCAATTTGATCTTCCATCTCAGAAAGTACTCGTAAGAGAATTCAGCGCGCTTTGGAGGTTCATAGCTGCTTGCTCGAAATTTGTCGAATATGCAAGAACTGCCGTATCATCAGCAAAAAGCGACATCTTGCACATCACTAGTCTCAGCAAATCGCTAGTATATAAACTGTACAACAGCGGCGATAAAACTGCACCCTGAGGAACACCAGCATCAATGGACTTGATACCAGATCGTTGATCATCAAGTCCATATCGATCATTTTGTACAAGATACCATCATGCCAGACCTTGTCAAATGCTTTCGCTATGTCAAGGAGAGCAAGATGGCTCTTTTGTCTATTATTTCTCAACGATATTGTGTTCTCAATGAGTCTCAAGACTTGTAGTTCAGTTGAGTGGCCAGTTCTGAAACCGAACTGCTCATCTGGTATCAGTTCGTTGCCGTCGATAATGGTTATTTATGCAACAAGTGCAAAAAGTGAATGTTCATTGCACGAGTTGCATAAGTACAACATTTTTTCTGGGTTCATGCAAAAAGCAAAAAATGATTTATTGAGGTGCGGCACTAGGTGTAGGAAAATGAAAAACGCAACTTGAATACTTTATTATTGATATCGATTTGCATTGAAACAGGAACTAATACGTTACGAACAATTTAACTCAAACTTTATTTTTACCCTCAATGTTGAAAGTGAATGAACAATTGGTGCAATTTTCAATATGAATATTTCGTAGTTTAATATGTGACTGACGTTTCTATAACCACAGTTGCAATATAAAAAATGCTTAAAAAATGTTTGTCATGATGACAGCACGTTGAAGTAGAATGACAGATGAGTGCGATAAAAACTTTATTGCACTAAGTGCAAAATTGAAAATAAAAATAAGAAAAAAATCAGTTCACTAGCCTACTGAGAGTTAGTAGTCGATACAATTGTAGAAATCATCAATTATTCTATATCTCGAAATATTCAGTTGGTATTTCAGAATTTGTTCTCAATATTTTTTCGTGAATTTTCTGGATTTTCTTCGAACAGCATGATACTTCTAGCAGAACTCAACATTTTTCATGATATTCCAGAATGTTTGCCTGCTGTTTTCCTTGTTCCTGAACTATGTTGTGCCCACCATACCCAGAAAAGTTGAAATAAAAATGGAATACGAGCAAGAGGTGTTGCGAGAGATGAGGTTGAGGAATAACGCTATTTAGAATTTTACTGAAATAATTTGCAATGTACTATACATTTGAATAATAAAACGTGTCATAAAAATTGTTTTTCAACTTAGGATAGTCTCTTTACGTTTGATAAATCGTTAACATAAGTGAATGTTATTTAGGTTTTCCATTGAAAAGAATTAACATAAACAACTATCTTACCTATCGATGACACCCTGTATATCTTTTGTATGTCTGCTTGCTTTCTCATAATTATGATGTCTGTCAGAAAAATGGCATATGGAAACTATTAGAAAATGGAAAGACATTCCACATTATTTTTTTCAGACGGTAAAAGGAGAATAGATTTCGTTTTGGTATATAAAAGTAATTTACACGAAGGAGACAAACTGAACAAATTTGAAACATATATTGAAAATCTACAGAAGAGTGGATTGAACATTGAAATTGAGAAATTCACGGTAAGTTAAATTTCAAATATTAAAATGAAACTTGAGAAAAAATAAGAAAACAAGTTTTATATTACCTATTGATATATCTTCCGAAATCATTGATGAATAAATCGAATAGCAAAATAAGACTCCAAACCATAAACTAAAGTGAAGAATCTCTCGATGAAAGTTGATCTGGATTATGGTTAAACAAAAGTTGTACATACAGGACTAGGTGTATTCGAACTGTGAAATATCCTAGACCCATGAAGAACAAGTTGGAAAACATTCTTAGTTTCTGTTTTTCAACGCTTTTGACGAGTAAATAAACGAACTATAGGTATACATTAACATTAATTAGACTGCGGTTGCGTGTCCAATATTTTGCATAGGGGAGATATAATTGAGCTTTGAGTGCTATACAATTTTTGGTAAAACTGCATTCATCATGCGATGGGTTTTTTTTTTCGAATTTTTTTATGTCTGAAAAACACGAATTTGATAATGAGAATGTGGAGAAACAGTTCGAAATCTCGCCTTTTCCTCCTGTGTTGGATGCATTTAGTTCATGATGTACTTCAATGACACATTTTTATATACAAAATTCAACACGAAATATAATTTTTATGGCGAGTTTTCCATATTTATTGAACAATCATACCAGTTGATGGCCATTTGCTCTTGAACTAACACCTGTTCTCTGCAATTTGTTCAACTACTCTTACAAATTGGGGATTTTCCCGTCCAACTGAAAAATTGTAAGAATACAACCAGTTCCTAGAAAAGGCAAAAAGACCCTACCTAGCAACTACAGACCGATCGCACTGCTATCTAATATTTCAAAGATCATGGAGAAAGCTATCAACATTGAGCTCATGAAATACCTGGAACATTCAGGTATCATCAACGACAGGCAATATGGCTTCCGTCATCAGAGATCAACTGGTGACCTGCTCGCTTACATCTCACATATTATATGGCAGCAATCTACTGAAAAATATGGTGAAACCTCAGCCGTGGCACTTGATATCTCCAAGGCATTCGATCGAGTCTGGCACCACGAACTCCTCGCCAAGATTCCATGGCTTGCCTCCCCAGCTATGTTCTCTACTAGCTAGTTTCCTCTCAAACAGGTCTCTCCATGTAGTGGTCGACGGAGCTTCATCTGACTCTCTCATCATAAATGCTGGTGTTCCGCAAGGATCAATTCTAGCACCACCACTATTTCTACTCCATATCAACGATTTGTTGGAACCAACTTCATGTCCAGTACACAGCTTTGCGGATGATAGTACCCTCCATACCGCCTTCTCTTCCAGGGCTCCAATACCAGCCAGGCAAATCAGAAACGAACGAGGAAGAAATGTTGACAACATAAATATGGAGTTGGCAACAATTCTCGAATGGGGATCCAATAACTTGGTAGATTTCAATGCAAACAAAACACAAGCATGCCTTTTCTCTAGAAAAGCCGATCTCACTGTGCCCAAAATAAGCTTGTCAGGAGTGACCATACCTTTGAAGACATCCATTTCAATGCTTGGTTTTACTATCAGCAATAATCTTTCTTGGGAAAAACTTGGATTTCTGTCTCGAGCCAGGAGCTATTCCACTTCCAGTCAGCTGCTTATGATCTATAAGGCACAGATCCGACCTGTCCTGGAATACTGTTCCCACATTTGGAGTGCAGCACCCAAACATACCCTGAAACTGTTGGATTCTGTCCAAAAAAGGGCAACTCGTCTCATGGGTGATGCCTTGCTCATAAACTCACTCACTTCTCTGGAACACCGTAGAAAAGCGATCTGGCTTCATTTTATAGATATTTTCTTCTGAAATATCAACAATTGTTCTTCCCTTGGCAGACCCCGCGAGATTAACCCATCGAGTTGAAGCTTCGCACCCCTTCGTGATCACTTTAGAGACCTGCAGAACACCTCTTTCCAAACACTCATTCATCTAACGAACAGCAAGGCTTTGGAACACATTGCCAAGGGAGGTGTTCCCCGAGGCATATAACCCCCAGAAATTTAAGAATAACATCAATTCCTAACTTATTTCCCTTGGTTCTCACGATGTTCTCTGAACATCACAGGATGTCCGTGGGATATTCGTGGGAACCAGGACATAAAAAAAATTCAATCAATAGTCGATCCAAATACCAAAAGTCAAATGTCAAATGATTGCTTTCGAATAACATAACACACGCCATTATTTCGAATGATATTCTTTCTTATTTTCACTAAATATGGATAAATCGCAAGAAAATCATATTTCTAGTTGACTCATATAATAGAAAAAAATGTGTCATTGAAGTACATTGTGATATACAGGGTGTCCTATAAGTCATGGATCAAAAGAAGTGGGGTCATTTTCAATCAAACTAACCGTATATGTGGTTATCCAATTGTTGATGGTTCAAAAGTTATTAATTTTTTTTTCATTTCTATAAAAAAAGATTAACAATAAAACTATGTAACATTTTTTATTTTCTCTTCTACAAATTTCATCCACATGAAAACGAAAGAGTTAAGGGGGGGGGGTTTCCATTTTAAGAGGCGCACCCTGTACCTGCACACAAATGAAAGTAGCAACCCTGATCAACTTGTTTCAGTTTTAGGTAGACCCCTCTGTTAGTTTCGTGAAAATACATGCGCCCGAAAGCTTTGTTGATAGTTATGCTGATATATGCGATGTTGATTTGGCATGCAGAAACCAAGATTATCGACCTCCTTATAAAACTCCTCCGAATTTTATGGCTACGCCTCTGACTAGACCGAAATCAGAAGACGATATTTCTCGTAGAGCGTAAGTATGATCGCCATCAACCACAACAACATATCCCCTTCATCACTAACATTAAGGACTTGAGTTCCTCAGGGGTCTGTTCTCGGGCCGTTGCTCTTTGAAATTCACACTCACGAGTTTTTCAGATGTCTAAAATACTGCAATTTATTTCCCGTAGAGCGTGAGTATGATCGCCATCAACCACAACAACATATCCCCTTCATTACTAACATTAAGGAATTGAGTTCCTCAGGGGTCTGTTCTCGGGCCGTTGCTCTTTGAAATTCACACTCACGAGTTTTTCAGATGTCAAAAATACTGTAATTATCACTTCTATGTGGATGACACCTTTCAAAGAAGGAAACATCGAATAGTTGTCTGTAGGTTGATCGAGGAGGTGGTACATTCATTATTTCAGATTTTATTTTTTTGGGATTTTCTCTCCTCGTTTCTATGAAATAAAAATAGGAATATTATGTCAATATACGTGTAGTGAGGACAAATCAGATGATTTGTCCCAAAATGTCGCTGCGTTTAAAGAATTGTCCTATCAGAGAGCCTAAAAGAAAAATTCACTAGCTTGTCAGTAACAATTTGAATTGAAAAAGGTTTGGAGAAGAGAAATGAAGGTATATAGGAAAATGTCGAATTATCACTTAGCTTTGGACGTTTCTGGGACGAATCTGTTCCCGTCTTCAACATAAAATTTTGACACTGAGAACTAAGAAGAGTCATAACGAATACGAATCTGCTATACAAATATCCATTTTTTATGTTGAAAACGGGAGCAGATTCGTTCCCGAAAGATGAAAATTTGATATTTTTTTTTATTTCTTTGCTCCAAACCTTTTTTCAATACAAATTGTCACTGACAAGCTAGAGAATTTTTCTTTGAGGCTCTCTGATTGGAAAATCAATTTTGGGGCAAATCATCTGATATGTATTGAAAAGGAATATTCTCAGATATATTTATAACCACAAGAAAATGGATATATATATACAGCGTGTCTCATAATATTAATTCTTTCTCGGTTTATTCAACAGAAAACAACTACTTTCCTGGCTATATGCCACGACGAACATTGAATTATATCTAATGAACACACACGATAAGAATTCGAAAACAAAATCTTCTGAAGTTGGGAATTTGCATTCTCCTTCATATAAAGATATGCACATAATATCATTCTGAATATTCAACAGAAAACAACTACTTTCCTGGCTATTTGCCACGTCGAACAGAAGTAGTTTTCTTACCATAGACGCCTTGACTAAAACTTTGAAATTCTTAGAAGGAAACGAAATGAACTGCAAGTTTGGATTTTATGTGACGTGGAGAACAAATCCCATCCAACGAAGTGGACGGGTTTTGATATCGATATTTCATTCAGTTAAAAAAATTACCGATGTTAATTCTATTGGACACACTGTTCTAGAAGGATATTCTCCAGAATACCTACTAGACAAAAATCTCGAACATTAAATTGTAGATTTCAACTGAAGAAATGGAATATTCGTTCAACTTTTCATCAATACTTTTCGATATCTCTAGACTTTTTTTTTAATTTTTGGAGATTATATGTTGTTGGGAATACTTCCACAGGCAATGAATTCCAGAGCCTAGCCGTTCTATGGATGAAGGAGTAAAGTGCTGTTCGACATCTTTCGAGGTTGACAACGAAAGGATGTGCTGACTGGGCTTGTCTAGTTCGTCTGATTGGTATTGCTAGTGGAGGGATGATTGCAGAGATTTCCGAAGAACATTTTCCGTGGAAGTATCGATAGAAAAGTGAAAGGTCGCCGACCTTTCTACGGTGTTCCAATGATGTCAAAGAGTGAGTGAGTGTGGCGTCACCCACCAGGCGAATGGCTCTTCTCTGGATAGAATCTAAGAGCATCAGCGTATGTTTTGGTGCTGAATCCCATATGTGGGAACAGTATTCTAGAACAGGCCGTATCTGAGCTTTGTAGATCATGAGAAGCTGTTGAGGTGTAAAGTAGCTTTTCGCACGGAACAAGAATCCGAGTTTTTGTGAAGCAGCTTTTGCGATGGATCTGACATGATTATCCCATGAAAGAGTGTTGCTGATGGAAATACCGAGCATAGATATGGTGGGCTTGGTGGGGATGGTGGAGCCAGACATTACAATATCGGGCATACTGAGTTCCGCCTTTCTAGAGAAAATGCAGGCTTGAGTTTTGGTGGCGTTGAATTCAACTAGGTAGTTCGTTCCCCAGGCTGAGATTTCAGCAAGATCTTCATTGACAGCATTGACCTGCCTTCGCCGTGAGTTCTTACTTTCCTGGGAAGAAATGGGAATTCTGGAAGAGAACGCAGTATGGAGGGTACTATCATCTGCAAAGCTGTGGATGGGGCAAGTTGTTACTCCCAACAGATCATTGATATGAAGCAGGAATAATGTTGGTGCCAAAAGGTTGAAAGAGGGTTCCATGCACACTGAAGGGAATTCATTTATGTTTACGTGGCAGCACCGCTCGTGTCATTGGATGATTGCAGTTGCCAAGTCACCAGTTGAAATTTACGCATAAAAAAGTTTCCCATTTGATTTTCATTCGATTTCCAGAGAGTCCCCAATAACCAGAATACCCACTGCGGCAACAACAGCAGAAGTAATATTGATTGTATACAAACTTCTAACAAAAACGAAATTCGGTACCAGTTATGGGGATTACGGATTATCGAAACTAAAGAAAGAAAACATTCTGATAGATGCTTATCCCTTGCACGAAGGTCCATACGAATGGACGGAATATGGGAAACTTTCAGATAGGCAGGTGATTATTTCCCAACTATACTTACCTAGTATGGCATTTCATCAATATCATTTTATTTCCTCATGTAAATGAGTCCCCCCTAGGAAGCGCCTCACATTTTGAGATATACTGTTGTGAGTGATAAATATGACAATTTTATACTCATTCATCATTCAATTCTCACATAATGGCGGCTTATGGCATAATAGGCTGGGGAGGTATATATAAACAAGCGTTGAAACCACTTGTATCATTTCAAAAATATACCTTGAAAATTATCTTCAAAGAACTGTCTGATTTTTGAGGTGAGTTTTCACAAAATTTCGTGAAAAAACACTTTTTTTCTTTGACGGGAAAAAAGTTTGGCATTTCATCTCTGTTGGCAGGTTATAGAATGTCACTTTTCATACGTATGGTGCAAATGTATGGAATAATAGTTATTTATTATACAAGGGAAAAAAGTAGTAGATTTTAGCTCCAGGTTGTGTTGTCTCCCGACGCGTAGCGGAGGGAGACAAAAAACCGTGAGCTAAAATCTAATATTTTTCCCGTGTATAATACACTATTTTTTTCTGTGACAGAAGGAAGGACGAATCAATATTGGGAAGATATTACATTATTTCGAAATCTGAAAATTATCGACGTGAAATTTCAAGTTTTTAACAGTAGGGACACCTGCGTTTTATATACATCTTTATCATTCTTTTGAAGTAATCAAATATCTGATGTCACTTCTGTCAGTTAAATTCTGTGATTTGATTTTAAAAAATTGCGAATTCAGTAGTTGTTTAGTAATATACGAAACCGCGAAGTCGAATGGAAGATAAAAGGACTTGCAGTTCTTTCTCGGAGACGGTATTATTGACTTATTTTTCGGAACTATAGCACAACAAAAGCCATTAACAGAGTATAAATATGTGATATATATCCGGGAAAGAAGTACTCACTTTTTTCCCACGGGAAAGAAGTAATTTATGAAAAGTGACATTTTATAACCTGCAAACAGAGATGAAATGCCAAACTTTTTTCCCGTCACAGAAAAAATTCATTATTTCAGAAATGGGCGACATTTGAAGAAATTCCAAAAACACGTGAGTTTTAATTTTTGAAACCTCATCTCATGACATTCATATGAGAGATGTTACGTCACCGGTGTTGGAGTAATGACGTCCATTACGGTTTTTTTAAATACAAACAGGGGTCATGTGACACCTCGTTTGAAAGGTCTACTGATCGTCTATCCAATAGTCAAAATTTGCAAAAGAAGATTGAAATTAAAATGGATTATCATTTGGTTAATTGAATCTTGCAGAGATCTTCTACTGAGAATTGAACATCGAAGGGTCGTCTAGTTGAAAAAATACATCGATAGAAAAGTTCTGAACTCTACTTTTTGGATTTTTTTCGGAAGTCGTCTTATTTTGAAATGAATTTATTTCATACATTTGCATCATACTGTACATATATACAATGTTGATGGCATCTGTTGTGCTATAGTTCCGAAAAATGAGTCTCCGAGAAAGAACTGCAAGTCCTTTTATCTTCCATTCGCAATTTTTTGAAATCAAATCACAGAATTAGAGACAGAAGTGTCATCAGATATTTGCAGATATTTGATTACTTCAAAAGAATGATAAAGATGCCTACAACGCAGGAGTCGCTACTGTTAAAAACTTAAAAATTGACGTCAATAATTTTCAGATTTCAAAATAATGTAATACCTTCTCAATATTGATTCGTCCTTTCTTCTGTCACAGAAAAAAATAGTGTATTATACACGGGAAAAATATTAGATTTTAGCTCACGGTTTTTTGTCTCCCGACGCGTAGCGTACACAACCTGGAGCTATGATCTACTACTTTTTTCCCTTGTATAATGAATAACTTTTTTGCATGAGATAAAAATAAACATCCAAAAACTTGATTATTTGAATTTTTCACATAAATTTTGAGGTTATGTGAAAAAAGTGTGAGTACAAATGTTGTAGGTCTCTTTATTACCTACCTATTTCTCCATAGGACTTGTGGTTTTGCCGGAAATCGAGATACGCCTTTTTTACCCTTAAAACACACCCCCTTCCACTTCTCGACCTCAGATCAGCCGTAGATTGTTTTTCCTTTCATTCTTGTTATATTCTCGTCCTTTCTCAACTGATTTCATCGTAATATTTTTTTTTTTGTTTAAAAAAATATCGACCCTGGTCTAAAGGGTAATTGGGGAGCGTTACCTCTAGGGGGGATTGATTATAAGTGAAAAGAACACCGCATGTTTTATAGGGAAAATTGGCCTCCTGTTCAATTGGCTGAATTTTTGATATATGTTATAGTCCGACTTTGGTATCGGATGACATTTTGGCATTTTGTTCAGAATGTCTTTGGGCGAGAAAGAGACAGTGGACTGTAAATTTGAGTTGAGTGAAAGTATGAAGGTTTTCGAATGACAAGAGGTTGATATGGCCACTCACCTGACGATCTGTCGGACCTAAAAAAAAATTGTTGTTGTTCTACCTCTTCAAAATCCTGTTTTGGCGGCCGCCTCAGGCACTCTTCTCGCACAAATCTTATCGAACATGGTACACGGGCACTATGTCATCACACTTGATGCAATTATATTATGGACACAATGTCATTGAGGTAATTAGCGAGTTTTAATTGGGTTATTACACCGGTCCCGTCTTAATGCCGTGATATTCCTTTTTCGAGCGCCTGGTCACCTTTTTGGTTCACACATCCGTATATTTGGTACGCGGTGGTCCATTAGTGGCATAAGTGACCGGAAGATACCTCTTGTCATTATCACGCGGTAATTTGAATTGTATCAATGAATGTGATAATGAAGTGATTTGCATAATTTTGGATTTATATTATAATTATTATACTATACTATATGAAAACTGAACAGTCTTGAACTAAAACATATCAAAAATTCAATTCGACAGGAGGCCAATTTTCCTTATGAAACGTGCGGTGTCCTTTCATCGTAGTGTAATTTCTAGCTTTTAGCCAAGTTTTGGGGAAACAGCAAATGTTGGTACAAAGCACAGCCGTTGAACTTCATCGACAAATATTTCGGCTCAGAATTTGGTTTCTACTTTGCTTGGCTCGGCTATTATGTGAAAATGTTGGGACCTATGGCTGCACTCAGCATCATCTGCATAACATATGGTGTTGTCACCATAGATACGAGTCATAACGCCAGAAGGTTCGTCTCAATTTTACTTTTTCCATAATTTTTTTTCAAGATGTGAAGGGGTATTTCATCTCCATAGTAGTTTTTTCACTTTACAAATAACAATACCATTTCAACATTATTTTCGAATAAAAATCATATCATGTAAGTATCGCGCATCATTTTGTTGATTCAATGGAACAGAAAGTGTTTCTTGGCAGCTCTGTGATTTGAAAAATAATTGTTTATATCTATTATTGAACAGGGTATCCCAAATTGCTTGATATTTTTCTACATATTTTTATAATAGGTAGTGAAATACTAGGGTTTTGGAGTTTTATTTTTGTGAAACACCGATTGGTAAACACCGCATTTCGAGATCTCTAACCGTTTCTGATATACAGGGTGGTCCGTTTTTTAATACGTATAATTCAACAGCGTATAGTACTCGTTGAAATAATAAAAAAACTTCCTATGAACATATACTTTTAAACTCTTCGTTTTTGAGATATTGGGTGTGAAAAATACGCTTCTGAATATATTTTTTAAATCAAAAGTTAGAAACGGTAGATAAATTAACGAAATTTTTCACAGATACTGAATTTTTTGAGCTTTATTAGATTAAATAAAAATTATTCATAAAAACTATTCAGTGGCGGCTGAATCTGGGGTGTCGAAGGTAATAATTACACACATTTTTCGGGTAATTATTTTTCATTTATTTTTCAAGATTCAATGAAAAAAACTCGCTTGTAAGATTTTATTAAATTTTTTAGAGAAATAATACTACTTGATATCAATTAAAGAAGTAGGCTATGCTCAGTTGCTCACTGTTCACTGTTTTGAAGATAAATAGCAGGATATCCACTGCGATCTATGGTCTGTTGTGACTCTTCTAATACGTAAATGATTGATCTGCAATGGTTACATGATTGGTTTGGTAAACGGCCAATGCTAACTAGATATAATGCATTACAATGTTTCTTTCATTGGGTTTAGTTTAGAGACATGCGCATAGGTTTGATTTTCATTTTTCCTTCTGAAACGAAGCTAGTAGATAAGAAATCTAAGAGGGCAAAAAAATTGTATTACGAAATGCACGCCCCTGAAAATATGTAACTCATTCATAAATAATCGATTTTTTGAAGAAACCTAAACACCCTATATCTCGAAAATGAAGCGTTTAAAAGTATATGTTCATAGGAAGTGTATTTATTATTTCAACGAGTAGGTACTATACGATGTTAAATTTTCCGTATTAAAAAACGGACCACCCTGAATAGGCGAAAATTTACATTTGACCGATTTCGAAACATTGACTTGATATTTTTTTAAACGGTAAAAACTTTCTAGAGGTACTTCATGACGTAGAATTAGGTATATCTGTAAAAAAATACTATTGTTTTTTGCGAGTAGACAAAATTCTAGGCCGAGCCGTAGGCGAGTCCTGGAAGTCTGCGATTCGAAAAAAAAACTGTTTGTGGACGTGTTGCGTTCATTATTTTTTCGGGAACCATGTAGAATAACAAATCAATGAGATACAATTCCATACTATATTTATTTGTAGAATACAATTTTCTCTTAATTAATTCCCATTTGTATCAAATACTGAAATTTGAACAGAATACCTATTATATCTACTAACTATTACATTGGAAATTCCGTATGGACATTTTCAAACTCACTATCGCAGCTGCTTTCGATAGTTTACTGCGATAATTGCAACCAAACTTTCAAAAATCAATATGTCAACTAGTTTCATGTCAAATAGCTGTCAGCCGATATTTCGCTGCTATGGTAGTTATCATCTGCATTTATCAAAATCTTATCTACCAAGATTTTCATAGTTACAATGACAACAACGATGTGAGGTACGTATATACTTCCCGGACTAGGCCGGAAAAATGCTACTTTCTCGGTTGCCGAAAAATATATATTGTCAGCAAGGATGACTAGATATCTCTTGATTCGTAATGAAATATACTATGACATAGCTGGAGCTAGTGATTTTTTTTTATTTTAGTAAAGAGATATGCCAGAGCTCATTGATCATGTGTCCAAGATGCCATTATCAACGATGCAAATATGAAAGGCTTAGAAGTTCCTGCATGCAGTCCCATTTGACGTACTTATTCGACAATCCGGCTACCATAACATTTGCGATTATAATATCGTTTTGGTGTAAGCTCATATCATAGACAATTTTTGTTGAATATGCCATCCATTTGTTTCATAAAAATCACTGGGAAGTTTCGTGCAGAGTTGATACGTTTTCTAATGGATATACATACCCCGAAAAAAACCCTTATTCGAAACAATTTCTGAGTAAAACTAGTTATTTATACACCAAGGTAGTAAATAATATCATTATTACCCAGGGACCAAGAGTATATCCCGAGGCTTCAGCTGAAACTGAAATATCAACCTATACAGTGTGTCCCACTTACCATGCTCACCATGGGTATCTTTTTAACGGTGAGAGATACGAGGTCGGTTAAATGACACCAAATGTGGAGTTTGTCAAGGCCAACTATAATGTGAAAAAATATTTTGATAAAATCTATTCGTTTTTGTTTTATACGCAAAAAACAAATTTTGATCATTTTCATGTATCCTCCGTAACTTCTTTATTTATGAAAATATTCAAATAGGAATTTCAAAAAATATGAAATTCATATCAACTCTTCTAATATTTTAGATATCAGCACCAACTTTAGTTTTTCAAATGTAGGTCATAGCTCACTATGACTTAGTTACAAATAACTTTTTTTTCTCTTAAAGATGATATGGCGCAGTAATAGTTTTGTATTGATAACAACGGAGTTATCGTCATTTATACAAAAACAAAAAATCATTTGGAAGCCGCCATCTTGAATTTATAAATTTTAACAAAAAAATCATGACCTCCGACCTCAAAAACCCCCACTTACCAATTTTGAATGGAATCGGACCAAATCTTGTCCGCCATCTTGGAGCAGCCATTTTTTTTTAATTTCAACAAAAATTCCATAATGAATTGTCACCGAAATTATGAACACCTGCCAAATTTCAAGTTAATCGGAGTTATGGAATTTTCGCTGAAATTAAAAAAAATGGCTGCTCCAAAATGGCGGACAAGATTTGGTCCGATTACATTCAAAATTGGTATCTAGGGGTTTTTGAGGTCGGAGATCATGATTTTTTTGTTAAAATTTATGAATTCAAGATGGCGGCATCCAAATCATTTTTTGTTTTTGTATAAATGACGATAACTCCGTTGTTATCAATACAAAACTATTACTGCGACATATCATCTGTGAGAAAAAAAAAAGTTATTTGTAACTAAGTCATAGTGAGCTATGACTTACATTTGAAAAACTAAAGTTGGTGCTGATATCTCAATTTCTAGAAGAGTTGGTATAAATTTCATATTTTTTTCGAAATCATCTTGAAAAACTGCCATGAGAATGTGAAGTTCCTATTTGAATATTTTCATAAATAAAGAAGTTACGGAGGAGACATGAAAATGATCAAAATCTGTTTTTTGCGTATAAAACAAAAACGAATAGATTTTATCAAAATATTCATTCACATTATAGTTGGCCTTGACAAACTCCACATTTGGTGTCATTTAACCGACCTCGTATCTCTCACCGTTAAAAAGATACCCATGGTGAGCATGGTAAGTGGGACACACTGTATTGTCACTGGAATTGTCATAAAAAAGATTAAACCCTTTATACTTGCCCCATTAACTCATATTATAAATTCATCATTTGCAGAAGGAATATTTCCTTCAAGGCTGAAAACCTCTATGATTACTCCAATATTGAAAAAAAGGAAGCTCTGAAAATATTGAATATTACAGACCATTATCAGTACCTTCGGTAATATCTAAAATAATTGAATATGCCATGATTGATCAGCTCACGAACTTTTTAGATAAGTACAAAATCATTAATAAAAATCAACATGGCTTAAAATATTCTACAATGACAGCGATAACATCCTTCTACGAGGGGATAATCGAAGCCATTGAAGACTGATTACACATCAGTATTTCATACCCACCAAAACTCAAACACACCAACTCTGATCATCAATTTAAATAATAATACAATTGAGGCAATTGGAGACATTAAATTTCTAGGAGTGTAGAAGAAAGAGCTTCGATTTCCATCTAGCTCCTTCTTCTCAGATATATGAAGAAGGATCATATCTTCACAAACGTACTGACCTAACTCTATCAAATATTTTTCCTATCAATTGTATCTTCTATCATTTATGTTTCTATCAAATGTATTCTCAATCATAAAACATTCGATCAAATGCATTTTTATCAAAAACACGTTCGATCAAAAGACTTCTATCAAATGTTTTTCTATCATTTGTCTTCCGATCAAATTTCCGCCACCCATAGGTTGTAATCACCTTCTATGCCATTACTCAATTAACACACAGGGTGAGTCAAAAATCAAGAATAAATCATGGTGCGAGTTATTCCACCACCATCAAGGAGGATTTGAAGAAATTTTCACCTCTTAATTTTTTTTAAAGACAAATGCATTACCTACCAACAAATAAAAAAAATAAAAATCGGCCTACTATTTTTTGTTTTTTTTTAAGAAGATAGGTCAAATATCAAGTGAGTCACTTTTTTTCGAACTGAGTGTATATTGAACCGCAGAGAAACCGACTAATTGATTTTTTTCCACGAGAGGATGTTTATCGTTACCGTTATCATTTTCAGCCACCGTTTTCATGGAATTTTGGCAAAGATCAGAAGCTATTTTACAGCTACAATGGAATGTGAAATCACTGGAACATGATACTGTGATGAGGTGAATGATTCATTTTTGATATGATGCAAGTTCATACCAAACTATACCTACAGAGTGACCATTTTGAAAGCGGACCACTCTCATGATTATTTTATTTATGGAGCGATTTTCACGATTTTTTTTTAAATGTTGTAGGAGGAAACGTGTATTCTAATGCTAAGTGGCGTCCACTTTTTTCCATAACGCAAGGTCTACTAAATCACATTGAGAGGCTGAAAAATCCAGAAACCATATTAGCGATTATTTTAGAAAAAATCCGCATTCAACATTAACGAATATACAGCGTCTGTCATTTCAAACGTCCCATGCTCTATATCTTAACTATCAGTCGTGCGATTCGAACGGAATTTGGACCGGTATAAATAATCATCAATATGATTAGTTTTTCAAACGAACATCCTGTTAGAGTGCCGTGCTTTCTCATTTAAATGAAATGGGGTTGATTTTTATGAAATCATATTTGGAACTTTTGTGCAAGAAATTCCCTATATGCTTCCGAACCTCAATATGCAAAATATAATCTCATTTCAAATTAATAGGATTGGTTCAATTTTTTTGTATTTTCACTCTCGAAAAAATAGTGAAATCAAACTAATTGCAAATTTTGGATCACACGGCACGGCAAAAGGATGTATGACTGAAAAACTGATCATATTGATGGTCATACATACCGGTCAAAATTTGGTAAAGATCACACGACTATAATAGCTGAGATAAGGGGGAAGTCGTTTTTTTTTCGAATTGATTGATTGTCTTTATTACCCCAAAAAACATAATTGTTTATAATAGGGATACATAAACAAAATAGTAAGTACATAATGTTATACATACAAGTATGAAGTTATAATAATAAGACATAACAAGGGAACAAAAAAAATGCAAATAATCATGCAATATCAGCCTTATCTATTAATCTATTATAAATAGGTATTCACATAAGAAATGGAATTATCAAAGTCTCTGAAGAACATATGTTTTCAAACTCGTTTTCGAGTTAATTTTGAATCTAGTTGCTTACTACCAATATTAGACTTATACGTATTTGCTATTAGTAAATTTGATTGTATTGTGCCTTGATTATGTAATGAATTTTGAATGTAAAAACCTCACAAATGATAAGATTCCACAAAATTCTTAAACACACAACATGTTTCGATAACACAGTAGCTTCGTCAGCTGATATACTGGTACAATGGTAAACCAACCTTGTCTTGCTCAACTTTTATATATCCTACTTCCCCAACTTGAAGGATTAGAATTACCTGTGGACAGGTTCCATCAACCTTCATTTTCGGAAAAGTAGCACTTCGTGATATCATCAACTTCGCCTCATTTCCTTCTTCCTTTCTGTTCGTATTCTTGTTATTTATCAAAACTGTTTATATTTGCATATATGGATAGTGACAGTTATTATAATTCGCATTGTACACATACTCATGTAAAGTGACCATCAGAATTAACCGAATCCTTGCTATAGGACTGTAATGTCTTTGAAAGCAATAAAGAATCTATCTAGCTAATGATTCAAAATGATTGAGTTTCATTCCTTCATTTTCTACTCGTAGAATCTCTGAATTATCATCAAAACTATGGTTCTCTTCTAATATATGGTTGGCGTATGTTTGAATTTATTTTCTTTTCCAAAAAATTCATCTTATGTTCATGAATGCGCTGATTAAACGTACGACCTGTCTGACCAATATACACCTTAGGACAAGATCGACAGTTAAGTTTGTATATTGGAAGGTTTATGAAACCTGTCCACAGGTAACTAATCCTAAGTTGGGAAAGTAGGATACATAAAAGTTAAGCAAGCCAAGGTTGGTTCAGTTCATTGTACCAGTATATCACCTGACGAAGCTACTGTGTTAGCGAAACATGTTGTGTGTTTAAAAATTCTGTAGAAATCTTATCGTTTGTGTAAAAAAATCATTTTTTCAACACCTTGTATCTTGATATCGGATGCAGTTACGAATTTTTTTTACTGAGTATACCCAACTTATTTCGCAGTGTTCTAACTACCCCAGTAAGGGGGTCAGGTTTTTTTGAAACACCCTGTATAGTGATATCAGATCAAATAAATGAGACAAGTTTAGATATTTTCTCATGAAACTTGGTACACATCTATTTCAAATGAGGACGCCGATTCCATCAGTGTTGTACGCAGAATTTATTCAGAAACAATCACTAATTTTTTCAGCCTCTGAATTTGAATATGAATGTGATCTAGAAGGCCTTGGTTTTTTTCTCATGGATGTCGCTTACCTCCAAAAAACACCATTTGTCCATATACATTTCTGAAAAAATTCTTGTGAATATCGCTTCATAAATAAAATACTCATGAGGGTGGCTGGCTTTCAAATGGGTCACTCTGTATATGATTTCTGGCGAATTTTCAGGCCTGAATATATTGAAAAATCTGACTCTGAGAGATATTCTCCGATCTTACTTGCCAAAGAACCGCATGTATCATTCAAGAGAAGATGTGTTGGATATACGATAACAATTTTTTCAATTTTTTTTTTGGTAAGTTGGTTTTCCCAATAATGATGTCTATTCAAGTTCATTAATGTACAATTGATTGATTGATGATTTATTACCCCAAGAAACATTGTTGTTTATTGAATACTGTCTGATGTATGTTAATCGAGTATAGGAGGTACATTCATTTTACATGATTATTTGAGTGAATAATATCAGTATTGTTTCAATATATGTGTATTAGGACAAATCAGATAATTTACCCCAAAATGTCACCGCGTTCAACAAATTTCTCTATCAGGAAGCCTAAAAGAAGAATCCAATAGTATGTCGGTGACACTTCGTTTGGAAAAATGTTTGAAGAGAAGAAATATAAGATGCAAATATTATCGGGGGAACTGTAAAGTAACTATTAAGAGATTATTGGACATAGCCCTCACAAATAGATAACCGTATACACGTGTTTCGGGCTTTCGGCCCTCATCAGTACCGTGAAAGGAAGTGCAAAGGATAGGCAGCACTTGGTAGAGAACGAAACAACAAATAAACGGAGTCAACAAAAAGAAACCAGCCGCACATTTGTGATTTCGGTCAGCAGACCCTGAGGTCTCAAAGAAACAGCTAACGTCACCACGGAGGCTTTATTTGCTGGAAATCCCACTCTGGATTCATCGGGAAAACAACCTCCAAACATAACGCCAATTGACAGTCATGTGCCCGAGATCACCTTTCGCCAACGTACTATAAGGAAGATTTTATTGGGTCTCAACACCAACAAAGCTTGTGGCTCCGACGGAATCCCACCGATTGGTCTCAAGAAATGTGCTCCCGAACTAACATTTGTTTTCTGCAAGTTGTTCAACTACTCTTACAAATTGGGGATATTCCCGTACAACCAGTTCCTAAAAAAGGCAAAAGGATCCTACCTAGCAACTAAAGACCGATCGCACTGCTATCTATTATTTCAAAGATCATGGAGAAAGCTTTCAACATCGAGCACATGAAATACCTGGAACATTCAGGTATTATCAAGGATAGGCAATATGGCTTCCGTCATCAGAGATCAGCTGGTGATCTGCTCGCTTACGTCTCACATACAGTGTGACCCATTTAAGATGGAAGCACCCTTATAAAACTTACATTTTTCAACCGATTGGAATGATTTTTTTCTTGTTAGGTAGATATTCAAAAAGTCTATTAGGACACCAAATATCATGAATAAATCTCCATTTCCAGGGCCAACTAATCTGATTTTTCAAGGTCAAAAATCTAAAAAAATTACTAGCGATTTTTTTAGAAAACATCTGACTACACCACTGGATTTGTGACATTTTCAAATGGGTAACATGTAAATTACGTTGAAATGCGTCAATCAATAAAAAAGTTATAAAGGAATGAAATTTTAAAAATATGCCGTTTAATCAACCCACCAATTCATGTTCAGGAATTTTATGAAAATTCTGTATACTCCACTGGATTCAGGATGTCTTGAAATATTACTGATCACAGTTTCATCGAAATCTGTTCAGTAATAAAAATTGATGGGTTGATTAAACGGCATATTTTTCAAATTTCATTCCTTTATAACTTTTTTATTGATTGACGCATTTCAACGTAATTTACATGTTACCCATTTGAAACTGTCACAAATTCAGTGGTGTAGTCAGATTTTTTCTAAAAAAATCGCTAGTAATTTTTTTAGATTTTTGACCTTGAAAAATCAGATTAGTTGGCCCTGGAAATGGAGATTTATTCATGATATTTGGTGTCCTGATAGACTTTTTGAATACCTACCTAACAAAAAAAAATCATTCCAATCGGTTGAAAAATGTAAGTTTTATAAGGGTGCTTCCATCTTAAATGGGTCACACTGTATATGGCAGCAATCTATTGAAAAATATGTTGAAACCTTAGCCGTGGCACTTGATATCTCCAAGGCATTCGATCGAGTCTGGCACCACGGACTCCTCGCCAAGCTTCCATCTTATGACTTGCCTCCCCAGCTATGTTCTCTGCTAGCTAATTTTCTCCCAAACAGGTTTCTCCATGTAGTGGTCGACGAAGTTTCATCTGCCTCTCTCATATAAATGCTGGTGTTCCGCAAGGATCAATTCTAACACCAACACTATTTCAACTCCATATCAACGATTTGTTAGAAGCATCTTCATGTCCAGTACACAGCTTCGCGAATGATAGTACCCTCCATACCGCCTTCTCTTCCAGGACTATAATACCAGCCAGGCAAATCAGAAACGATCGAGGGAGAAATGTTGACAAAATAAATATGGACTTGGCAACAATTCTCGAATGTGGATCCAAAAACTTGGTAGATTTCAATGCAAACAAAACACAAGCATGCCTTTTCTCTAGAAAAGCCGATTTCACTGTGTCCAAGCTTGTCAGGAGTAACCATATCTTTGAAGACATCCATTTCGATGCTTGGTATTACTATCAGCAATAACCTCTCTTGGGAAAATCACGTGAGATCAACTGCTCAAAGTGCATCCCAAAATCTTGGTTTTCTGTTTCGAGCCAGGAACTATTTCACTTCCAGTCAGCCGCTTATGATCTATAAGGCACAGATTCGACCTTTCCTGGGATACTGTTCCCATATTTGGAGTGCAGCACCCAAACATACCCTAAAACTGTTGGATTCTGTCCAAAAAAGGGCAATTCGTCTCGTGGGTGATGCCTCGCTCACAAACTTACTCACTTCTCTGGGACACCGTAGATATTTTCATGGACGATGCTATTCTTGAAATATCAACAATTATCCTTCCTTGGCAGTCCCCGCGAGATTAACCCGTCGAGTTGAGGCTTCGAACCCCTTTGTGGTCACTTTGGAGACCTGCAGAACATCTCTTTACAAATACTCGTTCATCCAACGAACAGCAAAGCTCTGGAACACATTGCCAAGGAAGGTGTTCCCGAGGCATATAACCTCCAGAAATTGAAGAAGAACACCAGTTCCTACCTCATTTCCCTTGGTTCTCACGATGTTCTCTGAACATTACAGGATATCCCTTTTCGTGGGAACCAGAACAAAAAAAAACTATTGTTTATTACAGCTATTTTTGATGGTACTGGCAGCTCTGGGAGTGATGGTATACCGAATCTCGGTAGATTTTATGCTGATTCGAGACAGTACGGATGATATAGTCATAGGAAATACCAGAATGATAGCATCGGCGACCGGCGCTTGTATGAATGCCACCATCATTTTTATATTCAAAGCAGTGAGTATTATCATATACACTAAGTAAGAAAATATGTCCTAGAACGACGTACCATGAATTCTACAGGGTGAATTAGAGACCAAAATCGGCCTAGAGCTTCGCGAGACCAAGACCAAGACTTAGGGCCTATTTAAGCATTATTGTCTTATAATCATAAAAATTGAAAAGTTTGTAACATTCAGGTCATGATTTAATAATTATGATTACATTAATTCACCTATTGAAATGTATGTTCATAACTTGATTTTATGATTGAAACAAAGACTGTGACTAAGACTGAGACAATGATGCATAAATAGACCCTTAATAAATCTTCCCAAGACTAAGACCAATACTTGACTTTCGAGACCAAAACCAAGACCTCATAAGGAACTTAAATCTACTCAATATTAAGAAAAATCTTATGGAGAATGTAATAGCATTTCATTTAGGTGACTCCTTTGTCATATGGTAGGTTTTCAATTTTAGTTCACTCAAAATCCGAAATACATTTTTCAAATCCAGTATTGCAGTTCTAAAGTTTACAAGAAATAAATGTATGTTGTATGTCCTATTGAAGATAGAAACAAATTCAATACAAAAGTTATTTGGATAAAATTCGAATTTTTTTTTAAATATTTTTATAGGGAGAGGAGGTAGGTGTTGAAAAAATTTTCGACTTCTTGACACATAATAATTAAGCTAACCATCGTTCTCATATCTCATCCATGATCCAGAAGCATTTGATACATTAATCGACGAAGAATTTACATTTACTATTTCCACTTCTCTTCACGAGAACCAATTATAGGAACGACCATTTTCAAGGTATCACTAGTAGTATTACATATAAATAAATAAGGTCTAATGAATTTTTAGGTATTCAAAAAACTGTCTTTATGGTTGACAGACTTGGAAAATCACAGAACTCAACATGCTTATGATAATTCGTACATATACAAAAGTTATTCCTTGGCTTTTGTCAATAATTATGCTGCCGTTTTCTATATCGCTTTCTTCAAGGTAAGAAGTAGTTTCAAGAAAAACGAACAGGATTTCCCTATACCGTACGTCAAGAAATTATTTTTCGTGCAATCGTTCGCGAAGAGATTACTTCGCGTTCTCTATCACGGAAAAAAAGGATTTGTTGCATCAACAAATTAATTATGCTCGAATTATTTTTTTCTGCAACCGACACAAAAGTCGTCCATTTTGATACCAAAATTAGCTCTTAAATTGACGTTTCTATTACTGACACAAAAATAGGTAGGTTGCTAGGCAACATATTTAGTTCCTAGGAGCTAAAGTTGAATTTTAGTTCCTAGGAGCTAAAGTTGAACTTTAGCTCCTAGGAACTAAAAAGGAAGTACTGGTTGGTTATTTGTGTTGAGACGCATACCTGATTTGTTTCCGATTTCAGCAGATTTGGAATTTCATACCCATGCTGGAGATATAAATACACCTTATTATAGTTTACTATCGCGGAATTATAAACATCTCAGCTAAGTATTTTTGTTTGATCAGGGAAGCCTTCAAGATTCAAATACTTGCTTGATCTGTATTTCAATCGTTATTCTCGGGATGGATAAATTATTTTTGAATAATCACGGCAAACAATAGTTTTTGTCTCAAATAACGATATTGTTTAGCTTCATTCGATTATCAAGCGAAAAACATTGTATTATAGAGAGGAGTAAATAATCGCCATTATCATTGTTGATATGCTCATTAACCTAACATTTTCCACGTCTTGTTCCTATATAGCTGGCACTGACGCGGTATTTGCTATTAGAGCATCTGGTCCATACACAAATATGTCACTCTGTGTTTGTACTTATATTGAAACTACATTTCGAACATCCTTGAAAATTGAATGAACCTGCTGTTGATGCAGGTAGAATGTTCTCACTACACGGATTATTTATCAATATTTGTTGCATTGCATACATATGGCACGGCATTGGTGGTAACTCCACATATCTATTTGAGTTAATTGTTTCGGTTGCAGAAAAAATAGCATGTTTCATTCGGATCAAAAGTGACTTTGTTCGACTCGCAAATTTTGCTTTCGCTCGGCTTCGCTGAACGCTTCGCCACGCAAATAAATGCAAAATTCGCTTGTCAAACAAAGTGTCACTTTTGATCCTGATAAAACAATCTACTATTGTTGGACTGAAGTTGAAGTTAAACTCCTAGGAAGTAAAAGTGTGTCGGATGACAGCTGATATGATAGCTACTTTGACACTGACATACTCAAGTGAGTCAAAATAGTGGTAGCTTCACTTATATTTTATTAATTAGATGTCAATTATCTCGATTGCAGAAAAAATTGCATATTTTTTCCGGGTCAAAAGTGACTCTGCCTCGCGAACGCAAATATCGCTTGTCAAACAAAGTGTCACATTTGATCCCAATAAAACAATGTACTACTTTCTACGGCTATATGACAACATGACTCCTATTTTACTGTATTATATGACAATGACTCCATTGTATTATTATTTCACAAAACTCATCTTCAATGAAATGTCAATATTCAAGCAATGGCAGCTCTGTCTAATAGATGAGCAATACTTAAAAGAAAATCGGACGACTACAAGAAAAAGAAATGCAGCCGTAGAAAAAGTATAGTGTATAACTTGCACGGAATCCTAATTTTTCAATCGTACGATTAGCAGCATTCGAAATGGCTGTAATTTCGTACTAGTTTGATATACCCACTATTTATTTTCTCAGGGTAGGTTCTTCACTCACCCAGGTGACATGGGAAAATGGACATTTTTCGGAGGGTTGGGTGCCGATATATGTGCCCCAACGGGATGCATTCTCGATTTGAGCATATCACTGGTGATCATTATGATGTCGAAGATGATAGTGAACAATTTCATTCAAATCATACTTCCGTAAGTGTCTATTTTTCAGCTTCTCCGACACGTCACAAATCAAAGTGACATTTTAATCATGTTATTTTTTACACCACATTTTCATCATTGATGGAAGTGACGGTGGACTGGTTTGCAGTTTCGGATGACACAACAGTAATAAATGAACTGAAATCCACCAAAGAAAATATGAACGCAGTTGGTGGATTGATGGAACCACCGGTGAATAAAAGAACGTCCCTATTGTGTAACTTCATTTGAAAGTTTTGATTAAATGTACGTTCGGATTATGAAGATGCATATGATATCATTGGAATTCAAAAAGGATATTATTTTTATTTGTTTTATAATAGTACTGCGGCTTCGCTTCGCTCGCGTTGAAGCCCTTGAATAAACATCAAAGATTATACATTCCAATAGAACTGAATCAATGAGTTTCAGTTTTAAAAATTACTACATACAATGAAGTTTCGAAAACTGAAAACTGAAAACATGCTTTATTGAAATAATATACTACAACGAAAGTTTTATAAGACGAATTTCACTATTTCGCCCTCTCTGTAGATGTATTTCGATTGCGCAGAAGACTAAAACGTCAATGTCAATAATGCCATTTGTAGTCAAGTCACTGAATAGCAAAAAATCTGAAGGGTATCTCACATGCAGTAATGAATTTGCGCCCTCGAAGTGCCCACCTGATGTTTGGTTATACAGGGTGTCCCAAAATTGCTGGGACACAGAGCTACCACGTGTAGAGGAGGTCAAAATAAGTTGATTGGACCCAATTTATTTATGTGCCAAAATGTACCGTTTGTCCGTGAGAAGGGTTCAAAGTTCACTTGAAAAAACACATTTTTGTACGCTGTTCAGGAATAAGTGGAACGAATTTGATGAAATTTGGCAATAGTGTATTTCAGAGGATTACTTTCCTTTTGGTAATCTAAGAAACCTAAAAGAAATTGTAGAAGGGTTGAAACCACCCTCACCCCCTGACGTTTTTTCCAGAACTTTTTTAAGGGTCATGATACGGTTCTGAAATTTCTTGAGCTTGAAGACTCATCAATTACCTTCATTTCATCACTCTTGTAAAAATTTCGTATACCAAATAGTTTCGAAGAAAAAAAATGTTCTCTCAAATAATGCTACCAGATATTCCTATAGTACAAGTTTAATTAAATTGTGATATAAAACTTAGTTGGCAGTGGAAACGAAGGCAAGTCGTGATTTCGACAGGAAACAAATTCATTGTCATTCAAGTTTGTTGTTGACGTTGTCTGTAAATGTTTCAATAAATTCTTCAATTTTGTTATTACCGCGGGTACCATTACTATAGGAATATCTGGTAGCATTATTTGAGAGAACTTTTTTTTTCTTCGAAACTTTTTGGTATACGAAATTTTTACAAGAGTGATAAAATGAAGGTAATTGATGAGTCTTCAAGCTCAAGAAATTTCAGAACCGTATCATGACCCTTAAAAAAGTTCTGGAAAAAACGTCAGGGGGTGAGGGTGGTTTCAACCCTTCTACAATTTCTTTTAGGTTTCTTAGATTACCAAAAGGAAAGTAATCCTCTGAAATACACTATTGCCAAATTTCATCAAATTCGTTCCACTTATTCCTGAACAGCGTACAAAAATGTGTTTTTTCAAGTGAACTTTGAACCCTTCTCACGGACAAACGGTACATTTTGGCACATAAATAAATTGGGTCCAATCAACTTATTTTGACCTCCTCTACACGTGGTAGCTCTGTGTCCCAGCAATTTTGGGACACCCTGTATATTTGTCATTTTCATTTCATCATCTAAATAATCCGTGACTTACCAGTCCGAAAAGTTGTGAAAGTACAACACACGACATTCACATTTATAATATCATTGATTTCGATTTAGCCATTCCGAAATCAAATGGCATTTAGGAAAGAATCACTTGTATCAGTGTTCGTTTAAACGAGTCGATGCATAGATTTCGATAGGATGTAGTTCAATGTTCAGAAGAAAAGTAGTTTTCTGGATATCTACCAATGTAAACGAAGCATTTTCGGACCCATGTCCATATGAATTATTTTCCTTATCGTGTTGAGGAAACTTTCCCCTAGACTTTTGTCACCACAACTCTGAAACACACTGTATTTTCAGGATCATTATCGGTGTTTTCAATATGCTTAAAGCGAAAGTGATACGTACTGAAGGTCTGCCATTATATGAGATAGACTATTTGATGGCTCCCACAGAACAATACTTCTTGGTGGACGAATATTTGGATATGGGTAAGGAATTTTTCAGATATGCCACAAGCTCATCCCTCCATTCAATTCATACCGGAACTATTTTACTGATGTTCTGTTTATTATTCACTGAGCTTAAAAACAATCGACTTCTGGAAATTTTCAATGGAATTTTAATTGAAAGCTAATACCTACAGGGTGAGAAAGCTAGTAGTTGGACAAAAAGTCTATCAGGCCAGTTTAGCAACTAGATTCAGTTAGAGTTCCTAAATGTACTTGACACTGCTGATTTTGACGTTTTTTGTATATCAGAGTACGGACACTATGACAAGCACTGACAATCAGACATAACCACAAATAAATTGATGGAAAAGCGGGAACTGACACTACACGGACGTACATGACATAACTTTCAAAGGTTTGACAAATTGAGAGAATTAGAAGATGCAAGTTTGTGCAGTTTCCAACTGTGAGAACACGGGAAATCAATTCACTCTATTTGAATTTCCATCGGATAACATAATTCTACAAAAATGGAAACAGAATATGATGCAGCCGGCATGGAATATAGGTTCAGGCCACAAAATTTCACGATCATCTTCGTATACGAACTCTTATAATAATTTTGTGAAAACATATAGTCACTTTGTGGAACTCTGATGTACCAGATATTGATGTATCTATATCAAATAGTTGAATAAAACAACATATTCTGAGTTTATATAACGAAATCAGGTTCAGGAAATGACTAGGTTTGTATAAATTTGCCGTTGGTGAATGAAGATGAAAAATGCATTCAGTTAATTGATTCGTTTTTTAATTTCATGAGAGGTTTAAGGCGTGAAATATTTGTACCATATAAAAATTGAATATTGCTTTGAATTGATACTGAAATAAAATCATTGAGTTGGAATCTTTCAAATTATCCAGTAGAAAATCCTCTTTTGTTAATTGTTTCTTCTTTCTAAGAAATGGTGGCCAATTTCAAGAAATTTTCTTCACATCCCATGTCAGTCAGCATGCCCTTATCCACCATGATTCCATCATTAGGTTCAGACTTCCCAATAAAATTTTCTTTATTAAAAATTGCTTCATCAGTAGCTCAACCTCCATATCCATAAATGCCAATAGAAATCTGTCCTGACAGAGTGATATTGCAAATAAGAATTTGACTGTGTGTGTTTTTATAATGTGTCTGTACAATAGGAGCACTGAGGAACTGAACATCTTTCTAGATTTCTGTTTCCACAGTCTTCTGTACTTGCTGCATGTTTTGGGAAAACAGTAAACTATCTCGTGAAAACAAAAACATATTGGGAAACTTTAAAATTTATCAAAATTCACTCGATTGCACAAAGCTAAATTCGTTCGTTTTGTTTATCACCTCCGCCATTTTCATTTTGCCTCTTGACAAAAGACGACTGGGAAAACAGTGACGTCAGGCCAGAAAAAATATGAGGCAACCTTATAGAGTTAAATAGCCTTGGGAGTGTAGTACTACCAATCTAGTAAAATAGTCAATAGGTTCTTGGTAATTAGTATAAATAACTGAATCTATTTGCAAAACTGGCCTGGTATTTGTCAGACTACTGGGAACTTCTTCCAGTCGCAAATTTTTTTGCAGGTCAATGTATTTTTGAACAAATTTATTTCAGTGATACAGTACGGATTCGTAGTATTTTTCGTTGCTGGGTTCCCGTTAGCACCTCTACTAGCCTTCCTCAATAATATCCTCGAAATACGTGTCGATGCCTCTAAAGTAACTAAACATTTCCGAAGACCGATACCCAATAGGGTTTCAGGACTAGGGGCATGGTTTGGAATACTGCAAGCGACCACTTACGTTGGAGTTGTTACCAACGTGAGTAATAATTTGTTTGGTATTTATATTTTCACATATAACAAATAGATCGAGTCACTGGATGGTATTAGTTATATAAGAGTCGGACACACATATGGGGAAGGTGATGTATAATGTCTTGATGAAAGAATTTGAAAGAAATCAGTTGATCAGAGCTCATGTCAATCAATTATAAACCCCGTTTCACTCATATCAAGGATGATGAGAACTCTCAAAATCAGCTACCATTCTCAATACTTTTGGATTCATTCGAAATTATAAGAGGCTAAATTAAATGACAACTTACGAGTATTCCAAACAGTACCTAATCATAATATTATAATGCTCAAAATCAACCATATAGAAAATGACGGGCATATTTTATTATAGGTAGAGCTCTATGATAAAGTCAAAAACAAAATATCAAGGAGAATTACATAAGTCAATAAATAAAAATCATAATCATAATATTGTGTAGGTATACTTGCGAATTCGAAATTTACAAAAATACATGTTGTTACTATACGTTAGTTCTTACCATCATTTTCTACTAAATCATCTGAATGTTGTTGAAATTCCTAAGCTACGTCTTCTTTCTTCAATGGAGAATATAGAAGCGAACAAGATCGTATAAAATGTCTATGTTTCATGAAATAGAAGTATATGTAGTACTTTGAAACAATCTTATTCTGTTGTAATCCACGAAGAGCTCCATATTTTTCACACACCAGAAGCAAATGATATTTGATAATCCCAAAAAAATTTGGTGAATACATTTCTGGCCCGCATAACCTTCATTACAAAACTTGCATAAACCGTATTTCGCGAATCTCTTCATCACTACAAAATCTATACAACACAACGAATTTATTCAGATAATCAATACTCAGATAACCTCAGAAGATAGAATTACTTACCTACAAGGTTTGACATTCTGTACGTTCAACAGAGATATTACAATGAACTGATTGATTATCTGTATACTCTGTATATTGAACCATTATTAACTTTTCTGTAGAACTTTTATTGAACTAAAGTGGATAACTAAGATATTAGGTCTCCTGGAAATAGTAGAGAACTTATTATTATACTATTTGTATATTATTATCTATCATTTTTAATAGGCACCCGCGCAACTTTAGTGAACTAAATTTGTGAAAACTACAAAAAGTGAGCTACTATCGATTCATTTATCATTATTTTGTGTAACTAAAGTGGGTTAATTGGGTTTTATTTGACTTAACGATGTTATGAATGTGCATTTTATTAATAATATTAATACTTTTTCATATACACACTATGATATTATACCTACTCTCCAGTTTTGACATGAAGAATGACATACGTAAATAAAAAAAATATATTATTCTTTTGAGTTAACATATACAAAGCCTACTATTCAAATCGTCATTATCCAAGTGATTTTTTAATAATATTTCAGTATGAAGTTTTTTTACCGAATATACCACTTTAGCTTCAATTAATATCCGGGAATTTATTCTCGAACACGAATATTTAAAAAAATTTCGTGTTCTCGAAAAATTTTCCGGAAATAATTGAAGCTCTCGTGATATTATAAATGAATATCCCATTTCATGGAGACCAATTCACTACACTGTTTTACCACTAACCAAACCGATTTTTTAAACGCCTCGACACGTGTTTCGCTAACTATGTTAGCATCTTCAGGAGAAGAATAAAACTCTACCTATCTAGTGTGCTGCTTATATACTAGGTATATGTTCACCCAACCGTGAAAATTACTAACCGTCAAGTTAATATTTGTCATGGTTGAGTTCACATGTTAATCTCAATTTTATATTACTAAACCATATAGAGCATGGTTATATGGAATAGGTCCATTATCCTTATTCATTACTCTATTATTATTCTAAAATATCTGTAAGCTTTCATATGCGTCTAATTTTTTAATATTATCAACTTGCTTAACTAATTTGAGGTTAGTTATATGTATTATGATTGTGATTGAACATATAATCGGCTGCACACGATTTATCTAACCTACCATATTTCAAATGTGCTATGTGTTCTTTTAACCTTGTTTTTATGGGTCGCCTGGTTTGGCCTATATATTATTATGTTTTATCACAATCATAACAACTTATTTCGAATATATTCCCGACTTTTCAAGTATGTCCACTTCATCTTTCGGATTGACCCAGACTGATAAACGCTATCAAAACCTTTCAAAACCTGTTTGGTTAGCGCCGTTAGTGGTAAGACAGTGTAGTGAATTATCGTGTCAAAGGTTCCAGTCTTCGATAAATGGAGAACAATTGAAATTCTGATTCTAGACTATGAAAAAAATGCAGTTTGAATTGTTGATGGTAATTTTGTTCATTTAGGCGTTGGTTATAGCCTTCACCAGCAGTTTCGCCAAACATGAATTCTTCAATAAAAGTAACCGGGGTGGATCTGGAACATTCCTTAATACATCTATATCAGGTGAGATTATTTCAGATATGATGAGTTTCAAAGTGATAACGCCATCTTGGAGTCCAATAAAAGTTTTTAAGAGAAAGTTTTGTCAATTTAGGTTCCATAGATCCATCAGTTTCCTCAACTGAAATCAAAGATCAGAATCAACATAATATATTCAATAGGTATCAGAGGAAAACTATTTGATTCTGGAAAATGGAAAGCAGTATGTTGAAGTCAATAATATTTGTAGCTCCATAAGGGAGATAAAGTGTGGTGTACCACAAGGTCCTTTTTAGTTCCCATTTTATTCTTAATTTACATCAATTCAATATAATCTTTGGAACTGACAGGATATCGTTAGTTATTTGAAGACGATACGACAATAATCTATTCCTTTAAAGAATTTAATGATATGATTGATGATATAAAAATTGACTTGGAAATGATATCATCTGGGCTACAAATTCATAAGCTGACTCTTAACTATGACAAATCTACGTATATGTATATTTTAGAAAGAAAAACTAATATATCGAAAACAACAATATTTTTTACCAGAAAGCCATAAGATATTTGGATGTTATAACATTCTTAGGTCTTTATATTGATGAACAATTATCGTGGACTAAACATATAGATCACCTAAAGAAAAAGCTGAATCCGATTACTGGCATTTTATAGAAAATTCGAAATTTCATTCCTCTTATTAGATATTTGAAGAATATATATTTCTGTCTGATTCGAAACCATCAATGAAATTACAAAAAATTAAAGCTTGCCCTGAGAAGTAAAATTATTGTGATATGGATAAAATATGAATTTAGTCAGCCTTAGTCATGCTTGGCTGGAACATACCTCACCCTGTATACAATTAATTTTTTGTTTTTTTTTTCAAGCATTTGCAGTTTCCGATTTTGAAATACTGCAACGAGAAATGGTTGGAGCACCAAAAATATGTTATTACCCTGGAAGAAGATATCCCCCTGATCATGTCAATAAATATGAACCCAGCACCGACCATTATGTTCTGCTAGCAACCCGTTTAAGTGTAGTGTTTATTTTCGAGGCAAGTATCTTCTCTTGAATCTTTGGAAGAAAAGAGGAGTGGTGTAGTTCATAGATGAGAACCCCAAAGTTATCTCCGGAATTTCTATTGAAATGATCAATGATCATTAAAAGTACATGTTTCTGATGCCAAAGGAGCTAGCAAAGCCACAAGATGAAACACATCTCATAATTTTAGGCTCAATTTAGGCTAATTTATTACCCCATTCCCGAATTTATCGCTCCGCCCTATCACAGAAAAATCTTTGGCTTGGCTATAGCTTCGGCCGAACTCAGCAAAGCCAAAAAACAATATTTTTTGAATATCTGATATGGTGAGAATGCACCAATCTTGAACAATAACAAATCCAATCTTCATGTTCTGTCTCCAGAATTTCCTGATTCTTAGTTGTTGAGTTGAAAGTGGCCAACTTTGTGATTCTTAATTTTATTCATTTATTTCATATCTTGCTTTCGACATCACAATGCATCTCATATAAATATAAATATATTCATTAACATTTACAATGAAATAACATGAATAATCAGACAGATTCATATCTGGTATGAGATTATTCATGCGTTATTAAATTAAATTATGGTTATTGAAATAATCAACAGATTAAAAAAACGAAATATTGAAACAAAAAGCTCATGAAAAGTACATTATGACATGATGAAATAAATTAGTGAATGAGAAATCATTCACTCAGGTTTGATTTTCTCTTTGAAAGAGGGTATTGTCACGAGTAGAACATACGGTATATTAGTAATTTTGAACCATGAGGGTTTTTTAAACATAAAGTTAATCAATTCTGATTGAACTGTTCATCCTTCATTGTATTGCATATTTGATTTTTTTCCCTCTATAAACATTGTATGTTTCTTGGGATCAATAAATGTTATTATTATTATTATTATTATCAAATCATCCGTTGACATTGAATTATGAAAACTGACCAAGGAACTCTCATGAGAAACGTGCGAATCTAATAAATTGATGTATATAAATATTGGATGTGAGGGTTCCGAAGTTAGTCTGGTCTGGGGCTACTCTTGATTTGACAAGAGCTCGTCATGATGGTCGTTCTGTGTTATAATGTAAGTTGTTATCAGGTCTTTATATTCATTGTTGGTTATTCATATTTGTCATTGCTACCCATAATGTTTCATGCTTCAATGAATATCGTTATTTCTCAATATAGTCTCGTACTCTCAGCTACCCCTAAAATATTAGTGCCTATTTGAATATTACCTCTCGCAAAATATTGAGCCAAACATTACCCCTCATAAATGGATATGGTGGAAAAACCAAATATCATATCGTGACAATATGTTTCTTGACTTTTATTTTGAATTGGGAGATATTTGTGCAATTTCTGATGATATCATCAGATAATTTATTGAATTTAGAGATAGCTCCGTGACTGAACTTTTTTAAGTTAAATGACAGATGTAAATGTATAATCCCCTCATAGATGTTTCCTCTTGTATTCAACTTTTGAAGTTTATAGTTGATAGTTTAATAATTCTTAGCTTAGGTGAATCTATACAAACCCAGCATAAAAGTGACACATTGTTACCCGTCAACAGAGATGAAATGTCAATTTTTTTTCTTCGAAGCTGAAATCTTTCATCGTTTCAGCATATCGTCATATTTTTGAAGGGGATTTTGGCTTACGCGATCCCGGACGTCCCTACTGAAGTTACCAAAAATCTTGCTATACAAGACAAGAAGAATAAAGATATGAGGATGAAAGTACTCAACGAAGAATACATGAAAAAACGCAGAGAATCTGGTTTGATTGCAAGTTTCAAACCTATCAATATATCTTGATTGTCTTTAATACCCCATTATAGTGAATACGTTTTCTAGTGTTTTCGATTCTTTTTCTCCCGTAGATGTTTTCAATGAATAATACACGCCTATTCTTAGAGCCAATGAGTTATTCAATTTCCTGAAACCGACCAATCACCAGGCATTTGTATAGTGACAATTCAATTCATGTACACTGAGGAAAATTATGCTATTAGAGTTGTTGCAGAGATATTTCTTGCTACCTACCAATACAAGAAATCCTATGATAGCTGTCGCTATCAGGCAGCCACTCTGGGATAGCATGATTTTTTTCATAATTGTCTAGCTGAACTACCTAGTGCTTGTGGCTGCGAGGTTTATCGCATAGAAATGCACTCACTACCAATAATACAACTGTCAGTCTGCCACGAAAATAATATTTGACGAACCTACTTGGGGTTATTTAGCGCCTACTTATCGTTATTCAATGTTTTGCTGATTTGTCTCCCTCTATACAGCTAAACGTCAAATTAACGCTCATCGTGAAAAGACCTGTATAGTTTTGATGACGGACCTGCAACTATGTCTGGAACAAAGAACGATATGAAATACTCCTTCTAAATGTAATACTCACGTATACTGAATAGGAAGTAGTAAAATTAATAAATCTCGTCTGATTCCAATTTTGTACCCCAAAATGAGTAAAAATAATATTTTGAGCACATAATATGAATAGTTAAAATCGTCTGTGCACGAATAGAAAGCATATCGTTGAATAGAAATTTTGATGTTCTTTTCAGATATGGCAAAAAAAATGAGAAATTATGTATAGGGTGTTGTTTTCTGGCAGAAAGAATTTGTGAATTTAAAGTGAAGCCGGACCTAGATTTCATCTTTTGTTGTTGCCTCAATCAATTCCACAGGGTAGATTGAGCAAGTGTACCAATTTTCAAAAATATATACAGGTTGGTTGGAAAGTTATGAGACAATGAATATATGGACAAAATTGATGAAACATCCTGTATCTCGGTTATAAGAAGTCGAAGACCCATTCCATGTGTTTTTTCAAATCACCCTAGTGACCCCTGTCCACAGTTGGATTATTTACCTTTCCCAATGAAACACCCTGTATTAGCATTTGTCAGACATCTTAGTTGATATCAATCATTCACAGTTGGGCTCTTGATGCAAACCCATGTACAGGACGACAATCTCGACGACACGACAGTTACGAATACTTCCCAACTTGAATTCAATTCATTATTTGAAATCTGAATCTGAATTCAAATATAAAATGAAAATATTTTTAAACAAATAAAAAAATCGTCTGTGTCCCTTTCAGTGCTTTCGTAGATCTGAGTGCTTCAGTTATTACCAGGATTGATGCAATGATAAAGGTGAGTTTTCTCGCGGTATTTCGACTGAAATTCAAATATTGCACATTCAACATTTTCTTCTTTTTGGTACCATGAAACTTTAAAATTGTCAAATATGTTCCAGAGATTCTCTATAGAATGTGGTCTGAAAACTTATTGTGACCAAAAATGTACAGGTTATGAAATTATTTGAATAATTTTACTGGTACCATCTTGTTTTCCTGTACGCATCTGTAATAACTTGCCTAGTTTTCGAAATACAATGGTTTCAAAAAGTTTCAGAAAAATTCTTTTTTTCATTAATAATTACCCAAAAACCTTTTGTTTTTCCTGAGGGTGCATGAATCAATTGATCTATTAATTGAATTTCAATGATCATTGGTCCGAAATTTTCTTCAGGAATCAATAAATTGCTATTCATACCAAACATCAGGGTGGAAATTATGGATATCAGTCCGAATTTCACCAAAATAACTGAATAACTACAGCAAGAAGGTCATGCAATTATCTATATGAATTGAATACTTGTCTCATTTCTTAATGAGACAATTTTCCCTTGTGATAATTTGATATTGTTAAATATTTATTGACCTATGTACATTTATTTATTTTTTATCCTTACTACAAGGTTAACTTCGTAAGGTTTTTTCCAGTTTATTCAAATTACCTATATGTTTATTCCAATGTATATTTTGTAAACGTTTTTGAATAAACTTATATTATTATTATTATTATTACCCATCAAGAGTAGCAAAATTCCCTACCTACGATTATAACATTGCTCTACTCCCATTATTAGATGCACTCACTAGCGGTAGCAAGGTTCCATATCTAATAATCGCAGTTGGGTTATAATCAGCAAAGTCGACTTTATAAGCACAGGTGATAATTCGTTTGTCCCCTATGCTATTAGAGTTTCTTGCTGGGGTAATTCGATTTTTGACTATGGTTAATAGGAATTTTCCTCAGTGTATGAAAAATTCCATAAGCTTCTGTCATGAACTAGGTTTAGTTCATTGTATAAGTATATATCATCTGACGAAGCTACTGTGTAAGCGAAACCGTGTGTTTGAGAATTTTATGGAAATCTTATCGTTTGTGGAGTTTTTATATTTGCCATGGATTTCCATCAAGTAACGGCCGAGTCGAATCAAAATACATATTTTATATACAATATGATCTGAAAACAAGTGGACAACTTTTTCATTCAATCAATAGATGTTTGCTCTGGTTGTGGGGCATATTGTTTGGTCAATTCGGTGGAACCTTCTTTTGATGAAGTTTTTCGGATAGGAATTCAGTTAACAAACATTGAAAAACACACTCTTTTCATGTTCTGGTTCCCATACTGCGTTCTCTTCCAGAATTCCCATTTCTTCCAGAATTCCCATTTCTTCCCAGCCAACTAAGAACTCACGGCACAGGCAAGTCAATGCTGTCAATGAAGATCTTGCTGAAATCACAGCCTGGGGAACAAACAACCTAGTTGAATTCAACGCCACCAAAACTCAAGCTTGCATTTTCTCTAGAAAGGAGGAACTCAGTATGCCCGATATTGTAATGTCTGGCTCCACCATCCCCACCAAGCCCACCATATCTATGCTCGGTATTTCCATCAGCAACACTCTTTTATGGGATAATCATGTCAGATCCATCGCAAAAGCTGCTTCACAAAAACTCGGATTCTTGTTCCGTGCGAAAAGCTACTTTACACCTCAACAGCTTCTCATGATCTACAAAGCGCAGATACGGCCTGTTCTAGAATACTGTTCCCACATATGGGGTTCAGCACCAAAACATACGCTGATGCTCTTAGATTCCATCCAGAGAAGAGCCATTCGCCTGGTGGGTGACGCCACACTCACTCACTCTTTGACATCATTGGAACACCGTAGAAAGGTCGGCGACCTTTCACTTTTCTATCGATACTTCCACGGAAAATGTTCTTCGGAAATATCTGCTATCATTCCTTCACTAGCGATACCAATCAGACGAACTAGACAAGCCCAGTCAGCACATCCTTTCGTTGTCAACCTCGAAAGATGTCGAACAGCACTTTATCAAGACTCCTTCATCCATAGAACGGCTAGCCTCTGGAATTCACTGCCTGTGGCAGTATTCCCAACAACATATAATCTCCAAAAGTTCAAAAAAAGTTCCAATACCTACCTCTTGTCCCTATCCTCCCTAGGAACGCACGATGTTCTTTGAAAATTATAGGGATTCCCTTTCGTGCGCTCCAAGCGATAAAAAAAAGATATCCTGTAATGTTCAGAGAACATCGTGAGAACCAAGGGAAACAAGGTAGGAATTGGTGTTCTTCTTAAATTTCTGGAGGTTATATGCCTCGGGGAACACCTGCCTTGGCAATGTGTTCCAGAGCCTCGCTGTTTGTTGGATGAAAGAGCGTTTGGAAAGAGATATTCTGCAGGTCTCCAAAGTGACCATGAAGGGGTGCGAAGCCTCAACTCGACGGGTTAATCTCGCGGGGACTGCCAAGGGAGGAACAGTTGTTGATATTCTAAAAGAGCATCGTCCATGAAAATATCTATAAAATAGAGCCAGATCGACAACTTTCCTACGGTGTTCCAGAGAAGTCTGAGTTTGTGAGCAAGGCATCACCCACGAGACGAATTGCCCGTTTTTGGGCATAATTAAACAGTTTCAGGGTATGTTTGGGTACTGCACTCCAAATATGGAAACAGTATTCCAGGACAGGTCGGATCTGTGCTTTATAGATCATAAGCAGCTGACTGGGAGTGAAATAGCTCCTGGATGGAAACAGAAAACCAAGTTGTTTGGGATGCACTTTTTGCAATTGATCTCACGTGATTTTCTCACGAAAGGTTATTGCTGATAATAATACCAAGCATTGAAATGGATGTCTTCAAAGGTATGGTTACTCCTGACAAGCTTATGTTCGGCTCAGTGAGATCGGCTTTTGTAGAGAAAAGGCATGCTTGTGTTTTGCATTGAAATCTACCAAGTTATTGGATCCCCATTCGAGAATTATTGATGTCAGATCGATGTCAAAGTCATTAGTGACAATAGTTATTTTTGTATCTAGAGCGCGAAATACTACTTTGGTGATCGAGATCTGACTTTTTAACGAGGCGTAGCCGAGTTAAAAAAATAGTCGAGATTACCAAAGTATTTCGCGCTCGAGTTGCAAACAACATTTTTTCTACAAACGTCAAAAAATATAGTTCTGAAGTAAAAATATGCTTAGCTTGATATCAAAAATAGTGTTGAACTGGCTTAAAAAGACCTCCCCCTATCCTCCCTAGGTACGCACGATGTTCCATGAGCATAATAGGAATTTCCTTTCGTGCGCTCCAAGAAATGAAACAGAGTTTTTGTTGAACATTCAGGAATAAATGATTTCGTGGATGTTTGTTCGATTGAGGACCATGAAGTTGAAATATAAATATCTCATATATTTTACATAACAATGCGCGAAGTAGGTACTTCGCGCACTGTTTTACTTCGCGCACTGCTTCGCACATTGTGACGTGGTAACGTAGGAAACTGAAAAAAAGTGTCACTTCGCAATTTGTTATCAATGCGCGAACCTTGTCATTTTTTGACGTTTGTAGAAAAAGTATTTTTGTTGACAATTTTCACCAAGATGGTATCAGATACCGTAAAAACAGCTAACGGTTGCTTTTTTAAGGATGGAAAGAAAAGAGCAGATTTCGTTTTGGTAATTGATCCTGATAAGCTGGATGAATTGCAGATATTCATCCATAATTTGGAAACAGTAGGATTGGAATTTGAAGGAGCCAAAGGAAAAGTATGTTTGGTTTCAATGAACAGACGAATTTATTGAACAAATATATTTCAGTCCATTGAGAAGACGTTTTTGTTAATTCACATCTCCCAAAAAGCTACTGAACACTTTTCCAAAATGTACGATATTGGAAATGAAGAGAAAAAAATATATGATGTAAATACCAAATACGTTTATCGTGGAATTTTCGAAACTCCTCTTTCCAATCAGCCAGACAAAGAGAAAGGGTGAGCACGTTTATTATTCATTTTGTACAATATGGCAATATTCTTATCATCAAGACCAAAACTCCAAACATGACCAAACTTGCCAATGCAGTATCTCGAGCTTTTTTGGTTTCTTCATCTCCATCACTTGTTCTATTATCTTGACTCCTTCTCATTTCTGAGTTCAATATGCCGATTTTGCGGAACTTAACAATTTTTCGAATTATTTGTCAAAATATCAAGATGTGTCAATAAATGATTGATATTATTGTAACTTCTAATGAACTTTTACAGGGTGCTTCTATAAGGTCAACATAAAAACACCACAAATTCTCGAAACAAAAATACAATGATTCAACTTACTAAGCTTACCTCCAAAATGTCATTCGAACTGCCAGATGACATTTTTTAAACAAGATTCTTGAATAATTCGAGATGAATATTTTCATATATTCATTATTTTTTCGGGGCAAGAAATGGAAAACATGTTGCCGATCTTAGTAATTCGAGTGGGGTAAATTTTCGCATGTGATGTGTCCAAGGTAAGGATGTCTATCATGATGGGGATCTCGAGAATGGATGAAAGAAAATTTGAGCACTTTCAACACTATGCTCTTTAGAAATTTTCCAAATTCCGAGTAGTTTCGGAGATATGCCTGAAAAACCGAAATTTGCTGATTTCGTTTATATTTTTATCTGACGTTATTTAATGAGATATAGGAAAACGAAAGACATTTTCTCATTGCCACTATTTGAGCTCTATAAAACAGTGTTGAGAGATCTTATACAGGTTATACTTTTTAACGGGCCATATAATAAACAAAGTGTATGGTGTTTTTTCCGAAACGAAACGTCTTCTATACAGGGTGTTTCATAATATATGCCCAGGACTTCAGGATGTGATAGCTCGTTTAAAAATAAGAGAATATAGTTATTTGTTTTACTAGGCAGAAAAGTAGTAGATTGACTGCCACGGCTGATAGTTCATAGGAATTCAACAAAGGCAGTCAATCTACATTTGCTGCCGTGTGAAACATAGAATTTTTTCTGCGAATGATAATATGAAACCAATTTTGTGTAATTTTTTTATTGAAAACTCCATCATTTTGTGTTCATCCAATGTCAGTGTCAATTTTGATTACTAATTTCATTAGAATTTCTTGGAAAGTTGCATAGCAACAAACTTTTTCTGCCTAGGCAGTAAAAGTACACCTTTTCTGCCTGTTGAACGGCAGAAAAAAGCCACTATTCCTGCCGCTTGGAGAGAAAGTTATTATTAACTCACTTTCTGAAATGCACTATTTCCGAGTGTTGAAATTTGACAAAAAATCGTTTTTCGCGAATATTTCTGGAACCATTCATCGCACAAAAAACAGCTTTCGTAAGCATTCTGTACTTATAATAAGCTTTGTTTTGTGAAAGATCATTTCATTTTTATTTCATAATTGGTGAAGATTTTGAAGGGGTAGTGAGTATTTTCCTCCCCAACTTCTACGCCACTGGGAAATGTACAGTTCTGAGCAACCCATTTGAACTGCAAATATTTCCTACACAAAGAAGTAATTCCTGGCCAAAGGCTCTGAATTTGACCGTTCTCAAGAAAAATCAACTTTCATGTTGAAAATCATGGTAAAATTTTGTTAATATTACTAGGTGCATTGAAGCCAACCGCAGACATTTCCATTCGTGCGCTCCAAACGATAAAAAAAATTATTAATTTAACTGAGTATATGATTTGCTATTGTTTTTTTGTCCAATTTTGGAATATGAAGTTATCCTTTGGTTTGTTACTCGTTCTAAAGGTTTAAATAGATTTTGTTTAATTGGTAAAAAAATTCGTTTCCAAACATTTACCATGATTCTCAACATGGAAGTTGATTTTTCTCAAAAACGGTCAACTTTAGAGCTCATGACCACGAGTCTCTTTTTTGTGTAAGAAACATTGGTTGTTCGAATGGGCGACTCAAAGCTGTACTTTTTCCAGTAGCGTAGCAGTTGGGGAGAAAACTATCCACTAACACTTCAAAATCTTCACTAATTATGACTTTGAAACAAATGAATTCCACACAAAACATAGCTTATTAAGAATTAAGACACAACACAACCTCTAGCTAAACACTACTACTTGTTTCCCTTATACAGGGTGTTTCAGACTAAAATGTACATACGATACAGGCAGATAGGGGACACTTTGACGGTTTCGAATCACCCCTATTGAAATGTTTACCATCTTTTATAACTGACATACAGGACGTTATCTTGATTTTGGCAAAATCTTCATCATCTGGTCATGATTTTTGAACCACGTTGTATAATCTATTCATACTTGGTAGAAATATTTCACTTATATTACACATCAAAACTAAATAAAAATCGAGATATGAATCCAGGTCCGTCTAAAGGAAAAACACAAAACTTGTTTATTCGAAAACAACACTCTGTATGGCAAAATTTTGTGGATGTGTTTTGATATTTGGAAAGAGCAGGGAAAAATTAATGTAGTGACCTACTTATAACAAGCGCGCATCCAATATTTGACAGATGGTTTATTATTATGTTTTGAAATATTCACCCCATTTCGAGGAATTTTTATTGAACTGTTTTTCAAAATCCAATTTTGATACAAAAAAATAATTGTCTTCAAAGTTGATCGTCATTAAAAACAAATTAGGTGAACTATTGATAGATTTACCGCAGCTCATGAATCAATAGTGAAGAATAAAACAAGCCCTCAAAAATTTTCAAAACCACAGACGTTATTCTGTCGAACGAACAGATTTATCTATTTCACCCCGTTTATGTTGAACTTCGTAGGACGTTATTATTTTGTGAAATAATTGGATTTTGAATTACGAAAAATGACTCAAAATGGAGCCGAGTATATCAGAAAATAATAATAAAACCTCTGTTAAATCGGATGCGCAGTCGTAAAAAGTAGGTCACTTCATTCGTTTTTCCCTGCTCTTCTGAAATATTGAAACAGATATAAAAAATTTTGCCATACAGAGTGTTGTTTTTGATATAAAAGAAGTGTTCTGTTTTTTCTCAAGACGGACCTGGATTCTGATCCCGATTTCTATTTAGTTTTGATGGGTAATATAAGTGAAATAGTTCTACCAAGTATGGATAGATTATACAAAGTGGTTCAAAAGCTATGACCAGATAATGATTTTGCCAAAATCAAGATATCGTCCTGTATCTCAGTTATAAAAAACGGTAGACACATCAAAGGGGGATGATTTGGAACCATCACCCTATATACAGGTATCGTATGTACATTTAAATCTGAAATACCCTGTATAATAAATAACTTTTTTTTAATTACTTGTATACTGAAAACAGATGCCATTATGATTTTTTTCTACTGAGCGAAACCAACTCATTCGACACTTCGGCAGTGTTCTACCTACTCTATCAAAGGGTCACCTCATTTTGAAACACCCTGAATATGTATAATCATTGTGCTTCATTATTTTCTCTAAGTCTCAGATTTTTATTCGATTCAAAACAAGAAGACACATTTTTCTTGTTCCATTAGATTTCAAGTATCTTGACAGATTTTCAAGGAACACAAAAACACCCTGTATATAGTTAATATCTTATTGAATTTCAGTGAATTTTTGAGCGCTGATAGGATCATGATCATAAGAATATTGTTGACAACCACTAAATTTGGAGAATCCTCAGAACATATTGGTTTGGAGAAAATGATGAAAATTGGCCTTATTCTAACAGCATACCCTCTACACGACGGGCCACTGAAGTTGCATGATTTTTCGTCATCGCCTACACACGACAGACAGGTATTTAAAGTAGCACTTTATCGCCCGGATTTGCGGGCGTAAAGTAACACTTTAGCGCCCTAGGGCGATAAAGGAGTACAGCGGGCGGGTGGTGAAGTAGGTGAACGGGAGTTATAATTATTTATGTACAGTAAGTGCATTATACAGGGTGATTCAAAAGTGAACGGCATCCTTTCAGGGGCGTATGCCTTGCATGAAAATAAGGTGAAAAGTTCCTATTAATAAGGGTCCGAAAATGGTTTTCAAGGCAGCTATGCCTCTATGAATAGGACACCACAAAGACGATTTTTCTCTATAACTTTAAAATCCTTCACAATTAATTTTCGAAAATTGATGAACGGCATGAATATTTGATGCAGTCAGTGAAATATAAAATAGTTGAAGTAAAATGAGATATAAGTACAAGATTTGAAATAGTAATAATAATGATATATACAATGATGAATATAAAAGAAAGAATTAATGCACGAACTATGAAATTTCAATTTAAATACCTAAAAAATCTCCTAAACTATAGAAACATTCTTCCAATAAAAAACATATCAAAGTTGAATGTCTTTTCCGCACTAGTACGGAAAAGTGACTCTCTCAAGAATAAAATGGGCTTTACCGCACGCTAGTAGAAAAGTAAATCATTGAAAGTGTTTCCCATATATGATCCCAACTTTATGAAAGAATAGTAGATTGTTTTATTAGGATCAAAAGTGACACTTTGTTTGACAAGCGAATTTTGCAGCGAAAGCAAAATTTGCGAGTCGAACAAAGTCACTTTTGATCCGAATGAAACATGCTATTTTTTCTGCAACCGAAACAACAAAACTATAATAAACATGTGAAAGTAACCACCAATGCCGTGCCATATGTATGCAATGCAACAAATATTGACAAATAATCCATGTGGTGAGAATATTCTACCTGCATTAACAGCAGGTTAGGTTTTCTACTATGTTCGAATTGTAGTTTCAATATAAATACAACCACAGAGTGGCATATTTGTGTATGGACCAGGTGCCCTAATGGCAAATACCGCGCCAGTGCCAGCTATAGTAACAAGACGTGGAAAATGTTAGGTTAGTGAGCATATCAACAATGATAATAGTGATTATTTATTCCTCTCCATACTACACTGTGTTTGACTTGATAATCAAATGAAGCTAAACAATATCGTTGTTTGAGACAAAAAAACTATTGCTTGCCGTGATTATTCAAAAACAAGTTATCCATCCCGAGAATAACGAATGAAATACAGATCAAGCAAGTATTTGAATCTTGAAGGCTTCCCTGATCAAAACAAAAATACTTAACTGAGATGTTTATAATTCCAATATTGAACTATAATAAAGTGTATTTATTTATCCAGCATGGGCATGAAATGACAAATCTGCTGAAATCGGAAACAAATCAGGTATGCGTCTCAACCCAAATAACCAACCGTCACAATGTTGTTTACTCTTGATGACGTGCAGTAGATCCTTTTTAGTTCCTAGGAGCTAAAGTTCAACTTTAGCTCCTAGGAACTAAAATTCAACTTTAGCTCCTATAGGAACTAAATATGTTGCCTAGCAACATACCTATTTTTGTGTCAGTAATAGAACCGTCAATTTAAGAGCTAATTTTGGTATCAAAATGGACGACTTTTGTGTCGGTTGCAGAAAAACTGTATTAATTTTCAGATGCTGTATCGACATTGGGCCAATCTCACGGTATGGTACAAAGAGGTGCCGCTGAACGTCGTCAAACGATATTTCGGTTGTGAAATTGCCTTCTACTTCTGTTGGCTCGAATTTTTCAACAAAATGTTGATTCTTCCCTCCATCTTGGGATTCCTGATAGTTATTACGAATATCATCGTTCTCTATGTCAAGACGATACCTCAAATGTATGTACTATACAAAAATCTAACAATACACGGTGGCTTTGAAATAAAAATACAAATATTTCAAACCCTGAGGAAGCTGGACGTAAAACGAAAAAACTTTTTACCTACTACAAATATGTAATGTGAAACCGCACTAGTGCGGTAAAGTGAAAAAAATATAATTTCAAATCTCATACCTAAAATCAATTCTCATCGATATATCGATAAATTCATCAATATATCGATATTTTTCCCAGCACTACTGTGATCATTTCGAATGGTAATAACAATCGCAAAAACTATTCAAAGATGTTTTTTTTTTAGCAACGAAATTTGTCATTCAGACAATATGTTCCTCTGCCCAACATGTGTGTCTAGTCATACGTGTGGGTTCAAACCCCTTTCTAGTCTTTGTGACTTTTCCCAGTGGAATTACGTATTTGACAACTATTTAAGCGTCAATTTCGCGATATTAATGTCAATTTGGGGTAAGTTACCTAGGTTTTCTACAACTAACAAGAGACATTCAAATTCACCAATTTGTATTTTTAAGACACGTCATGTTCTATTGATTAAATTTCTAGATAAATTCATTGAATTGAAAAAAACAACAATTTTTAATTTGTGATTTTGAAGTGGCCATCATTATTGAGTAAGTATACCGGGTGTCAACGAATCTATTACACAAGTCATAACTTCTAGACCATTAGGTGTATCAAAATGAGATTTGGTATAGGTAAATGGTATGTGAAGTGGAGAGTTTTCACATATTTTTCACTTTCCGATCAAGTGTACCATGGATAATAATTCATTCACTTTTGTAAGCACTTCCCGAAAGAGGGATATTTTGACGAATCTAACGATACTAATTTATTTGCTCTTGAAGCTTATGTCACTGTCATAACCTAAGTGAGTGTTTTGTTCTCCCAAGAAGACTTGATCGAAATAACTGCAAAATATTATGCATCATGCCTATCCTCGGCACACTTGACAAAAGTAAATAAATTATTATGAATTATTTTCGTCAGTAATATTTAATTCATGTTCTTATTTGTAATCCAATCGCAAATAAATTTGTATCGTTAGATTCGTCAAAATATCCTTTTTTCGGAAAGTGCTTGTCAAATGGTCGCCATTTGAGAAATAATATAGTTAGACACGAAAATGTAATTGTGCCAACTTGTCTTATTCATATCTATCATACTTGTCACTAAAACTTCGCGATTTTCTGATATCACCTGAGGTCCTTAGATTAGTTTACTTCCGATCAAGGCCACCTAGATGTAATTTCAAAAGTGACCCCGAAAAAATTAAACATCAGGCATAAAAACTTTCGAAAATGTCACATTCTGATCTAGAATTGTCTCAGAAATCAAAAAATGTTTCAATATACAGGGTGTTCCATTCAAAAATTTAGAACCGGAGCCATTTCCGGTGAAACTGGAAGTGACCGGAAAGTGAAAAATATGTGAAAACTCTCCTCTTCACATACCATTCACCAATACCAAATCTCATTTTGATACACCTTATGGTCTAGAAGTTATGACTTGTGTAATAGATTCGTTGACTCCCGGTATATAGTGAATCGTTATTAATTGATGTATTTGAAATTTTTAGCAACTCTGTTCATCAATTTGTGGCGAAGAAAATCCAATGCTTTGAAATTGAAATGGGATGTTCAATTTGAAGACACCGAAACAAATATTAGGTAGGTATGTATGTAAATCATCTTGGAATGCAGCTTTCCAGGAAAAAACAATTCGATGACGTCATTACTCCAATTTCCAAGCATTTTTTTAAACTTTTGAAGTGCACGAAAATAAATTCCTATAATGTTCGGAGAATTGGGAGAGGAGGTAGGGATTGGATTTTTTATAACTTTTGGAAAAATTCTTTTAAAAAAGGATGCAGATTCGTTCCTAAGCTAAGTCCGAAGCTCGAAGTGAAAATTTTATAACTTTTAGGTTATACCAATATTCCTCTTTTTTGTTTTCAATTCACATACAGGGTGCTGTCGAAATAAATACATTGAATTTAAACCACAAGAAGGCTCTAGGTCTAGGTCTGGCTCTAGCGATCCAAATAAGGTTTGATACAAGAGAACCTACAGAAAACTGGCGTTATCAATTATTATTGAAATACTACAAATTTACCAGTTGTATTTCAGAAGATCGGTTGAATTTGGGGAAACGTCATTTATATCTAGAGCAATTAATTTTTTTTTTTTTTTCGTTTCAAAAGGTATTTTTGAGGAATAAATTATGGTAACAGCTCAAAATTTCAAAAGTGTCACATTAGAAAAATTTGTATTAGGATATAAATTTTTATCTGATCAGATTCGTGATGGAGTTTTCTCAATTCAGAATCTGGGAACAGCTTTTTTGATTCTGTACAGATGTCTCTGTTGAATAATATTCTCATTCAGAGGTACGTGTTTTACTTTTACAGGGTAGGTATCTACAGGGTATGTCACGACGAGCTTACACTATCTCTATATCAAGAATCAGTCGGGAGAAATCCATGAAAATACGCAGGCAATGTTGCCGCTTCTATCAAAAAGTAGCAACAACTTTGTTATTTCAAATAGAATACCCTGTATTTTATCGCATTTTTAGATTCTCCCTGAAGAGCTGATTTTATCGATACCATACACTTCGGGTCTATCGGTAAGGATTACAGAGATATAGGGTGTTCAAAATCGAACACCCTATATCTCTGAAATCTTTCTGGATTGATCCCAAGTGTGATATATCGATAGAATAAGCTCTTCAGGGAGAATCTAAAAATACGATAAAGTACAGGATGTTCCATTTGAAATATCAATGTTGCTACTACTTTCTAGTAGAAGCGGCAACACTGCATTGTCGAAACTATTAGTAATGAAGAGAGCGTATTCTAAAATATAGTCCGGGAAAACTCTTTGTCTTGTAGTGAATGCTTATTTGGCCGAATATATACCGTACTCTGTACCAATTCATTTTTTAGATGGTTAATTCTATCTTTTTTCTAGGTTGAAGCACCTGGACAGTGTGAAAAGAAGAAAATTCAGTTACATAACTGGTACATATGAACCTTATATACCTCTATTCAAAATTTTTTTTCGAATGACTATCACCAGTTCAATCTGCTTATTCATGGTAAGAACCCAAATATGATTCCTGTAGTATTTTGTATGTCTGTGTCATTTATTCAAATTCATCAATCAATATCCAATACAGGTGTCCTAAATCTGAACCTCATCATTGGGATTTAAAGACTTTCGGAAAACCTGAGGTTCATGAGAATTAGCTTCTTCAAAATGCAGTTGATCAACCGGAGTTCAATTTTTGGAGAAAAAATGAATATTCGCGATTTACTTATTATTTTTGTTGATAACTCGATTTGAATAGATGCAACAAAACAGATTATACATTCTCATTGCTACTTTTTACGTTTCATTTTGAGCTGCCATAATCATTTTTGTTTTCTCAAATACGGCCCTGGATTTTTCATTATGGATTTTGAGAGCTTTCAATCTCCTAAAATCAACGGTGCATCGCAATTATTCAAAAAAGTCATATCAATTTATTTGTTAGAGAGAGACAGTGAATAGATTTTTCATAAGATTAAAAACGAACACTTTTAACGAGTAAGTGCGATACTCCATTGAAAGCTCATAACATCCTGGGCCTATTTGAAAAACAAAGTTGATATTAGCAGTTCATAGACAATGTGAAACTTGTTTTGTTACATCTATTCAAATAGTCATCTTTTATATACATATATAAAAATGAATGTCTGTATATACGTTTGTTTGTCCTTTATAGAATCGTAAACGGCTTGACCGAAATTCTATCTTGTTGTATTTTTAAATGTCAAGAGAAGGGTTCCTATGAGATATGAGATAGAAAATTAAGAAATTCAATATGGCGGATCCAATATCGCGAACGAATTTCGTAATTATAATCCGATTCTATTCTAAATAGGTATCTCTGGGTTTTTGGTGTCGCAGATCATATTTTTTTGTCAACAATGGAAAATTGTAGTTGGCGGATCCAATATGGCGGACGAGTTTCGTAATTATGTTCCGATTCTGTTCGAAATTGATATTTGGGGGTTTTTGGGCTCAGAGATCATCTCGGATATTATGATTCTTTCCTCAATATTTGAAAACTCGTCGAACGAGGTTTGTAATTATGATCTGATTCTATTCTGGATTGGTAAAGAAAAGTCCCAGAGGCGTCCTCCATATGGACAATATGGAAGCAACGCCATCTGAGTAGAAAAGAAGAAAAGAAAAACTCCAAAACCAAAGTTCCTATACGGAATATAACAAATTACCAGATAATATAAAAAATTGCAGAAATACAATAAAATTCAAATACCATCTAAAAAAATTTATCATTTCTGAACGAAATAGATGACTTTTTTTCAAACTTTTGATTCATATTCAAATTGATTTTTGCTCACCAATATGAAATGATTTGTCAAAATTTAATAATTAATGTTTTCAAATATTTTATTATTCATCAGTTTATTATAATTGTATAGTTTTAGGTATTATTATAGTTAACTATACTTCCTTGTACCAGAACTTGATTCTGACTGGAAGTAAATAATAAATAAATAAAATAAATACGGATATTTCACTTCTGAAATCGTTGATGAAATCACAAAATGAATCGAACCAAGTTAATTTTCAATTTGCAGATATTGCTGGACATAGCAGCTGTATTTGGTATAATTAGTTTCAAAGTTGCTCTGAAGACGTTTTTTTGGACTATCAGATTCTTCAGACCCCATTCAACGTATTGGGCTATGGTTGTGGGTTGCATTATTCAAGTTATTATCATCAAATTATTTGCTAAGGTAAGTGCAGTTATGCTTTCATAATATACAGGGCGTTTATTTTGGAAATACTTTTCTGGGCTCTCACAAACCTCAAAATGACAAGATATATTCGACCATTACACAAGTTTCGAGAAAATTCATTTATCTCACTTCAAAGATCATCATATACAAGGTGTTTTTGAAATAAGTGCACATATTCAGCACATTAATATGCTACAGTCTGAGGAATATTTCCATGGTATCAGATTTTCTCTAATTCTTTTAATGAATGAGAAATTTCATCCGGAAAATTGAACAAAATACGAGAAAAAAATCAAGTACGACAGTTTAAAACAATTTAAATGATTGAACTCCGCGTGATTGTGCCTACCGCATAGAAATTTGACTAGAGGTGACGTCAGATTTGATACAGTGTAGAACTTTGGATGGAAAAAGTGGTCTAACCTCGAATTTTATTTTGATCCCTAATTTTTTTTCATTAGTGCCATTCGATAGTACATGTCGAGCTTTCTCAGTGTTTGATATATTTGCACTTATTCCAATTCCATCCTGTATATACTGGTGGAAATTTGAAAGATCCAATCTAGATAATTTTGAAAAGAAGAATTTTTAAAGATATTATTAATGCCGATGTTCTTTAATAATATAATGCTGATCTGGTTTTACTGGACTTTGTCCAGATCCTATTTTAAATTCAGGACTGATATTGTGAAATTCGGCCTAGGCTTTTGATTTAATTTTTTGCTCTTGATATGAAATGCTGAGGTTATAGTATACCGATTCCTTGACTATTTTTAGACTCCTTAACAATGTCCATAATTATCTTTTAGGGACTTTCGAATACATAATCTTTGTGTCTGATGATGGCCTGTGGCCGAAACTAGTTACAATATTCATCAAAAAAATATTTTCGTGGTCGACAGACTTTGGCACTTTCATTGCTTTTTTTTTCTGAAAATGTGAAAATAATCGATAAAATTTGAAGGAATTTTACATAACCTTCGATTAACTTCCACAAATATTTCAGATGTACGGCAAATTGTCTATCTGGCTGACCGATTTTGAAAATCCAAGAACTCAAAAAGAGTTCGATAACTCTGTCCTTTACAAAAGATATATATTGTCGTTCGCCAATAATTACACATCTTTATTCTACATAGCTTTCTTCAAGGTAAGTCCTACATGAATTTAACTGAATGCCATTATGAGTTTTATCACCAGCATAATATACAGGGTGTATTTAAATAACACCTAAAAATTCAAGGGATGATTTCTTGTGATATTTAAGAAAATAAAGTTCATGTAAACATGTGTCCTAACTTGCTTCGTTTTCAAGATACAGGGTGTCAATATTTCCATGAAAAATCGTTTTTTTATTCAATACTCAGTTGTCTTTTGATCAATTTCGATAAAACGTTGTAGTTTTGTTAATAGTAATATGAGGCTTCATCTGGTGCAATAGATTGGAAATAATACTTCCAATAGCGTCACAGTGGGTATATTCATCGATATTTATGGTGAATGTCATTGTACGCCACCGGTTTATCTGAGTTTCATATTTTTATTAGATTGAACTATTGAAATAACAATTTTTTTTATCCTTTGTGTAATTTTTGTATCTAGCTTGATGTTTGAGAAAACAATGAAACTTCGATTTGACTCCAAACTTTCATGTAGGCGTGTTCTCAAGACTTCCATTGAGATTACTGAATAACCTCAATCAGAATCATTTAGAAATTTTGAGGCATTCTCAGTCTCCATCCATACTGAATTTTGGCACCATGAATACTTCCAACTTCAACATCCTGTATCTCAAAAACGGAGCAAGTTAGGACAAATGTTTATATGAACTTTATTTGCTAGAATGTCACAAGGACACACTCCTTGAATTTTTTAAGTGTTTTTCAGATACATCCTGTATAAAGAAATACAACGAGAATTCACATTCTCTATACAGTGTGTCCCACTTACCATGCTCACCATGGGTATCTTTTTAACGGTGAGAGATACGAGGTCGGTTAAATGACACCAAATGTGGATAGTTTATCAAGGCCAACTATAATGTGAAAAAATATTTTGGTTAAATCTATTCGTTTTTGTTTTATACGCAAAAAACAGATTTTGATCATTTTCATGTCTCCTCCGTAACTTCTTTATTTATGAAAATATTCGAATAGAAATTTCACATTGTCATGGCAGTTTTTCAAAGTGATTTCGAAAAAAATATGAAATTTATACCAACTCTTCTAGAATTCGAGATATCAGCATCAACTTTAGTTTTTCAAATGTAGGTCATAGCTCACTATGACTTAGTTACAAATAACTTTTTTTTCTCTTACAGTTGATATGTCGCAGTAATAATTTTGTGTTGATAACAACGGAGTTATCGTCATTTATACAAAAACAAAAAAAATATTTGGAAGCCGCCAACTTGAATTTATAAATTTTAACAAAAAATCATGATCTCCGACCTCAAAAACCCCCACTCACCAATTTTGAATGGAATCGGACCAAATATTGTCCGCCATCTTGGAGCAGCCATTTTTTTTAATTTCAACAAAAATTCCATAATGTATTGTCACCGAAATTATGAACACCTGCCAAATTTCAAGTTAATCGGAGTTATGGAATTTTTGTTGAAATTAAAAAAAATGGCTGCTCCAAGATGGCGGACAAGATGTGGTCCGATTCCATTCAAAATTGGTAAGTGGGGGTTTTTGAGGTCGGAGATCATGATTTTTTTGTCAAAATTCATAAATTCAAGATGGCGACTTCCAAACATTTTTTGTTTTTGTATAAATGACGATAACTCCGTTGTTATCAACACAAAACTATTACTGCGACATATCATCTGTAAGAGAAAAAAAAGTTATTTGTAAGTAAGTCATAGTGAGCTATGACCTACATTTGAAAAACTAAAGTTGGTGCTGATATCTCATATTCTAGAAGAGTTGGTATAAAATTCATATTTTTTTCGGAATCACTGCCATGAGAATGTGAAATTCCTATTTGAATATTATCATAAATAAAGAAGTAACGGAGGAGACATGAAAATGATCAAAATCTGTTTTTTGCGTATAAAACAAAAACGAATAGATTTTACCAAAATATTTTTTCACACTATAGTTGGCCTTGACAAACTCCACATTTGGTGTCATTTAACCGACCTCGTATCTCTCACCGTTGAAAAGATACCCATGGTGACCATTGTAAGTGGGACACACTGTATATTGAACACATACGATAAGAATTTGAGAATGTATGCAAGGTGTCCCAAAATTGTTAGGACACATACCTCTACCACGTGTGAAAGAAAATAAGTTGATTGGACCCATTTTATTTATATATCAAAATGTACCTACCGTTTGTCAGTAAGAAGAGTTGAAAGTTTACATAAAAAAAACACATTTCTGTTCGCTGTTCAGAAATGAGTAGAACAATTTTAATGAAATTTGACAAGAGTGCATTCCAGAGGAGTAGTCTCCTTTCAGTATCCAAAGAAATCTTAGCATAGGATGAGCTACATTGTTGAGTGGAAGAACAAAATCTGTTTTCGAACAGAATTTTGAACTCTGCGTTTTGACAAACCTTCAAAAGATTTATATTTATCATATGTTTATTTGTATCATGGTTATGTCAATGAAAGCGAAATCATTATTATTATTATTATTATTATCTAAAAGGAATTGTAGAAGGATTGAAACTACCCTCGCCCCTGAAATTTTTTCCAGAACATTCTTAGGGGTGGTAATACGGTTCTATTTTTTTAACAAGAAGACAGATTAAATATCTTCATTCTGTTACTCTTGTGAAAACTTCGTCCTCTCCATATTTCCGAAGGAAAAAATGTGTTTGATTATGCTAACAGATATTTCTAGTACAAGTTTAATAACATAGTAATACGAAATTTAGTTGACAGTGGAAACGCAGAATGCTTTTTTTGTAATAAATGTTCATTGCTTGGAGCGCACGAAAGGAATGAATACAAAGGTCATTTCGATGTAAAAAATTTGTATGCACCCGCTTTATTATTGATTGATTGTCTTTATTACCCCAAGAAACATAGTTGTTTATAATAGGGATACATAAACAATATACATAATGTTATACATACAATTATGAAATTATAATAAGATATAACAAGTTAAAAAAAAAAAATGCAAATAATCATGCAATATCAACCTAGTCTTTTATAAATAGGTATTCAAATAAGAAATGGGATTATCAAAGTCTCTGAAGCAGATATTTTTTTAAGTTAATTTTGAATCTAGTTGCTTCCTGTATATTCCTCAATTGACTTGGTAATGAGTTGTATAGAACGATTCCTGTGTGAAAAATTGATTGTTTGCCGATATTCGACTTGAACTCTTATCTCGGACAAACGGTACATTTTCATGTAAGTATAAATAGATTGGGTCCAATCAACTAATTTTGACCTATTCTATACATGGTGGCTCTGTGTCCCAGTAATTTTCGGATATATGAGTTCCGTCAAAAAATATCTGCATGAGTGATGATCCTTGTATTTCAATTTTTTATGTTATGTTTCGGGCAACCTGAAGGCATTGAATTCAACTCGAAGCATTTTTCAGGGATATTTTTATACAGTACCGCATACAGAATCAGCAATCCCACTCATCACCAAAGATTCTTGTAAACCATTACCTTGTGTGGTAAGACTATGCATTCAGATGTTTTTTGTCATGATATTCAAACGACTAGCTGGGAATGTTCTAACACTATTATATCCGTGAGTATAAAAACCAATATTATAGTTATTTATACACTAAGGTAGTAAAAAATATAATTTTCTCTGTGACGGGAAAAAAGTTTGGCATTTCATCTCTGTTGGCAGGTTATAAAATGTCACTTTTTATGAATTACTTCTTTCCCGTGGGAAAAAAGTGAGTACTTTTTCCCCGATTATATATCACATCACACTGTTGATGGCTTTTGTTGTGGTATAGTTCCGAAAAATGAGTCAATAATACCGCCTCCGAGATAGAACTGCAAGTCCTTTTATCTTCCATTCGACTTCGCGGTTACGTATATTACTAAACAACCACTAAATTCGCAATTGTTTGAAATCAAATCACAGCATTAGACCGACAGTAGTGACATCAGATATTTGATAACTTCAAAAGAATGATAAAGATGCCTACAACGCAGGTGTCCCTACTGTTAAAAACTTAAAATTTCACGTCGATAAGTTTCAGATTTCAAAATAATGTAATATCTTCTCAATATTGATTCGTCCTTTCTGTAGTAATGATATTCTTCACTACCAAGGTTTATATCGAATTTTTCTCACCACTAGCAATATTTTTCAATCATTTCAGTTCTGTGATACCGACATATGAACCTATTTTCACTATGAAAGCACTTATTTATTCTTAACCAAGACCATGACAGCTAAGGCTTCGCTAGACCAAGAGTCCACTGGTCCAGTCTTGGTCTTGTCTCGGTCTTGATACACTAATAAATCTTCCCTAGACCAAGACTTGACTTTTGAGACCAAGACTGAGGCGAAGGCTCTCTCGCAAAAGTCTTGGTCTTGGTCTTGAAAGAAAAATAATGAACCAATATAAAGAAATTTTTTTATGGAAAATGCAATTGCATTTTATTTCAGTTATATATTTGTCATATGGTATTTGGTTTTTGATTTTTGTTTACTCAAAATTCGAAATACAATTTTCAAATTCTGTATTGCAGTTTCGAAGTTTACAACAAATAGCTGTATGTAAGGTTACAGTGGTCCACACCACCTACTATTGAAGATAGAAACAAACTTGATACAAACGTTATTTGGTTTAAATTTGCAATTTTTTGAAATATTTTGATAATGCGTTATTGTCAGTTCCGCCCCTTTTGAAACTTTTTCTGGCCTGTCGGGCGTTGGCCTGTTTGCTGTTTGGTTCTCATCCAATGTTTATTCAAGGTTTCTTGAAAATTATATTCTTATGGTAAAAAGGGAAATTTATTTCGCTTACTTCATACGTACATATCGACAATTTTAAAGACTGACAAATACGAAATACCTAATATATGCATATAAACTGTTGGATATTTGAATAAGATAATTCAAATTTCTAGACGCATCTTGATCCAAGACCAAGACCAAGACTGTGCCAGTCTCGTCTTGGTCTCGATCTCGAAACATCAAGACCAAGACTACATTTATTTTTCGAGACCAAGACCAAGACTGGTCTTGGTCTGGCGAAGCCCTAATTGACAACATATGACAGTCGTTATTGATAAATACCTACTAGATTCCAGTGCCACCCAGTGCCATTCCTGTGAATTTCTGCGATCAAAACATTGCATTCGGGTTAAATAAAACAGAGTAATAAGGTAGTAAGAACAAACTTTACGCCTCGAATGGGAGTGAATAATGGCTAGTGGTGAAAAAAAAAACATAAAGGTTTGTCTGTCTCTGCCTGTCTGCCTTCTTCAAATGTGTCAAACTTCTGATTTAGTTGACACATAGAAAATCGGCTGAACCACGTACAAGTTCTCGAAAATGATTTCGACTATTCAATTCTAATGATTCTAATGGCGATAATTCATATTAATTATCATTATTAGATATTATTGTGCATTGTTTGTTTGATTGTGACATAATAATTCATTGATACAATATTTCTAGTATCTAACTAATTTCTTTCGAACCGGCACCACAGCATCTTTTGACATGTATGGCGTATAGATTTTGAATCTTCAAGTGGAAGTAGTACAGGCAAAAGTAACAATCAATTTTGTTAGAAAAATAATATTATTTATTTTTTGTAAATTCGATCTGTTTCAAGACAAATAAAAAAATTTATATGGAGGGCATTGAGAAAGAGCGAAAAGAAACCGTCAGAAGAAGAAGAAGAAGAAGAACTATTGCCACAGTATGAAATAGAATATAAGTTACTGCCAACAAACCGATATTTTTTAACAACAGAATTCTCAGAAATGGGTAAGTGAAGTTATAATATAATATGGATTCACTCTGGATAAGCTTTGAACAAATGCTCGAACAAAAAAAAATGCTTAAAATTTCGAATTTCATTAGTAGGACGTATTTTGAGATGAATTTGCCATCTGTCTTTTCTTTCAAGATATTGATAGTGAAAGTTTCTTCTTTTTCTCAGATATTCATTATACAGTTGTCATAGGTTCTCGAAAACACAAAACATTGGCTGAGCCAGTTTTACACAACTAGTACTAGGATCCCGAAATCCTCTCTCTTTGATACTTGTACGCTTTTTTATTGAATATGACTGTATTTTCCCTAACAACACCAGTACATCCTAGGGACTTCCCATGGACGTCCCTGATTTTATACTAGGACATCCCAGGGATGTCCTTTGTCGGGACAACGTACATACTAGGGATGTCCCAGGGACATCCGCTGGCCGCTAAAAAAGGCATCCAGGGGATGTCCTTCTGATACGTCCCTGGGATGTACCAAGTACGATGAAAGGATATCCCTAGGACGTCCCAAGGATATCCCAGGGAACCCGGGACCTTTGGCTTATCATGCACGCACCTTGCTCCATTGGCTATCATGCCTCCTGAAGATTTATGTACTAAACAGATTTATAAACAGGACTTAACTACAGAAACCTGAATAAATACAACTTTATTAGGAATTGGGTATAATTATTATCATTCTAGGGTGTTTAAAAATGAGGGGCATTATGCATGTACGATTTCTGTCTGCGAAAAATGGTAATTTCTTAAGAAGTTCTGAGACTTTATTCTTTATTTTCATTACAATCATTTTCCGGAAGAGAAACAAACATTTTCAAAAAAATTCAACTCAATAGTTGATGACTCTGATGTGAATGGATATCAGATACTCCAGGGACACGAATAGGATAACCTAGGGATGTACCGGGCGGGATGTTCACTGGACAACCCCTGCAGGACATCCCCTGGATGTCCCAATCATGTCCTTGTACCGCGGAACAAAAAAGGGACGTACCTAGGACATCCCTGTGTTGTTAGGGTTCCTCAAAGGACCCTATTCTTGGTAGGAGAATGTACAATTCCTCACGACTCACCCTGTATACTGGCCGTTGATGACAGATTCTTTGCAACGTTTTATTGCATCTTTCAAGTCATGATCCTTATGGGTTTTCAACATATCCTGGATCGTACCAGTATATCACCTGACGAAGCTACTATATTAGCGAAACATGTCGTGTGTTTGAGAATTTCGTGGAAATCTTATCGTTTGTGAAGTTTTGACATTTGACCTTCATTACACCTATTTCCATAGTTATCCAATTCGGCTTCGTGACCTTTTTCGTGGCAGCATTTCCGCTGGCACCTCTATGCAGCTTGCTCAACAACATTCTGGAGATGCGCCTCGATGCCTTCAAAATGATAGCTTTGTATCGGAGACCGTTGCCTAGAAAAGCGAGCGGTATTGGGGCATGGGACGGCGTTTTGTTAGGTCTGACCTATATCAGTTGTGCCACTAATGTAAGTAATAAAAAACGGCGTCTTTCGCGATACACAGCAAACACGAGATAGCTGGCGAATCAACGGCCCATTAATGGCCCATTGAGGGTACATTGATGGCCCATTGATGGTCCCTATTGTTCGCACTATTTGTCGGTGATGAATATTTGTAGGTGTTCATTGCTGTTTTTATCATACAATACGAACAGTTGTTTGCATAAACAAGTCTTACAAGGTTTTGTATGGTGTAAACCTGCCCATGATATTCCAGATTTCATTAAAAAGTGGTACACGTATACATTTGCGCGTTACTGACAAAAAATAGTTTGAATTTTGACACTACTTATCGATAAGAAGATTAATCAAGATTGACAAGCCTGAAACAAACTGCCTATACCAAATACCTTTGTATTTGGATTGATGAAAAGATAACATGGAACAAGCATATTGGCATGCTTCCACATCCTTAGTAGAATGAAGTATCTCATAAATATTTGGGGTTCCTGTTCCAAGAATAATTTCAACAAAATATCTGTACTATATAAAAAATAATTAAAAGTACTGTATCGTCTTCCATATGACACCCCATCAAATCAACTTTTTGAAGAAACAAATATATTTTCTTTGAGTCAAGAAACATTTTGCAAAGAGAGAATCAAACCTAAGTGAATGATTTCTCATTCACTAATTTATTTCATCATGTCATAATGTACTTTTCATGAGCTTTTTGTTTCACTTTTTTTTTTAATCTGTTGTTAATTTCAATAACTATAATTTAATTTAATAACGCATGAATAATCTCATACCAGATAATATGAATCTGTCTTTTTTTTTATCGCTTGGAGCGCACGAAAGGGAATCCCTATAATGTTCAAAGAACATCGTGCGTTCCTAGGGAGGATAGGGACAGGAGGTAGGTATTGGAATTTTTTCGAGCTTTTGGAGATTATATGTTGTTGGGAATACTTCATTGTAAATGTTAATGAATATATTTATATTTATATGAAATGCAATGTAATGAAATGAATAAATATTAGTATTTCACGAATCTTATTAGGTTTGTATTTGCAATTTCGATGATACTGTTTTTTTTTCTTGACCCATAACTGGTCTTTTTTAGTCTGATGATGGCCGTTGTGCCGAAACCAGTCACTTCCTAATTGTATTTTTTGATATAAAGTGGGATCGACCGACTTGGAGTTCATCTTTCATTTATGGACCTATGTGATTTTTCAGGGGATGGTTATAGCATTCACCAGCGATTTTGTGTCCAGGAGGCAGTACTTCAACAAGTTCTCCCATCTCAGAGGATTCGTCAACCATACACTTTCAGGTAAACGTAACAATAAAAATTAACTATACGTAATTACATAACACGAGAAAAAACGTCCTTTTTTCGATGCCCTTACGAACCTGGTATTCTCGAGGGAAATTTCAGATTGCCTTTGTCTCCAGACGTTTGGAAAATAGCAAACTGACTTCAATCGATAATCCTAGAATCTCAAGACTAAGAGAAACTATAGGAAATTTTTGGTGAATCGATTGTCAGCTGATGCAAAACAGACTGTTTCGGCTTATAAAGCCCCATCAGTTGCACTAGGCCATCCGACGAACGATTAACGAAGGGTACTTCCATTTATATGATACAAATCAAAGCCCGGAGGGGGCAGAAATATAAATCTAGCCATCAGAGCCATCTAGTGGCTTTAGTGAAATAGTGTGTAAGAAGATTCAACAATCATACTTTGCTAGTAAGTCTTGCACAGACCCCTACGTTCATGCTTACAGGAAGACACCTTGGCACAATGGGGTTGTACAGGGTGAGCCTAATTGGACACTTTTAAAGGAAAAGTCCTATTCCTGTACTAGATAGAAAAAAAAAACTGATGTCGATGCCTATTGATAACAACTATCTTCGTTTCAGAGTGACAAGATGTTCGAGAATATGAATTTTCGAAAAGTGGCTGAAGCTCGTATTTTTCCAAAAATTCTTTGTTTCCATAAAAACATTGCCAAAGCATTGTGTTTGTCATGATAATTGATCCTCAGGCTCTGAAATCAGTCACCATATACCTAGTTTCGAAAAAACCCTTTTCCTTCAAGAAGAACAAGACGTACATTGAGAATTCGCATTTTTTATGTGATGAAAATATCAATTCTTTCTTGGTTTATTCAACAGAAAACAACTACTTTCCTGGCTATATGTCACGACGAACATTGATTATATTTCAGAATACGCTCTCTTCTGTTCATATATTCTCGACAATGCAGTGTTGCCACTTCTACTAGAAAGTAGTAGCAACATTGATATTTCAAATGGAACACCCTGTATTTTATCGCATTTTTAGATTCTTCCTGAAGATCTGATTTTATCGATGCATCACACTTGGGGTCTATCGAAAATGATGACAGAGATATAGGGTGTTCAAAATCGAGATTTTTTCAACTTCGGAATTTTTTCGTGTCAAAACTATTCATTATCGGTCAAAACGGTTCACATGTCCCAATATCAACTTTTGATTCACTATTTACTAATATTCAATCGGAACAGATACAGGGTGGTTCAAGATTCAGAATTCTGATCACCCTGTTTCCCTTCCGATTGAATATCAGTAAATAGTCAATCAAAAGTTGAGATAGGGACGTGAGCCATTTTGGTCGATGATAAATAATTTCGACAAAACAAATCGTAAAGTTGAAAAATCTCGATTTTGAACACCCTATATCTCTGTAATCATTTCAGATAGATCCCAAGTGTGATGCATCGATGAAATCAGCTCTTCAGGAAGAATCTAAAAATGCAATAAAATACAGGGTATTCTATATGAAATAACAAAGTTGTTGCTACTTTTTTTATAGAAGCGGCAACACTGCATTGCTGAAATTATTTTAAACGATCAGAGCGTATTCTGAAATATAAGCATGCACATTTTCATGAATTTTTCCTGACTGATTCTTGATATAGAGATATAGTGTAAGCTAGTCGTGACATACCCTGTATATACATTGATTCGAGCATTGGCTATAATACAGGATATATCCACACCAGCATCTATGACGCCAGGCGTGCATAACTCATTATACAGGGTGTTCTATACATTTTATGAAATATTTTCAGCTTTTGCAACAGAAGACAATCCATTATACAACGACATAACACCGAAAAAAGAAATTTGTTTCTATAGAGGGATGAGGTATCCCCCCTGGGACCCACATAAGTACGAAATTACTTCTGATCATTGGGTTGATGTCACTTGGAGATTATTTTTTGTTTTGATTTTTGAGGTGAGTATAAGATACTAGCAACATAAACAGGGTGTCCCCGAAAGGTCTGTACAAAATGATGACACAGACGAGAAAAATAACCACCCTGTATAATTCGAGTACATGAAAATTCTACAGAAATATCACGCATCTTTTCATCAAATGATATTCAAATTCATAATTGTGACTACAGTGATTTTTTCGGTATGCATCTGTAGATGACATTATTTCGACAAAAAAATTAATAACTTTGAAATGATCGGGATATAGTCAACAATATTATAGGAGTTGTTAGAGGTCACAGGAATGCTTCAAAAAATGTACTAATATACAGATCATTCCATTTAAAAAAAGTGATCTTGACCCTTTAGATTTTTTCCGGTGCCCCCTGTATATGCGGCAATAATTTCTAGTTATGGTCCTTGTTTTCTCATCCTCATTCGGTTTTGAATCGAGTTTCTAGCTATCATAGAACTCGAGCAATCGAGCTCCGACGCACTAATGCCCCACCCTGTATATTTTTTAATTCAGATTGACAGGCTTCATCGAATTATGGAAAAAAATATGGATAATTTCATTTGAAAATTTGTTTCTCTGAAGCCACTCTGTAATTTGTTGATATTAAGAAAAAGTAAGCACAGATTCAAAAAATTCTTGAAAAAATATTCTGGAAAGTTTTTGAACGACCAAAATACACTCAGTTCCAAAAAAAGTGACGCACTTGATATTCGACCTATCTTCTGAAAAAAAATAGTAGGCCGATTTTTTTTTATTCGTTATTTGTCTTAAAAAAAAAGAGGTGAAATTTTTTTCAAAGCCTCCTTGATGGTGGTGGAATAACTCAAACCATGATTTATTCTTAATTTTTGACTCACCCTGTGTGTTAATTGAGTAATGGTATACAAAGTGCTTACACCCTATACGAGAGAGGCTTCTTTTGCGAGCATTTTATTTTTTATTCATTCATTTATCCCCAAAATTTTCCGAATTACAGCTTTTTTGCTGATACCTTACGCTTATCCCACAAATTAAATTTATTGAACGATCAGAGTACTCAAAATTGATTGGGTTGTACTCTGGTAGGATCACATTGTCTTAAAAAAAACAAATGCCGTTGCCATAGCAACTAATTTGTTGTATGCCTCCATATTTGACCATTTGTCGTTGTGTAATTAATTGAGTGTCTTGTTTTATTGACTAAAATTACATAAAATGCCTCCAATAAATTCTGAACAAGTAGCAAGATTAGTTTGCGTTAGTAAACGATGGGCGTAGTAAACGTTACGTCGCTCGTGCAGTGGGAGTTCATGAAGCAACTGCTCGTAGAGCAATCCGCAAGTACGAACAAACAGGAAGCACCGCTCGGAGGGTCGGTTCTGGTCGCCCCCGAAAAACTTCTCCAAGAGATGATCGCTTCTTGAGATTGCGGATTTTACGGAATCGATCAAATACTGCGGTATGTAGACGTCTAAAAGAAGTTAATTTAAAAGCTAGACCTGCAAAAGGTCCCGAACATCGTGCTGCTAGAAGAAATTTTGTTGAAAATTATGGACAGTGGAATATTCCTGAATGGTCGAATGCCTTGTTTACGGATGGGTCAAGGTTTTGGAAGAAAAAGAGTGTGGAGAAGAACTGGTGAACGGTTTAATCAAAATTTAATAACAAAATGCGAAAGTTTTAATGGTGGGTCCGTTATGGTGTGGGGAGGGATTTCAATGAATGGAAAGACACCCCTTCATGTTTTTCCGGTGAGGCAGTCGATGAATGCCCAAATTTACATTGACATTTTAGAGCAGTATGTCTTACCTTATGCAGAGTTAGTGGGCAATAATTTTATATTGATGCAGAATAATGCCCGACCACACTCTTCTTCTCAGGAGCTACTGGTATTACCACATTACAATGGCCTGCGAGAAGCCTCCATATGAATCCTATAGAACATTTGTGGGATGAATTAGGGAGAAGGGTACGTTCTCGCGAGAAATCTCCGGGAAGTCTCGCAGAAATGGCAGATGCATTAGCGGAAGAATGGGATCGTATACCAATGGAAACGATAAGCAACTTAATTTACAGTATGCCTCGTAGATTAGAAGTTCTTAGAGTTGCTAGAGGAGGCAATACACGATATTAAGCAGTCATCCCAATTAATAATTTTGTGTTTAAAGAAATGTTTTGTAATGCGCCTGGTATGTCGTGGTTGCAGTTTATTTTATTTTATTAGTGTGTTTAGTCAAACAATCAGATGCTAGGTTTTGTAGGTAGTTCTAGTTGTAAGGGGGAAGTGTGCGAATTGAAATTGACTCTGAAGGGAAGGCAATGAAAAAAATGGAAGGACGTTGTCAAAATAAGAAAAAAGAAAAAAGGATTTTTTTGACAAGTTGTCAAGGAAGAAGAAAGTGGATGATCAAGAAAATAAGCGGACGATTTTTGCATGAAACCAGTATTCTGACGATACTGGATATCACCATATCACAGAGTGAGGAGCGGAGTGGATGTTTGATTCACGGCCAGTTTACCGGCCTACAGGGTGCACCCAAGGAGCAGCGAGAGCAGTGGCGAGAAAGACGAATCAATATTGTGAGTAGCAATATTGCTTTTCTTGTATAGTAGCAGTTAGAAGGTGAAAGGAGTTTCCAGGCCTACGATTGCATTTCTTTTGGATCTTCGTCATCAATCTACAGAGTGGTTTCAATTATATGAACTTGTTCTTGGGGGGGTTAACCGCAGATAGCGCTATAGACTTGAGATAGGGTTTAGGTTTAGAATCTGAAGGTTTGACCATTGTAGGGAGTAAATTATTGAGTGTCATTTCTATCTATGTCATTGTAATAAACGTTTTGAAATACTTCATTGTTTATTCTGGTGGAAGCAAGAGCAGAACCATAAATATATTCTCATTGAGTTACCTACAACATAGGGCTCTTTTCAGTTTTTTCAAATTATTGGTATCAGTTTATTTCATTAAAAAATTGTTTCTCGATAAATTCAGAAAGTTGGTAATCTGCAAGGATTCAGCAAAAAAAACCTGAAATTAGGAAAATTTTAGAGATAAATCAATGAATGAAAAAACAAATTGCTCGCAAAAGAAGCCTCTTTCGTATAGGGTGTAAGCACTTTCTATGCCATTACTCAATTAACACACAGGGTGATGTTATTCCTTTTCAGCATATTGTTCTGGTGATGAATACGGTTTTGTCCTTTGTTTTACCCGATGTTCCCCAAATGGTGAAAGACCAATTGAATATGGATAGAAAACTCGCCAAAGAAGCTAAACTGGCTTTACTTAATAAAGATGAGAGACGATTGTCTGATGATACTTCTAGGCAAAGAAAGAAAGATACCACACAAGTTGGCCCGATTAGTGGATATTCATATTGAAAATATCATCGTATACCTTGCTTTTACCTATTATTATTTATTATATGTTATACATAAAATATACGAGTTGATATTTCGTATTTAATTTCCAGTAGATACGAGGTCGGTTAAATCAAGGCATTCTCATGCTGAACATTTATCTGCAAGAAAATTCGATGTGTCATTTTCAGATTATGAATTATTTGAAGAAAACGAACATTTGTAATTTTCGTTTTAATTTTTTCAAGCGAAAACCAAAAGACCTACACGTTCCTGACTAGGACATTCTCAAGGCACTTTTTCACAAGAAATCTGAATCTGTCATCGTGTTTTCTATTATGTTCTTGATGCCAAAGTTATATTGGATTTTTGCATATTTGGAAAGTTTTTTTTATCTGATTACAATGATGTATCACACGATATGATCGAATCTTTCCTGTTGATCAAAATTGGGAACAAACCATTTTTGCGAAGGGTGCTCTGGAAGGAAAGCGAGCAGGTTTGTTTAACAAATTGAATTTTGACAATTCAATTGAATATGCGACCAGAACTGTTGAATTCATAAGCTTATTCACATAACGCAAAAAGGGTTACCGAGTGTCTGTCAGATATGATTCCTGACAAGGTAATTTCCAACAACGGAGACATACGTTCATACGTTGTACATCCCGGTCATCTGCTCTCTCTTCGCTGGATAATTATTTTTTGGGAACTACACTCAGTTCCAAAAAAAGTGACGCACTTGATATTTGACCTATCTTCTTAAAATAAAAATAGTGGGCCGATTTTTATTTGTTGGTGGGTAATGCATTTGTCTTAAAAAAAAATAAAGAGGTGAAAATTTTTTCAAAGCCTTCTTGATGGTGGTGGAATAACTCGAACCATGATTTATTCTTAATTTTTGATTCACCCTGTGTGTTAATTGAGTAATGGCATAGAAAGTGCTTACACCCTATACGAAAGAGGCTTTTTTTTGGAAAATTGCAGGAATAGCAGAAATTGCAGAAATTCCTGAGAATTAGAAATATTCCTGAAAATTGCAAAAATTCCTTGGAAATTGCAAAAATTGCAAAAATTCATGAAAATTGCAAAAATTGCAAAAATTCCTGAAAATTGCAGAAATTGCAAAAATTCATGAAAATTGTAAAAATTCCTGAGAATTGCAAAAAATGCCTGGAAATTGTAAAAATTGCAAAAATGCCTCAGAATTGTAAAAATTGCAAAAATGACTGAAAATTGCAAAAATCGCAAAAATGACTGAAAATTGCAAAAATCGCAAAAATGACTGAAAATTGCAAAAATCGCAAAAATTCCTGAAAATTGCAAAAATCGCAAAAATTCCTGAAAATTGCAAAAATCGCAAAAATTCCTGAAAATTGCGAAAATCGCAAAAATTCCTGAAAATTGCAAAAATCGCAAAAATGACTGAAAATTGCAAAAATCGCAGAAATGACTGAAAATTGCAAAAATCGCAAAAATTCCTGAAAATTGCAAAAATCGCAAAAATGACTGAAAATTGCAAAAATCGCAAAAATGACTGAAATTGCAAAAATCGCAAAAATTCCTGAAAATTCCAAAAATCGCAAAAATGACTGAAAATTGCGAAAATCGCAAAATGACTGAAGAATTGTAAAAATCGCAAATATTCCTGAAAATTGCAAAAATCGCTAAAATTACTAAAAATTGCAAAAATCGCAAAAATTCCTGAAAATTGCAAAAATCGCAAAAATAACTGAAAATTGCAAAAATCGCAAAAATTCCTGAAAATTGCAAAAATCGCAAAAATTCCTGAAAATTGCAAAAATCGCAAAAATTCCTGAAAATTGCAAAAATCGCAAAAATGACTGAAAATTGCAAAAATGACTGAAAATTGCAAAAATGACTGAAAATTGCAAAAATCGCAAAAATTCCTGAAAATTGCAAAAATCGCAAAAATGACTGAAAATTGCAAAAATCGCAAAAATTCCTGAAAATTGCAAAAATCGCAATTCCTGAAAATTGCAAAAATTGCAAAAAATTCCTGAAAATTGCAAAAAATCGCAAAAATGACTGAAAATTGCAAAAATCGCAAAAATGACTGAAAATTGCAAAAATCGCAAAAATAACTGAAAATTGCAAAAATCGCAAAAATTCCTGAAAATTGCAAAAATCGCAAAAATTCCTGAAAATTGCAAAAATCGCAAAAATGACTGAAAATTGCAAAAATCGCAAAAATTACTGAAAATTGCAAAAATCGCAAAAATTCCTGAAAATTGCAAAAATCGCAAAATGACTGAAAATTGCAAAATCGCAAAAATGACTGAAAATTGCAAAAAATCGCAAAAATGACTGAAAATTGCAAAAATCGCAAACATTCCCTGAAAATAGCAAAAATTCCTGAAAATTGCAAAAATCGCAAAAATGACTGAAAATTGCAAAAATCGCAAAAATGCCTGAAAATCGCAAGAATTCCTGAAAATTGCAAAAATCGCAAAAATTTCTGAAAATAGCAAAAATTCCTGAAAATTGCAAAAATCGCAAAAATTCCTGAAAATTGCAAAAATCGCAAAAATGACTGAAAATTGCAAAAATCGCAAAAATGACTGAAAATTGCAAAAATCGCAAAAATGACTGATAATTGCAAAAATCGCAAAAACCCCTGAAAATTGCAAAAATCGCAAAAATGACTGGAAATTGCAAAAATCGCAAAATTGACTGAAAATTGCAAAAATCGCAAAAATGACTGAAAATTGCAAATTGCCATAATCGCAAAAATGACTGGAAAATTGCAAAAATCGCAAAAATTCCTGAAAATTGCAAAAATCGCAAAAATTCCTGAAAATTGCGAAAATCGCAAAAATTCCTGAAAATTGCAAAAATCGCAAAAATGACTGAAAATTGCAAAAATCGCAAAAATTCCTGAAAATAGCAAAAATTCCTGAAAATTGCAAAAATCGCAAAAATGACTGAAAATTGCAAAAATCGCAAAAATTCCTGAAAATAGCAAAAATTCCTGAAAATTGCAAAAATCGCAAAAATGACTGGAAAATTGTAAAAATCGCAAAATTCCTGAAAATTGCAAAAAGCGCTAAAATTCCTGAAAATTGCAAAAATCGCAAAAATGACTAAAAATTGCAAAAATAGCAAAAATTCCTGAAAATTGCAAAAATCGCAAAAATGACTGAAAATTGCAAGAATCGCAAAAATTCCTGAAAATTGCAAAAATCGCAAAAATGACTGAAAATTGCAAAAATCGCAAAAATTCCTGAAAATTGCAAAAATCGCAAAAATTCCTGAAAATTGCAAAAATCGCAAAAATTCCTGAAAATTGCAAAAATCGCAAAAATGACTGAAAATTGCAAAACTCGCAAAAATGACTGAAAATTGCAAAAATCGCAAAAATTCCTGAAAATTGCAAAAATCGCAAAATTCCTGAAAATTGCAAAAATCGCAAAAATGACTGAAAATTGCAAAAATCGCAAAAATTACTGAAAATTGCAAAAATCGCAAAAATTCCTGAAAATTGCAAATATCGCAAAAATTCCTGAAAATTGCAAAAATCGCAAAAATGACTGAAAATTGCAAAAATCGCAAAAATGACTGAAAATTGCAAGAATCGCAAAAAATTCCTGAAAATTGCAAAAATCGCAAAAATTCCTGAAAATTTGCAAAAATCGCAAAAATGACTGAAAATTGCAAAAATCGCAAAAATGACTGAAAATTGCAAAAATCGCAAAAATAACTGAAATTTGCAAAAATCGCAAAAATTCCTGAAAATTGCAAAAATCGCAAAAAATTCCTGAAAATTGCAAAAATCGCAAAAATGACTGAAAATTGCGAAAATCGCAAAAATTGCTGAAAATTGCAAAAATCGCAAAAATTCCTGAAAATTGCCATAATCGCAAAAATGACTGGAAATTGCAAAAATCGCAAAATTCCTGAAAATTGCGAAAATCGCAAAAATTCCTGAAAATTGCAAAAAATCGCAAAAATGACTGAAAATTGCAAAAATCGCAGAAATGACTGAAAATTGCAAGAATCGCAAAAATTCCTGAAAATTGCAAAAATCGCAAAAATGACTGAAAATTGCAAAATCG